ACTGTGGACTGTGAACTGTGGACTGTGAACTGTGGACTGTGAACTGTGGACTGTGAACTGTGGACTGTGAACTGTGGACTGTGAACTGTGGACTGGAAATTGGGCAATCGTGAGGCGAACGTGTAACCCTTTTCCCACCAGGGATGAATCCATGCTGCCCGTCGCAATGAGACTCTCTGATCGGTTCGTTTTTGCGCAAATCTGGTTGTTGATTATCCTTGTTCTTCTTCTTGTTCTGCGCCTCTCCTGTCGCGTGCCATGCGTTTTGTTACTTTTATTACAGTTTACATATTACATTTACATTATTGTTTCGCAGGACGACATGTTGCTTTCATAGCTACGTTTCTGGACTTGATTGATCTGATATACTCATCTGCTTGGTAGTATATACAGCCTTATTTGCCTTTGCCTTCGCCTTTGCCTTTGCCTTTGCCTTTGCCTGACCTGAGAGCCGAGGAGCTGTACTTGGAATTTATACCAAGCAGCTTCCACGCACAGCTTCCACAATCAACTCGACGCTCAACATAGCTAGGCCCATCCAAACCTCCATCTACCCTCCAATCTCCCTACTCTGCTCATTCGACGCGTCGTAGCCTGCTTCGCGCCTTGACTGTTCAGACGAGGATGATGACGTGGTAGTGTCGCGTGCCCTGCCTTTGTTATCGCCGAAGCCGCCTGTTGGGTGTTAGTTTTCCGTTCTTCATGACGGTATTGCTTTGCGCATTGAATTATGTGGTCGTGTGTGAAGACTAGGAGGAAAAAGGGGTGGGTAGTTATCTAGGGCGTTCTGTGCGTGTGTCTCGTGTTCTGTATTCTGGATCGTGTATCCGCTGTCCAGTCGGCCCGATCGATAGTGAGAGCGTGGTCAGGATAGTGAGACGAGGAGAGGGCAACGAGGCAACCGGTCTGGTGTCTGGACACTGGACACTGGATGGACGCTTTCCCCCCGACCCGAGGCGCTTTGATGCGGTGCGGTGCATGATGATGCATGTATGCATGCCGCATGATCGCAGAGTGACGCCTTCCGCTGCCCCGGGCCGTTGTTTGAATGATTCGAATGAATGAATGAATGAATGAATGAAGCTGAAGAGCCAGCCCCTTGCTTGCGAAAAGCGGTCCGTGAGTGCTCGTCTCGCTTGGTATTCCCAGGCAGGCAGGCTTCCAGACCGTCGTCGGAATGTCTTGCTTGTCTTCCTTGTATCCACGGACCCCCACGGACCCCCACTCCCACTCTCCCAGTCTATGTAACCACACACATAGCACAGCACAGTTCACTCACACAGCACAGTTCACTCACACAGCACAGCCCCAACCATCGACCCAGAAACCTACCCTCGCAACAAACACAAAAACAGAGAATCAAAACAGAAATTTCAAGAAGAAAGAAACTCACCCTCTACCCCCGCACTCCCCGCATTCCGCTCCACCGTCGTCATCCCGCCCACGCCCTCCTCGCTCATCGCCTGTCCGAAGCGCATTGCCTCGCTCTTGGCTACTTTTGTATTCGTTGCTACTGAGGGGTCTGTCTTGCGTGTTTCGGGGCGGGTTTGTTCGTCGTTGGTGGTGGTGCTTGTGCCCATTTGGCCGGGTTCGCGGGTTGGTGGGTCTTGGGTTGTGTGTTGGGCTTCGTATCTATGTTTTGTTGGTGAGTAATTAGACGGTAGGTGGAGGGGAGAGATGGGGAGAGATGGCGTACTGGGTTTGCTCGCCGCCGGGCTCGGTGGTCATTAGGTTTGATGTCATTGTTGTTTGTGTTTTGGGGTTGAGATGCGTGTAGGTAGGTAGGTAGGGTGAGGGGATGGTGTATGTAGGAGTTTGGAGGGTAGGTTGGGTTTGATATTTCTTATTGCTGCAGGTAAGTGTTGGAGGAAAGCTAGGTATGATGCTAGGTATGACGTAGTGGATTCATCAGTGCTTTCGAGATTTGGTGGCGCGTGGATGGCCTTTGTTCGGGGGTTTTTGTGATATTGTTGTTTGGTGTTCGAGTATGCAGAGTGTCTGTTTGGCGCATTCCACAGTGCGATGTAGAAATAAACACATTTATTCACTGTTGTCCGCTTTGTTGTGGTAGCCATTGGTTCACATCTGCATTTTGTGTCGTTCGTTCTGCTACGCGGACAAAATCTCAAGACTACTCGTGATCTTCATTGTACATAAAGTGAATTATAGCCTTCTCCGGCCATGCATCCTGACACACCTCTTTCGTCTTATTCTCGATCCCCTCACTTTCCCCTGATTGGCCGAGCGGCTGATGCAGCTCGTTAAGTGGTCACATGATACCGCGTTAGCGCCTCGTCGCGTACTCCCGTGGCGGGCCTGAGCAAGTGGCGAGGGGCGAGTGCTGTCGCCTGAACTAAACGGCTCCCGAATTCAGACTCTTGTACGCATCTTTTTTGACTTCATCCACTTCCCGCTTACGATAGAACGGAATAACCATCTAGAGTAGCACAAATGTGAGTATTTGTTCTGCACATCACATTTCCGTTCCGCACTGAGACAGTCTACAGGACGGGCAGACGGACTGGAAACCGCATTCGCGGGCCGTAAGTGTAGCCTATATCCTGAGTGTTTGGATGCCGGCAATTGACACGATTGACAGTCACTCTGCGTTGACGGATTTCCTTGCTGTGAGTATGCTCATGTCCTTGAAGCCCCGGCCTTCTCCTCGCCTTCCAAGCCCTGGTGACAAACCACCTAACATCATACCCAGGCGAACAACATCTCCGCGCAACAGATCAGAGACAGCTACCAGCAGCGCGTCCAACAAGCCGAAGCCGAGGACCCAGCCGCAAACGACGGACAAGACAACCAGGATGGTGCTGAAGAGGAAGACGCCGAAGCCGCCGCCGAAGCAGCCGCAGCCGAAGCCGCAATAGAGCGCACGAAGAAGCGGAAGCGCAGATCGGAAAAGGCCGTGGCCAAAGTCAAGGAAAGCAAAGCAGCAGCCAAGAAGAAGGCCAAGAAGGCCAAAAAGGGAGACGACGACAGTGATGAGAGTGATGGCGACTATGACGATGCACTCGAGAACATGTATAAGAAACCCAAGAAGCTGCCCGGGCAACTGGAGAACTGCGAGACGTGTGGGAAGCGTTTCACGGTCACGCCGTACAGCAAAGCGGCCCCTGACGGCGGGCTGTTGTGTACGCCGTGTGGGAAGCTTGTGGCAAAGGACGAGAAGGCACTCGCTGGCAAGGCGAAGAAGCCGGTTGCTGCGACGAAAAAGCGGAGGAAGCTGGAGAGTGATCGTCTGGACGGGCTTGTGCGCAACGGGGCGAAGACGCTTGTCCAGCTGTGTATCGAGAAGGTCGCACAGCATCACAACGACATTGAGGAGTTTGGGGACTTGCCAGTCGGCCTGTTGACCCGGTTGGGCGAGATATTCGGCAAGAATAGGGTGTTGAATTCTCGGACTCTGAGACTGTTTCTGCAGCCTGATCTCGATACTCTGGCTGTGCACGAGGCAGCTTGTAAGTGATTGTTCTGGAGATGGAGGTGTAATGTTACTGACAACAACGCAGACCTGGAGACGGAGGACTACGAGCAAATATTCGCAGTCATTCCACGCATAAAGAAACTTGTCCTCAACAACGCCTGCCAGTTCAAGGATTCATCAGTCGAGTACATGAAGGAAAAGGCAGGCGGCATAACCTGGCTCCAGCTGGGCGCCGCAAACCTCGTCTCAAACGACATGTGGATCAAACTGTTCGAGGAACGCGGCGCAAACTACGAAACCCTCAAGCTCACATGGCTCGACGCCGCCTTCGACGACGCCGCCGTCGCAGCAATGGCCCAGCACTGCACAAACCTCACCCGCCTCAAACTCGAGCGCTGCCGCCAAATCACACCCACCGGCTTCGAACACATCATCCACCTGCCCAAACTCCAACACCTCACCCTCCACCTCTCCCACGAGATCCCCAGCGACCGCCTCGTCGCCATGCTCACCACCATCGGCCACCAGCTCCAAACCCTCTCCCTCCAACGCGCCCTCGACGCAGACGACTCCTTCCTCGCCGCCCTCCACACCACCTGCAACCGCCTGTCCAAGCTCCGCTTCTGCGAAAACGACGCCTGCACAGACGCCGCCTACGCCGCCCTCTTCACAAACTGGACCAACCCCCCGCTACGCTTCGTCGACCTGAACAGCACCCGTGACATCGACAACAGCAACCCCGACGGCCCGCCCGACACCACCGGTCTCGGCGACGCAGGCTTCCAGGCCCTCATGACGCATTCGGGGTCGAAGCTAGAGCACCTCGACGTCTCGTCGTGCCGGCACATCAGCCTCGCGTGCTGGCTCGCCGTGTTTGACGGCCGGAAGCAGTACCCGTGTTTGCAGACGCTGAATGTCAATTTCTGTGGCACCGTGGATACGACTGTTGTGGCGGGCGTGTTTGGGTCGTGTCCGCAGCTGCGCAAGTTGGAGACGTTTGGGTGCTTTGGGGTGGAGGATGTGCGTGTGCCGAGGGGGATTGTGCTTGTGGGTGCGCCGAGGGCGCAGGATCAGATTGAGCAGTTTGGGGAGGGGTGGGGGGCTGGACGGGTGGTTGAGGTTGGGGCGTAGGGGTGTTGTAGTTATGGTGGTGTGGAATTGGGGAAAGGGGGGGCGTTTGGTGGTTGTATTAAGGAGTATATATGGAAGCGTTGCGACGTGAGTATATGGATTTATAGACTTATACCGCGCACCCCTTCTGCGTCCTGGCAAGTAGACTCGATGATATCCTTTCTCTCTCTCTCTCTCTCTCTCTCTCTCTCTTATTCTCCTCTCCCCTCCTCTTCCCCTCCTCACACCCACCTCACACCCCTCAAAGCTCCTTCCCCCCCTTCCCCTTCCCCTCCCTCCTCGCCGCCACCTCCCCCTTCACAAACCCATTAATCCGCTCAAAACACCCCAACCCCTCCGCAAACGTCGACCCCATCCACGCCCACCACACCCAACTCCCCGTCTCCACCCCCAGCACCCTCAGCTTCCGAAAATGCATCAACACACACTCCGCCGCATGAATGCCCACCATCAGCCCCAGTCCCACACGCGCGTTCCGCTCTTTACTCAGCGTCGCGGCCAGGTTGGGCGTGTGGCGCCAGATGAGCGTGTAGAGTGGGTGTGAGGGGTGGAATTGCGCCGGGTAGGTGAAGCTGAAGAGGCCGAGGGCGACGAGGGCGAGGATGAGGATGTGTTTGCGGGTTGGGGGGATGTAGGTTTTTAGGGTTATGGGGGTGTGGTTGTGGAGGTGGGCGAGGCTGGCGGTGTCCATTTCTGTGAGGCGGGTGCGGGCGTCGGTGAGGGATGGGTGGAGGGGTGGGGTTAGGGGGATGGTGTATTGTTTTGGGGGAGAGGTGGTGGTTATGGTGAGGGTTGTGGGGGTGAGGGAGGTGAGGGTTGCGGTGCGGGCGAGGTGGGAGGGGAGGGAGTGGTGGTGTTCGAGGAAGCGGGTGAGCTGGGGGTTTGTTTTGTTAGTTTGGGTGGTGTGGTGAGTGGATGGGGGAGAGAAGGGGGAGGACGGACGGTGTCTTGGTGGTCGGTGTTCATGTGGGTTATTATGCGTTGGGCGGTTGCGTTGGACATTTTGGTGGTGGTGGTGGTGTTGTTGTGGTTGTGGTTGTGGGTAAGGTTGGTCTGAGGTTGGAGGAACCTGGAGATGCTCGCTGACGGAGGAGGAGGAGGAGGTTGTGGGGATGTCGTGGTGGATTTGAGTGAATGATGAGGGTTGTGGAAGAGATGGGGTGATGATGTGGAAAGTAAGTGACCGGAGTAATTGCAGATGAATTAATGTTGTTGTTGGGTCGGGCCGGGGTTTAGACCTCGGGAGTCTAGCGTCCTTTTTCTTCGGGGAACGAGGCTTTGGAGGAGGAGACACAACACACCTCACGCCTCACATCTCGCACCTCACGCAGCAAACACACATCCAGACTGCTGCTGCCGATCAGATCTGCCACTCAAGGTGCACTCCCACTAACAACATCCAGACTCCCACGGGGTGAGACGCCCACCAGACTAGCTGGAGACAGACTCCCACGCTGTTACCAAACCCACGCAGCCCGCCGGAAGGATCCAGTCCAGACTTCACTTATACTGATCGGCGCCATGAAGCAGGCAGAGGCAGTCAGTCCTGGAAGGATGACATGACACGACAGGATGCTAAGAAAAGAAACACCCACCTACACACATATTACATGCCACGTTCTCATGGGCTTACTATTATCCGCTGCCTTGTCTTTTTATATATATCTTTCGTAAATTTCTCACGGGTGTGATTCGTTGGCCGAATCGACACGGACCGAGTTTCATATGATGCCTGACCCATGGGATATATATATATATATACACGTACTGTGTAAGGTAAGTAAGTAGTCCTGTTTGGGCATCCGGATAAATAGAAAAGGAAAAAAAAAGGCCGAGGGGGGAGGGGTGGGAATTCGGCGCGATTTGCTGGGGGAAAAGACCCGATGCTTGCCGCACCAACCATTGGGGCCAGACTGCCTGTGTGTGTTGTGTTGTGTGCGTGTGTGGTATTATCGTGGGAGGTTTTGTGGAGAGGGTATCGGATGTCAGCCTTGCGCTCGTGGACCTTTTGACAGGGCATGTTTGTTGCTGGTGCTGGTGCTGGTGCTGGACTGTGAGATGGGGGAAGGGGGGGCTGATTGCATGTGGTCTCGACCAGCCCTGTGCCTGGCCAGGTCTGAAAAGCGCTAATTAATTCACTCAGGGCCGTGAGATGGGCTTTATCTTTTCATTGATGAGATCCGACATCTACCCGAGAGAGAGAGAGAGAGTGTGTGTGTGTGTGTGATATGTCGAGGCTGAAGAGTGACCAGAGTGGTGGGTTGTGGACTGTGTGGACTGTGGACTGTGGATTGTGGACTGTGGACTGTGGGATATTCCGGTAGGATGCAGGTCCGAGCGGCAAAGGATGAAGGATGGGCGGGATGACTGTCAAGTGAGATAGCTAGCGATACAGTAACAGTGTAGTGTGTATGTATGAATGTATGCATGTATGCATATATGCAAAGAGTTCGCGCTATAAAAGGGCTATTCCGGGCTTACACATGGCGTAGGATGTAGCGGGTGGTGGTAGTAGGAGCTTAGCTGCAAATGGCTTGCATCACAGTCGCTGTCACTGGTGGGCTTTGTGTGTGTATTGTGATGAATGTTGTTTATGCGGGTGGTGGTGTGTATGCGTGCTTTTTGCTGGCGGGCGTAGTGAGAGTATATGCAAGTCATGCCTCCACGCCGGCGCATCCCTCGACAGACTGATAGACTAGCATGTGTGGATGAAAGATGGTGTAGTTAATTACCATCTAGACATGTACATACACATACACACAGCCAAGCGTCAAGTGTCGAGTGTCGAGTGTGTCAGCCCCTGGAGGTGTCGCAACTCACACCAGCGTCACATCAGCATGTATTATCATCATATGCATCATCTATGCAGCAGTCGGCAGTAATACCTAGTTAACTAATTATTACCTAGCATATACGGGAGCCCGAGCCAAGGCACTGGACTCTAACACTGACTCTTGACTCCCCAGCATCTCTCTGATCAATGCCCCCCCCCCCCTGCCTGGCACGACTGGTCACTGCAAAATGCGCGTGTGCCAGGACTGATATGGCATCGCTGCACACACTTCGCCGGCCCACCCCGCTCACTTTGCAGCAACGCCCACTCCGCCCGCTGGCTGTTGCTTAATTTCACTTGGAGAGTAGTAGTACGGTAGTAGAGAGTCTACCTGCTTTGCTTGATTGTGACCCCGCCGCCCGAAGTTTGGGGGGACGAGGGGGAGGGAGGACAGTGAGTGGAGAGGGGAGAGGGGAGAGGGGGAGAAGACCACGTTTGAGCACTCGCACACACACACACACACACACTTACCGCATAATATCTTACCACTTACCTACTACTTACTACTCATTCACTCACTCACTCACTATCAACCACTACACACACTACAACAACCACATCTACATCCACAACTCCCCTTCCCTGTTCCTGTCGTGGTGGCGACGACGGCGAACGCGGGCGGCCCCATAGAATCCTACGCTTTTTCCTGCGCTGTCAGGGTCCTTTGTGCTGCTTACTACGACTACTACAACCACAGATTCATTCATTATTCATTCGACTACTACTGCTTCTTCACATGCCTCTATCCTCACTCTACTCTTCTGTCCGCTGTCGACGTCCTTTTGCTCTGCGGCGCAAAGTGTCGTCGTCGTCGTCGTCGTCGTCGAACCTCCTGCTTTGACGCTCTTCTATCCTGCTCTCGAGACTACATCCATCGCATCCTGTCTCTACTCTCACATCCTCTCCCTCACCACCATCACCACCATGGCCACGCCCATCGAGCTGCAATGGCGCGGCACCTCAGCTCCACGTGCTAAACGCATATCGCCCCAAGAGTGGGATCAGCACCGAGCCGAGATCACCCAGCTGTACCAGTCAATGACCCTGCGCTGCCTGATGGAGACGATGAAGAACAAATATGGCTTTACGCCTTCGTACGTATGCCCCCGCCCTTTCCACTCCGTCATCCATCCCCGTCATCGTCGTGCTACTCCTACCATCATTCTCCTGCTGCCATCATCCCTGCTGACTCCATCCCCGCCCGAACAAAAGACGGCGACAATATGTCTTTCAGTTTGAAAAGTGGGATCTGCAAAAGCCCGGTAGGAACCAGTCGTCGGCCACTCTGGCAGATCGCGCGGGGCACAGCCAGTCTCCAAACATCATCACGCCCGGTGCCAGTACTACCTATACTACCTATAATAACACCACCACCACCACCACCACTACTACTACTACTTCCCCGCCAACCGCCTCCGAACCAACTCCAACTCCCCATCACTTTCAGCACTTTCTCGACGAAGAGGGTCCTGACAAACGTCCACGGAGTATCCAGAGCTCGACGGGCTCCACCTCGACTGCTGGTCCGACCAAGAAGAAGCAGCGGGATGGCGATCGGCAGTGGGACGATGGCGACGCCTCTATCAAATACCACTCGCCAGACCGCTCGCAATTCGGCACCCATTCACCGCCGCTGCCCACCGACGATTCGAGTCAGTCGCGCCGGCCAAGCATTGTCCCAAAGCCGGACCCGGATTCGCATTATGCCCGTCTGAGCGCCGGACGGTCAACCTCGAGTTCGAGCTCAAAGTCCGTCAAAGGCGACCAGGACGTGACTGGTGGTCTTCCGCCCGTTGCCGAGCACACCGAGGAAACATTCACCTTTGCCGAGTTTGGTCGCCTCAGCCTGGACGTGCCGTCAATCGCGCGAGACATCGCTCGGCCGTTTGATACCAATCGCCTCATCGAAGACTACACCGAAGAGGACATTCGCAACATTATCCAGGTCGCCCAGTTCCTCGACGCCTTCCAGCTCAACGATGCCGTCTTTTCGCTCTACACGATCGTCATCAAGTGGCATGTCGCGCGCTGCCATAACCCCGCACAGGACCGGAAAACGTTCTGGTCAACCCTGATCTACGGCCGCAATGTCTACCTGGAGACACATTGCGAGATTATTCGCAGTCTGCTAAACCAAGTCTCGGCCGAGAGCTCGTTCGAGGACGAGGAGACTGGTGTGCGATATTCTCGACTCGCCGCGTTGGAGATGTTCCTCATCGACATGACCATCGCCATGACCACGATCCGCAGCCACGGACTCGACTTTGAAACGACAAAGGAAAACCGTCACATGAATCGCGCTCGCCAGCGCGGGAAAGCCACGGATTTCTTCGCCCAGCTGCCCAACAGCGATCGCACTCTTGACCTTCTGACCTATCACCTGGTCTGGGTCTGCGAACTCGACTGGAGCACCTGGTACGCTTTTGCCTTTCCGTCTTCGGCTGTAGAGCAGGCTCGCGATGATGTCATCCTGCATCGCATCCCCGGCCCGTTTGAACTCAAGGATGGCATCATGGGCGTGCCTTGCCTCCGCTCGTGCCTGGAATGGTGCACAATCGAGTTGGAAGACATGAGCTCGTCGGCGAGGGACGGAGGCAAGGTTGGCAATGGCGCATTCCCGTCGAGCGGCGAAAAGTCGCTGTTCTTATTCGCAACGCTATGGGAACGCCTTGTTGCGCTCGACTTCAAGCCGGACAATGCCATGACGCAAAGCTGGATCACCGACACCGAGACGCGCATGGGCATATCGCCAACCGAGCTGCTCATCTCGGTCTGCACCATGATTGGCAAAGATAGCAACTCGGCCCTCTCTGCGCTTTCGGGGTCGTCGAAACGTGTCAAGAACATGTACAAGAGCTCGAAGAAGTTGACGGAGAAGGACGACTACAGTCTAGGCCGGGTGTTTCTGAGAGAGTTTGCCTATCGCAGATCTTCAGGTCTGCTGTTCACGAACCAGGCCTTTCAGCAAAAGGGCATCAAGGAAGCCGCCTTTGAGATTGTCGAGCGAACGTTCAAGCTCAAGATTCCCGAAACCAACAAGCCGGTCAAGGAAAAGTCGCGCAAGTCTCAGGACAAGAAACCGACAGAGATGCCTCCTCCCATGTCCAGGCCGGCCACCAGCGCTCCTCGCTTCTCCGCCGAGATACTCAACAAGAATGACGCGCCGGCCGTCGAGAACAAGCGCAACTCGTTCCACCCCACCCTTGCGTCCTCTCTGGCCTCCTCGAACAGCTCATTCGACCTTTCGTCCATGCGCCGGATGCGGGACCACATCCGGAAGACGGGCATGCGGCCGCAACCTGCCGGCCAAGGCCTTCCCTCGAGCGCCATCCGCGACTCGATGACTAGCGATGTCTCCATTCTTGCCATGAGCGAGCTGAGCGATGTGCGGTCGACGCTCAGCTCTATAGACTCGTCGTCGTCCTATCACCTTCAGAGTGAGGCCACGGCCACCCCCGAGGCGGATCCTGACAGGAGGTGATATGCGGGTTTTCTGGCGTTCTTTTATGTGATTGCTGGGCTTGCGTACAGCCGTTTTGCAGGATACCCCTCCTTGGCTCTTTTTGTCGACGTCCTGGCGTATTGAGTCGTCTGGGCTTGTCTTGCATCCTTTCCAGCAGACGTGGGCCTGTGGATCCATTATATCGAAATTGATGCAAACCCACTATCGGCTAAACTTTCCCAAGTGCCGTTACTAACCAGGCCTTATCTAAATCCTTCGTCTCCGGGACGACATCACACGATCTACGCTGTCCCGACCACATCATCGTCGCCGCCAAGTCTAGATAACCCGTGTGCGATACCAGACCCACATCCGGCAGAAGAAACTCGACCGAACCACGAGACCATGGAGGCGAGACCATTGATTGTCGGGAACTGAGTGCATGTGGAAGAAGAATAAGCGCAGACGGCCAGGAGAGGCTGGACATCGTATCAGCGAACATGGCCTCCAGAAAGCGAGACGCGGGGCAAGGAATGTATCGTATCTACGACGACCAAGGCCGCTGCTGCGATGCCACGTGCGGGAGACGTGAGGCATGCAGCGCGTAGATCGTGCGTGGAGAAACTGCGCGAGAAGTGAGGATGGCATGATATGCGATCGCACTACGGCGAGAGCTGGATAGGTCAAATGTTTAGCCAGCTCGGGGGATTTCTTGTATATAATATATCAAGATAGATTAGTGTTTTTGTCCGTAAGCTGGACATGGGACACGCGACACGCTATCCCGCAATGCGACGGGATGGGATGGGAAATAACGAGCTGGGATGGGATATATCTACCACACACTACAGGCCCACCTCCATAAATACCCATACCATATCCCACATCAATACAAAGACGGCCCAAATCTAGATAAACACAAGTTGTGCCCATTTATATACGAGCCTTTGTCCTTGCGTACTCGCTCACATCACTCACATCACTCAATCACTCACACACACATCCTTACATCACTCACATCACTCACATCACTCACATCACTCACTCAACCAATCACTCAATCACTCAATCACTCACATCACTCACATCACTCACATCACTCACATCCCTCACATCACTCACATCACTCACATCACTCACATCACTCACATCACTCACTCAACCAATCACTCAATCACTCAATCACTCACACACACATCCTTACATACCTCACACACACAACGCCAAATCCAGATCGAATATGCCATGATCCAGTAGTACCTACCTTTGTCATAAGTAGTTTATAATCCGTACTATATGTACTGAGTCCTAGGGCACGGGGATCTCTATTCATCATAAGCAGCACGTGATATCCATATATATATATATATATATACACGTGTTTGTGATCTGCATACCTTAGGCGCATGTATGGATTAGCATCCATGGCAATGGCATGCAGGGCAAAACACCACTAGTTTCCCTCCCTTCCTCCCCTCCCTCTTTCAATCTAAACTCTGCCTAATTAATTGATTAGCCCCTAGCTAGCTAGCCAGGCCAGGTCATCGCACGAATGTCCAAATGTAAGTCTGTCGTCTAATGAGTGAGCGGAGCCTAAGACTCGTCATGAATGATGTCGTGTGGGTGTCGGTGTTGGGGTCGGGGTCGGACAGGATGATATAACAATGGGACAGGATGGGATGGGAAAACAAGACAGGATGGGACAACAAGACAGCCTTGCATGCACTGTACTGCAGATGCAGACGTGATATGCTGCAGATGCCACGGCGCGGCTAACGACGGCGCGGCGGGCGCGTAGTTTAATCAGACTAGCATGGCGAGACAAGGCGAAAAAAGCTGAGATGTGAGATTGAGCTGCAGATGCAAGATGTAAGATGAGAAAGGTGAGATGTGAGGATTATGAAACGTGAAACGCACGGTAGACCAGGGGTAATCCATGCAGGAGTCGATGGATCTAATCGGTTTTTTGTTTTGAAACATGGCGCCCTCTCCTTTCACGCGCCTTCTTTTTGTCTCATAGGTTAGAATCTGGGCGGCGCATGTAAGGGCCTCCCGCATACAAATTCTCTTGGATGCGAAAGAGTGTGCGGAAGTACAGAGAAGGTCTATCGTGAGATTTCCCTTTTACTTTCTCAACTTCAACTTTGTCGTGGTTCAAGCAAGCGAGCAAGCAAGGTAGGCAAGGTAGGTAAGGTACACACACGCAGCAAGATCAAATTTGTCGTGTCTGCGCTACATTGCACGACCACGACCACGACACGACATATGTGCAATATCCACGGACATTCCCTTTTTACGGCTGTTTGGGGCGTTCTTGTCGTGCGAGGTGTGGCGTTGCGTGACGATATGTTGGAACCGGATGGGATGTGAGGATGATGATCTTAAGCCTGTTTATGCATGTATGTATGTATGTATGTATGCATGTATGGATGGATGGACCAGATACTGCAGATCCATGAGCCACATGGACTATATCTTCCGAACGGGCTGGTATCGATAACTTAATCTGGGGTATCTGATAGATGGACGGATAGATATGGATGGATGGACGGACCGATCACACACATCACAAATCACAGCACAGCACACAGCACAGCACACGGGCGCAACACGGGCGCAACAAGAAGGCGATCGTTCGTCTACGCGATCGATGTCCAGATTCCGGGGCGGCGCTTAGGAGGGTCGGGTCTCCGTCTAGGATGCTGCCTTGTTTCAAACGCAAGGGCAGAAGGGAATGCCAGGGCATGGATGTATGACGATGGATGAGTCTGAACCTTGCGTGCGTGCGTTGCGAAAACAAAAACCCTCCCAAACAAAAGCCTTAGGGGTCTGTCTGTGTTCTGCCGTTATGTTTAATTGCACGGTGGGAGGGTGGCTTGACTCTGACTTGACCTTTTGGCTTGGTTTGACCGCTTACAGGACGTCCGTCCCGTTACGCCAAACCTACGCCCGACCCCTACCTGGCATGGATTGGGATTGGCATGCAGCCACGATTGGATCGGTCTCTTGTGGAGTTTGGAGGATTCCGCGTCTGGGTGTATCAGTTTTCTTTGTTTAAATATGCTTTTGGCCCGCGCGTTTTCTGGATATCTTCACCACCACCAGCTACCCTTCAAAAGGCCGCTCACATTCCTTTCCTCCCCCCACCGCCGCCGTTTCCAACTACGCGCTCTAGAAGCTGCTTCTGTCACTCCTTACTACTACCATCGATCAATCATATTCACATTCTAGCTTGGTTCTAGCAGTCATTCATTCCTTTAAAATCTGAAATTCGATTCTCCAAAAGGCCCAATTTCAAAACCTCGTTTTTGATACTACTACCACTACCTTCCCCCTAACAAAACAAACCAAAACAAAACACACCAACATCCACCACCACAACCATGCTCGCCACAACCCTCACCACCGCCCTCGCCCTCTACACATCCCTCACAACCGCCCACCCCCTCGCCCCCCGCACAAAAGACCTCTGGCACCCCACCCCGGGCACAACCTGGCAAATCATCCTCTCCGACATCATCGCCATCCCGACCTCCCCCTCCACCCCGCTCACCCCCGACGTAGACGTCTACGACGTCGACATGTTCGGCACCTCGGCCGCCACCATCGCCGCCCTGCACGCCCGCGGCAAAAAGGTCGTCTGCTACTTCAGCGCCGGCTCCTACGAGCCCGGCCGCCCGGACTCGGACCAGTTTGCGGACGGGGATCTGGGCGCCGTCATGGATGGGTGGCCGGATGAGCGGTGGGTGGACGTGCGGAGCGGGAATGTGGTGCGGATTATGGAGGCGCGGGTGCGGGTGGCGGCGGAGAAGGGGTGTGATGCCGTGGATCCGGATAATTTGGATGGCTATGTATGGCTTCTTTCTTCCTTTCTTCTTCCTTTTTCTTTCATCTTCTTCAACTGTTTTTTTGGGTTTTTGCCTGGAAAGCTTCCCGCTTTCATCATCATCGAAAACCCCTGCTGACATGCGTTACAGGCAAACGACTGCGGCCTGCAAATCACATCCGCCGACGCATCAGCCTACCTGCAGACCCTCGCCGCCCACGCCGCCAGCCTCGGCCTCTCAACCGGCCTCAAGAACGCCGCCGACCTCGTTCCCTCCGCGCTCGCCTTCACCCAGTTTGTCGTCAACGAGCAGTGCCACGAGTACGCCGAGTGCGGGCTCTGGCAGCCGTTCATCGGGGCCGGCAAGGCTGTGTTTAACATTGAGTATCCCGGCGCGAATGGCGGTGATGCGACGGCCAAGAAGACGTCGGAGGGGGAGGAGGAGGTTTCGTCGGATGTGTGTGGGGAGGAGAGGGGCGGTGGGGATGGCGCGGCGGGGTTCTCGACGATTGTCAAGACGTTGGAGTTGGATGGGTGGGTGCAGCTTTGTGGGGCGGGGAGTATGACTACGGAGACGCTGGGCGGGGGTGCGGGGACGGGTGGTGGTGCTGGGTATGGTGGTGGTGGTGAGGATGATGGGAGTGGTGAGGATGATGGGTATGCTGGCTATGGGGATGACGGGAGCGACGAGTAGATCTTCGTCGGGTCTCCCCCTTTTTTGTGGTTCCTTCGCCCTGGTGTGTGGATTCTGTTCGTGGAGGTTTTACTCCTTTTTTTTTGGTTATTCTTCCTCTTCTTCTTCTTCCCCTTCATCATCATCATCATCTTCTTCTTCTCGACCACCGCCACAAACCCGAAACTCCAATTCCTCTTCTCTTCTCGTCTCTTCGCTTCATGACCAGCGGACTGGCACCACAGTGCTCATCCGCTCCTGTTTTACATACACATACATATATATCTCTTTCCAAACACCCCCTTCCCCCGAATCCATGGCACAAAGCTTGACGCATTGCGCATCAGCAGGGTAACGGCACGTGGAATTTGGGAGAGTTCCGGATTCTGCCTATTTTCTGTGTTGTATTAGTATCAGTAGCAGTAGTAGCAGTAGTAGGAGCAATGAATGCTTGGTGGGAAATGTGTACTGTGCTGTGCTTTGCCATACGGTACTGCACTGTAGTGTGTACTGTAGATTGTCTTCGTCCGAGGCTGCTATTTTGGTTATGCGTCTTCACGTCGCGTCGTGATAGCAATTCGTCTCTTTCCCCTATTCCCTTTCTCCGACTTTTTCCTGTTTTCTTTGCGTCCCAAATTCGTCTCCTGACGTTACGTTGCGCGTCTCTCTCTCTCCCCCTCTACCTCCCTGGCCCTGTCTTTCAATCTGTGCTGACGAGGACGCCGTGCGACGTTCCACAGTTCCACGCGCGCGCGTGCGCGCCGACATACCAATTTCCACTGCGTTTCGACAGCAGTGCACGGCATATAAGCGAGATATCGGTCAATATCCCAATACTCTGGGTGTCTTGGTTCGTTTTCTGCTTGTTTTTGCTTGTGATGAGATGACACGATTACGGAGACGGGTGCGTGTTATGTGGAAATGTTGTATTTACTTTTCGTGTTTCATGTCTATATGTTATATATGAGTTCTGCTTCGCGCGTTAGATTAAATGCCACCATAGCTGAAGCGATATTATCGCGCTTAGGATAGACGTGATACGTGTGGTGACTGGGTGTGGTGAGGATGGTGCGGAGCCTGGTGTATCTGTGCTTGATGGTGCTGTGGCTGTTGTTATTTCGCTTGGTGCTGTCGTTGTCGTCGGTGTAATGCTCGTGTCCGTGTCCCTGGGGCTGGACTTGACGTTGGGCTTGCGATAGTCATCACCGTAGATGAGGATTCCGACGATAATACGGATGATGTCTGACTGCCAAACCCGCTTTTTGAGACGAGTGGGCTGTTCTCGAGCCGATTGCGGCACTCGCCGCCCTGCGTCAAGACGTCCTTGAGCTCGTTGGTCATGAGGTCGAGCATATGGGAGAACTGCTGCCAGTTTGGGGCGAGATTTGCGATGCCGCCGGGGAAGTTGAGGGTGTAGATGGCGACGTTGACCATCTGGGCAAAGTTCTGGACGCGTTAGTACGCACCGGACCAGGACAGGATACAATTATTGAGCAGATGAGTAAGTGTGAGAGACGCCTGAACATACCTCTGCCTGGCTTGCCTGGGCGTAATCCTGCACTACAACCTCATCCTCATCGTACGCCTCCAGCCACGCATCCGTCTCCGTGAAGCCCGTCTCGTTGCCGAAGAAATGCGCGTCCAGACTATGTCCAACTTCGTGACCATACACAGTGACTGCCAGACTACTGTCCCCGGCCATGAAGACGTTGTCGCCAGAGCTGTATGCGCCCGAGTCTCCGCCTGCTGCCGACAGATGGCGCACGAACGAGCGATGTCGTACGGGCAGCTTGCCGAACAGTTCGGCCATGGTCTGTCGTGACGCGCTTGCTGTTGGATGGCGACACATGATCCACGGCGTGTCGCAGTCTGCGTAGGTTACGCTGAAGACTTCGACCGGGCCGCTGGTCAGGAGGACGCCGTCGACGGCCTGTTCTTCGATTGCGCTCTTACATATTGACGGGATCGAGTTGTTGGCCCATAGGTCTATGGTATGCTCGGTTGTTTGGAGCGACTCATTGAGAGCAGGAACGAGTTTGTTGTCGTAAAAGGGTGGCTGAATGACTGGCTTGTCGAGCTCTCGTTTGGTCAAAGGGGCGAATGATCCTTGATTTGCATCCACAATAGCTATGAGGGCCAGGAATACTGCTGATGATACCGAAGTCGCATGCATTTGAGAAAATTATGCGCCTCGATTTGCCAGAAAACGGTAATATGCAAGCCAAGAACCTGGGGGGACCCAGCAGGCATACTTAAGGACAAAGTAGACAACATGACTTCACCATACTGCGGCCGGCAGGATGAGACTAGATGAGTAGGTCGTCAGCAGCGATCGTTAGTAAAAGTTGGATTCATGCTGGAAAGAGATCTCAATAAGCCACTTTCATTGAACTAGATCCTTTAGCTTGCCACCCTGGGAAGATGCCAGGAATATTTCCAGGCGTGACAGTGTTGAAGACAGGTTCAGCTTCCTGGCTGCGGGTAAATAGTAGAAGCTGGACATCTGTTTTATGCAATGGGAACAGTATCTCATGTTGTGTTGTAGGTTGTGCAAGGATCTTCAGAGTACGTAGGTAATTGAGTTGCACGTCCAAGTGAAAGCTATAAATAGTGCCGGTCTAGGCCGGAAACAGACAGGTCTGGTCGACACACCAGGAGAGGACTTTGGCTACAGCACTCTTTTTCCTTGAACATCGATAGAAATCGGACACGGTCCACGGTAAAGTTTGACTTTGAAAGGGATGAAGCCAAGATGCATCGGACGGAGAATAGGAGCATCGCCAAGACGGAATACGAGACTTTCCAAGCCGGAAGAAAGTACAACCGCTGTCTGCTCCACACTTCTCTCCTGGCACGACGAGAACATCAACAATGCTCCATCGCCGCCATTGAGTGCTGCGTACGTCCTTTACCCTATCACCTACGCTCCAGAAGTGACAAGCTCTCACCATGCCTCACCACGGCGATGTCGAGAATGGCGAAAGCACTCCTCTGCTATCTCGCGTTGCCAACATACACATTCACGCCGATGGTGAATCTGGGCGCAGCGGTTTCCACCCGGGTCACTTCCTGAGCGTGTCATGGAAGAGCTCTAACAAAGTCTCAATGGCCGTCAATGTCCTATGGCCCTTTGTACCTGTTGCCATCATTCTTCGTTACGTCCTCCCCAACCACCCTCTTCTCATTTTTGCATTTGCGTACATAGCGATGGTTCCGTCGGCCAACCTGCTCGGTTTTGCTGGTCAAGAATTCGCACGAAAGATGCCCAAAGTCTCTGGGATATTGATGGAGACCACGTTCGGATCTGTCATCGAAATTGTTCTGTTCCTCGTCCTGGTCGTGCGACACAAGCCAGGGCACGGAGAAGGATCCTCGGAACATGGCAATCTGATCCCAGTTCTTCAAGCAGCCATCCTTGGTAGCATACTGACAAATCTGTTGCTTTGTCTGGGCATGTGCTTCTTCGTCGGTGGTCTTCGACAGACAACACAAAGGTTCCACTCGGCAATCAGTGAAGTTGGTAGCGGAATTCTGCTAGTCGCCGGATTTGGACTGCTGATTCCGAGCGCCTTCTACTCTGCATTGAAAGGCTCCGCCAAGATCAGCATCTCGGCACACAAGCACTTTACTGACAGGATTCTGCAACAGGATGTCTTGAGGGTCAGTCAGATCACATCGATCTTGCTTATTATAGCCTTTGCCATGTTTGTCAAACCGTGATACATAGTCGACTGTGCGAATGCTGACTGGTGGTAGCTTCATCATTTTCAACATGCGATCACAACACAGTATCTTTGATGAGGTTTTGGAACAAGACGAGCATGCCGATCTCGACCGCAGTGATGATCTAGCCAAGCCAAAGCTCACGTTCGTGGAATGTATCGTTGCCATCACAGCTTCGATTGTTTTGGTAACCCTTTTTGCTGTCTTCTTGGTTGAGAAGATTGAGGATGTCGTTGAATCTGGTGTGCCCGACCAATTCCTAGGCTTGATTCTGCTGCCGCTGGTAGAGAAAGCAGCGGAGCATTTGACGGCGGTGGACGAAGCGTGGGATGGTCAAATTGTAAGGCAAATCCCCTTACCATTCGGTATATATGCTGATATCAGTAGAACTTTGCCTTGTTCCATTGCATCGGCCCATCGATCCAGACAGCACTGTTCAACGCGCCTTTGGTCGTGATAGTTGGCTGGATCATGGGCAAGGGAATTGACCTGAACTTCGAGATATTCATGGTTGCGTTGTTGGTCTTGTCGATTCTTGTGGTTGGTAACTTCTTGCGCGATGGCGAATCCAACTATCTCGAAGGAGCTCTCCTAGTGGTAAGTCTGCTCCTTCATATCGTTTCTGAGATACTGATACGGCTTTTCAGATTGTGTACGTGATCGTAGCGGTTGCTGCGTGGTACTACCCTGATCCGGATGTCGCAAGCTCGAATGGAACAGAGGCTGTAGTAGCATTTGTTAAACGAAGCTTTGGCTTCTAAAAGATCATCAACAAGCCCTTTGTTTCAAAAAGCGAAACAATTGGCAATCTGCTCAAAGCCTATAACTATAGTTATAGGCAGCCGTTGTAGATTCTTAAATGAACCTGTGGAGGACCTAATAGCTATTGCGCATCGTTTCGATACTACCATGCTCCTTCTCGGAGCATCAACTCCCATACGTAGTCTGAGTAAACAAACTCACAATCGGAGGAAACAATTTCTCCCCCCTTTCAGACTCCCCTCTACTCTGCTCGAGCGCCCACCCCCTCACATCCGCCACCTCCATCCACCGCCACTCCTTGCACCTCTCCGGCTCCATAATCTACTTCCCGTCAGCTCCACACCCATCTCTTCCCCCCCCCCCAAGCCCCGCAAAACTCACCCTGGCCTCCTGCTCCTCGTCCTCCCCACTAACCCGACCCGTAACAAACACCGTCACATAATGCGCCCTCCCATCCTCAGCCCGCACATCATCCCACACCGTGCTCACCGTCGCACATACTCGACAACTCCCAACCTCGAGCCGCAGGCCCGTCTCCTCGAGCACTTCTCGCACCGCACATTCCGTGAATGACTCCCCGAACTCGAGGTGTCCGCCGGGTAGGGCCCATGTGTTCTCCCCAATGGACCCGGTGCGCAGGCCGAGGAGGATGCGCGCGGGGTGCGTGGAGTGCGGACGTGTGATTAGCACGCCGACTCCGACGCCTGGGGTGCGGGGCATGATTTCGATTTTCGAATTAGGGGGTGGTAGATGGGGATGTGGTGTGGAAAGATGAGGTTATATATGTTGGAGGCGTGGTGGAACCATCGTGAGATTTGTTGGGCGCATGGGATGGAATGGGATGTGACCTGCCAAGACTGCGTTTGTGGTTTTCAGGCTTAAACACTTTTAGTCTGATGAATCGACGATTTCCACTCTGTCATGGTACAGATCGGCTTAGGGCTTACGACCACGTTGCATATACAAAACATTCAAGCTAATTCAATGTCGGGGCTGACTAGTCGTAGTGCAGTCAATGATCTTCAAAGCTGGCATTGCCCGTTCCTCTTACTCACAGTAGTTTATCAGTCTTCCACGCAAACTTGCACCCTACTTGTGCATGATCTCCTCATTCGTCTTATGGACAAGCGGTGGTCCCAAGTATTAGAGGTCCTCCAATCCTCGATCGATCGTAATTTAGGATAACAGTTGGGATTTCTCGGACCGTACCTCTGCGTGCCGTGTTGATGGTTAAGGCATACTCGAGTGATACTCGAATAAGCTGTCGCATAAGTATATCGATGGTTTACTCACAAGTATTTTGCAGAATTGAAGTGGCGCCTTGATTAGATCTTCCACCGAGATCTAGTTGCTGAGATATCAGCATACTACCACCTGTCAACCAGGCAAGAGAGTAGTAAGGTCTGTCTTATCACATAGCACCGAGGCTCGGCACCATAAGCAAATTCGTACAAGATGTCGTCCCACACATTATCATTTATCCCCCCTTTAGTATGCTCTACCGCAATCATCCAGCACAATCACCAGAAAAACGCCTCATTGAACAACTCCATCTGCCCCCTAGCCACAGGCAGAACCTCCACAAACGCCTTCCGCGCATCATCCATCATACCCGCCGGCCCACACGCCACGACCGCCAGCCTCCCCGCACTTTCCCTCTCTGCCTCGCCAATCCTCTCCTTCACGCTGGGCCTGACAGTCTCGATTTTCTCCGTCAAGTTCTCCGCCCTGATGTGCGCATCGGACGAGCGGGTAATGTGCGCGTTGACGTGCACACGGCCCGTTTCCACAGCACACTTAAGTTCACGCGCGAGTACGCTGTCGATGAGTGCGGCTTTGCGGGATGCCCAGACTAGGGAGATGCGGGCGGTCGGGTTTGTGGCGAGGGCGGTGTAGATGGCGGATATACCCACCGAGATACCGCTGCCGCCAATGAGGAGGAGGATATCAGTGTATGTACTCAGGTCGGGAGTGTGGCCGTAGGGGCCTTCATAGAGGAAGGTCTTGTTGGTAGTTTTGGACATCTTGTGGGCGAGCTTGGAGGTGTAGCCTTTGTACGGGCGGATGAGGAATGTGTAGCGGGTCGAGGGGGTGGAGGAGATTGGCGCTATGGTGGTGTTTTGAGGGACCTTCTCGTCAGGAGTTTTCTCGTTGTCGATGACGGGGCTACCAGGAAGTGATGGGGAGCTTGATTCTTGCCAGCGGACAAGGGTAAAGGGGTGGTTTTCCCAGCCGAAGAGTGTGAAAGGGGAGTATCTAGGTTCCTGTTAGATCAGAATTGAAGCGGCAATGTAATGGCGTAAGCATACAGGAAATAGTAAGCACCGCCTTGAGGTGCGATACGTGAGAAGACATTAGTGACATCGATGCGGAGGATGTTGCCTTCGGTGTCATATTCCAGAGGCGCCTTGAGTGTAGCCGCAAAGGCCCAGTGGAAGCAAACTCTGGCAATGCGGACAGCGCGATCAAAGGCCCAGAATGCTACACATGGCCACAGAAAGCCATTGTATTCGCCATTGAAGATTTTCGTGTGGTAAAACAGATTGACCAGAGTAACGATTGACAGCACGATGTGTAGGACCAGGAAAAAGTCGTACCAGCGTATGCGAAGAAACATGATCGAAAACACAAGCACCAAGCTCATGGCGGTAGTGGCAATGACACCAGTGTACCAGTACTCCTGCTTGAAGGATGCTGAGTAGTCAGCATATCCACCAAACGTGAATGAAAAGGCAGTATAGCCTATCGAGTGCAATACAGCTTCCAGAGTAGACACGCGGGCGACCCATCGGTGAAAGCGATTGAACACCGGATACTCCCAACCAGTCAGCCAGATGAGAATGTTGTTGCGAATACCAAATGCGAAGAAGATGGACAAATTTGCATACGAGAGGTAACCAGTGCGGTCGGCGAAGTATCTCCATGTTTGCAAGTTTGTCTGTGCATAGTATGCATTGCCAGGGAATGCAGTGTAGGACACGGCACACAAGACAACGTTGATTATGATGAATGAGAGAATGATGAGAGTCTCCGCACGCGGTGGAAGTGTGGCTCCGAGCTTGGATTGGCTGCAGGACTTCGAGAAGGTTGCAGGTAGCAGGATATGGGTCCGTATTGCTGTCCAGATCTTGTTTGCAGGACCCTTACGAGGAACACTACTGTCTTCCGGGACATTCGGCAAGGAGACCTTCCGAGAAGTTATCCAGCTTGCAAAGTTTGCACCGACGCCCAGGGCAAGCACGATGCCCCAGAAAATGTACATCGCTTTGCTATACCATTGATGATATTGACGCTGAGAATACCACTCATCCTAGGAATGATATTAGGCGCTAATCGAAAGTCTTTGCCAATTTGTGTACCCACGATTGTCCTGTAAGCTATAGTAAACGTATCATCGGATGCAATGGCAGTCGAGTTGTATTGAGTGAGATCACCGGTCTCAACAACGACGACTTTGGCCAAATCAACATTCGCAATTGCGTCGACGTTTCCATCGAGAAGAGTAAAACTTTGCTCCTCGCAGGTTTTCTCCATATAATTTAAGCCAGCCTCCCATTGTTTCTCATCATGGCAGTACTTCTTGGTACAAGCATACGTGGAGTGAACGAGGAGCTCATTCTGACAATTATACGCATAGTAGCCTTCTACCAGCAAAGAAGGGCTCCCGCCGAAAGTGATGCCGGCGACGGCAAGTTGACACCCTATGAAACACCAGGCAGTGCTACTGGGCTCGCTAGCAGCTGCAACGCCGCGGAAGATGGCAGCCAAAGCTGTAAAGAGAAGTGGTTTAGTCCGCATTGTGTATGGACATGAGAAAACTCAGAGGTGAGCAGGAAGCTGATCTATTCGTAAGATGTATCATGGGGAAGGAGAAAATATGTACCAGTCTCTAGTACGGCAGTCTTTGCATGTATTGATCTTTACCGGGAATACCGTCCCAGGGTTTGAAGGGCAGGTCAAAACCGTGTGACAGTCACACCGTGACAGCGAGAGCCCCACCATAGTGTCGTTTTTCTGGCAGGAGGAAGACTAAACGGGCCTTTTGTAAAGACGGTCCACGGGAAGGACGCAACATATGCGCGATGTTCACTTGGTCGTCTGGAGCAGGTTAGCACCATCGGATAAGATTATCTGGCATCTGATAAGATTGGTTCCAGATCCCAGAATCTCGCATCCTTCAAGCATAGGAGGAACAGCTAAAGCAAATGAGACGGCCCAGACTGATCATCGGCGGAGTAAAACGTGTGGAAATAGCCCCGCGTGTACACTAGCGTGGTGCGATCATTTTATTTTGCGTAAAGGAAATGCGCCGGTGAGGTGGATAGCTGGGGACAAAGTTTCCTGCACCGAGGCAAAGCTACCACTTCACCATCCGCCAGGAGACTCTCATCGCACCGTATTATTACACTTGATTGATCGGGTAACTGCTACGGACTGATCGTTAGAGTCAAGTGGAAGTTGGGATGCGAATAGCTGGTTGCTGAGGAGCTCGATTGTCGTTGAACAATCAAGGAGATGGCTCGGGATTGATTCTGGCATCACTATCGAATATTTTTTTGACTGCTCGGTGGCTTGCAGCATTGGAGAGGCAAAAGAATTGCTTACTGGGCGCCACAAAGGCTTCTTCTTTCTTCGAGAGCACAAGGCGCTCTATAGTTCGCGTTAGACAATGTAAGATTGTATGTAATGACCTGGTCTTTCATGATCATTATCAATCCTTCCTTGCGGACCTTACTGCATATGAGCCCGGCTCGGCGTACATATGTGGGCAGATGACACAAATGGAAGATAATTAGGTAGACATATTATGCCCCACGTGGTACCTACGCAGATTAGCACCAACGCAACGCAACAGAAGCGCCGGCCAGAGAGATAAGACGTGGGAGGTATTGTTCTACTGATCGTCTAGTAAGAGTCTGAAGAATCTCAACTCTTGTGACTTTCGTCACGCTCCCAAGTCAGTTTCTAGAGACCGACTACTCATTCCATACATACGCAATATGAGTCCGCTGTGCCCGCATATGAGATCATGTTACAAAACGTTAAACAGTTGGATGGTACCCAAGCGATGCGTCGTTTACGTAACAACGCTTGATAGAACAACCTTCGGCGGCAGAGGATTGTGAAGGGAGACGCTCTGCACCGAGACCCTAGCATATATGTACATACTGTAGGCATAAATTGGATTGGGTTCTTCTGTAATCAGAGAATGGGCGTCGGGAATGAAACGTCACTAAAGACAGATTATGCCAAGAGGTCAAGGCGTGCAGACCTGACTCGAGATTGCAGGTGAGGTGGACCCCTGGAGCTAATAGGTACTCATACTGTAGGGCTACTCGCTACCTTCCCATTAGCCATTCTTCTGCAGCCGTCGCGCAGAGGTCGACTGGAGATCCATAGCTGCACTGCGGAGAAGTTCGCGACCGTTGAACAAAGTGAAGCGCGCGCAAAGAAAGAGATTCAGTATGCCAAGTTTCCGACTCCCATTCCTGCGAAAGATGCCACAAAGCCTAAGCTGGTGCGAGAAGCGTACATTTTTTTCTACCTTTGGTCTCGCCGCCGGCACCTTCGTCTTCCTCACCGACAACATTGTAACTGTTCAAAGGGTCCGCGGCCGATCCATGGCCCCATCTATCTCCCCAGCGTACCATGAGACAGGCAACCGAGACACTATTCTACTGGAGAAACTTCTACCCGCACTGGAACTCCAGCGTGGAGATATCGTGAGCTTTTGGACGCCAAACCGCCCGGACCGCACGGCCATCAAGCGTGTCATTGCGACCGAAGGGGACATTGTCTACCCACAAAGACGTCATCCGCTCAAAAAGGTCGTCATACCGCATGGTCACGTTTGGGTAGAAGGGGACAATCATGAGCAAAACGCATCTGTTGACAGCAATGACTATGGTCCTGTACGTCAAGTTTCACCATACCCTTGCTTCGGTCGCTAACAAGCCACTAGATCTCTCTGAACCTCATAGATGGGAAGGCACGCGCTGTGGTGTGGCCGCCAAGTCGCATGGGAGCCATTGTAGACCGCCGTTCGAGGCGGACTCGTGTTGAGCCCGGCAAGTCTGAGATGCCCCGAGAGTACGAGGAATGAGGCATATCTGATACAAAAGGGTCGCTGAAGCAGGTACGATCGTCTTGCCTGCCTATTAGTTCTTATAAATATTTTCTAACTCTTTACAGACAGTGTCTGTCACTTCCTTCGTCGTCGCGACACCCCCGAGGTCCCTGGTTCGAACACCTGCCTCAGTGACGGTTTCTATGCTCTTCACCAGTTCGTCTGCCTCCCTGCCAGCACCTAGCCATCGTAGCATTTCCGCCGCACTCCATAAAGCTCCAATGGGATTAGCGACTCCCTTGCCAGCTATATCTGGCGCGCTACCGTGGATCGGTTCGAACATACTGGGGTTGCGGCGAGTTGGGTCAAGATTGCTAGAAGGGGCTATGCCGATACTACCAGATAATGCTGCAGCAAGATCCGTAAGGATGTCGGCGTGAAGATTCGTCGCAACAATCGTGTCAAGAGACTTAGGGTGTAGCGTCATGCGTACGGTCATGGCGTCGACGAGCATTTTATCTGTCTCAACGTCAGGGTATTCTTTGGCGATCTCCCAGAAGATCTTATCCCAGAGAACCATCCCATATCGCTGAGCATTACTCTTGGTGACCATCGTGAGTTTCTTCCTAGGTCGGGATCTTGCAGTGTCGAAGGCAAAGCGGAATACTCTCTCGCAGGCGGCCTGCGAGAATATGGCCAATTCGGTCCCTATTGCATTACCAGGAGCGACTTCTGTAATGCCTCCATGTCCAGCATACTCCCCCTCGCTGTTCTCTCGAACAAATACCCAGTCGAGGTCCCCTATCTGGCAACTCTTTAACGGACTGGAAGTGCCAGGGAGGATGCGCGTTGGCCGTAGATTGATGTACTGTGTCAGCGTCTTTCGAATAGGTAGTATCAGGTTCCAAAGAGAGATGTGATCCGGAACCTCTATTCAACAATTAGTATGTAGAGTACAGTATACACAGTCTCAAACTAGATCTTACTAGGTGAACCAACCGCCCCAAAGTATATCGCATCATGCCTCTTCAGCTGCTCCAAACCGTCCTCGGGCATATACCATCCACGTTCCAAATACTTGTCGCTGCTCCAATCGTAATGTGTAAATTCCCACACGAATGACCCACTCACATCTGCCAGTTTCTGCAGTACTTGGATGGCCGACTCCGTGATCTCAGTACCAATTCCATCTCCTGCTATTACGCCGACTTTGAAATAACTCTCAACATGATGGATGTGGCTTGGTGACATCACTGTTCGGTGCGCAGATTGGTCCTCAAAACTTGAATGTAATGGACTCGGAAGTATTTCTGTGGGAATGGAATTGAAGGGGTACAGCGTTCCACTGAGTTTAATTTCAGTCTATGGCAACTTCGCTTCCTGCTCTTGCATTTCTCGATGGCCCGTAGCGCATCATTCCCTTGTTCCATTCCAGTATCTCCAATGAGCCCCGCCTTTGCGCTTTTCTCAAATTGGTAAGGTGCCCTAGTGGGGTTACTACTCATCAGGGTCCAACAACACATGCCGATGCTTTCCTATTCGACACACATCTCCCACCCTATTACCTACATAAAGGCCCATACAACATCCCCTCCAATACTCTCTGTCCTTGTGCAACTTACAATCCCACACCAAGCAATCTAAGACCATGGCGTCTTCATCATACCCAGCTGGGAAGACCTTCTTTAGCACTGTCAAGAAATCCTACGTGGATGTACCGGTGGATCAGAGCAAAGACAATGCCGTGTCTACATCTGAATTTCTAGAAGCGAATGAGTCTCTCCTAAGTCTATTTGGTACGCTATCATTCCTCACAGTATCTGCGAGTAGACGCACGGCCTATGAACTAATTGATGTCCTCTAGACCTTCTCGGCTCCGGAGCCTTCTCTCTTGTCACCAAAGATCTCGCCAACAATATTAAGAAGGTTCGGACAAGACAGCTTGAGAAGCCTGCCGAGTCGGAGACAATTCAAGATCTGGTCAAGAATGAGATAAAGGATGGCAAGAGCACAGCTACCGAGGGTCTTTTGTGGCTCCTCCGGTAAGAACAACAAAGCATCTAATATATCAAAACTGAATCCCAGCGACAGTGGTCTCGAGTTCGCTTCTGCATCTATCGGACTGAACCTGACCAAGCCCGACAAAGAACTCGGCCCCTGTTTCCAGGAAGGCTACGGAAACACACTAAGCAATCACCATGGAGCTGCTGTGAAGATTGTTGTTAAGCCACTACTTGGGCAACTGCCATACCGAAAGGACTTCTACGCTAAGCTAGGAGCAGACCACGAGCTTGTAGAGGCTGAGATGAAAGCTTGGGTGGAGGCATTCCAAAAGATCGTTGACATACTGCAGACATTCATGCAAAGTCCGCTTGTCCAGAATGGTCTGCCTAAAAAGAAAGGCTGGTTCTGATCTAGCTTCTAAGACATCTGGACGTCTCTAGCCACTTAGATGATCAACAAGCTATGCAATTAGAAGTCAGTGGATCTAGATCCCAAATGAATTTTTTCTCTTCTCTTTGCTGGCTCATATTTTCGTATCTGAACCTGTTATCCAAATTTTGCTGATATTCCTTGATAGAAATCCTGTACAGCTCAAACTCCATGATCACCTAAGAAGAGCATCGCAATTAAATTACTTCAATAGCATCGACGGATTTCTTTCCGACATGAAGACTAGTCATATGCGTAGCCTGGGAGATATGCGCGATATTATTAGCGACTGACTGTAATTACACGCTATCTGGAAAACGCGGATAAGAACATGACGGATTCAGATCATATTCCCATCCGAAGACATGGCTACTGAGAACGTTGCAGATGTTCACGATCGGCGATCGATGAAATCATGCAATTCAGGATCGCCGAGAAGAGGGAGGTCATGAGTGGTGAACATGACAAGGGGTTGAAGTTGAACCATGAACGAGAAAAATATTGCAGGCTTTCTTAGGGACCCGTGGTGAAATGGATGCTGAAGTAAGTCCTGAGGGCTTGATGTCTCTGGCTGGGCAATTTGCAGGTGGCATTTCTGGGTTCGCTCTTCCCACGCCATCCCTGGCAGTGAACAGAGAGGAGAATGAGGTGACTCCCGAGGAACCGATCTCGCTTCTGGGTGGCATAGTGCCCGTAGTCCCGGAATTAATGCCGATATCGATGCCAGCTGCAGTGAAGAGAGATGCAGTTGCATCATCATTCATTACGTGAGAAGCACTGGGAAGATGGTCACATGTGGTTGCGATTAGATGTGGTGAGGGGTTGTTCATGACAATCTTGAAAACACTAGCACCTAGGCCTTGACGATCTAGTAGATTTTATGAATTATGTCTCGAGGCGTTATCTTTTTTCTTTCTGCTTTGGGATAATTGTAGATTACCTAAGGCGTTAGTGGTTGCGTCTGACGTCTGACGTCATGTGCTCATCACAATGTTCCACCAGGGTTCGCGCTTGCCACAATTAATTAGCCTCAGTTTCATGCCTCTCAACCTTGTGTAGCTTAATTAGCTAGGTACTCTCTGCACGCTATTCTTATACTCTCCTAAGTGTCTCATTTGACCTCATACAATACGAAAAGAGATACTCTTGCTCGCGTTCCTATTTACTCTATCATGTCGGGTTCACGCATCCCGCATGAAGCTCCTCCAAGCTACACGGAAGCTACAGGCTCATCAGCTCCTCCAACATCAAACCCAACTTCCTCACATCTAGAAGTCCCTGGCGCATCGTCATCCTCAAACTCCAGAATCCCTGATGAATACCGCCGCTCTATGGAAGATGAGGGGCGCCCACTCCCAAAAGGCTGGGTCCGCACTTTCGATCCCGACAGCACGCACCAGTTCTATGTCGACACAACAAGAGACCCACCGCGCAGCATCTGGAACCATCCCTACGACGATGATGAATACCTCTCGTCACTTCCATCGGCCGAACGTGAACGTCTTGAGCAGGAAAACATGACCTCGTACCTGGGTGGCGCAAAGCGTGACCCTTCACACGAAGACTACATACATGCACATTCCGACGTTAGTGATGACGACCATCAACATGCGCCAACTGGCTCTGCTGCAACATCAAATTCTGCTGGCACTGCTGAACTTCCGCCGCGACCAGATGGAGGGAAGGATAAAGGCAAAGGCAACGACAACCGCTCATTCGGCCGCAAACTGAAAGACAAAGTCACCGGCACCACGCACGAAGAGCGACAGCGTACACGTGCGCAACGTGAGGCTGAGGAGCGGAAGATGTATGAGCGACACATGCAGCTGCGCAAAGCGATGGTAAAGGCGATGCAGACGGGAGAGCCGCAGTTGATTGGCAAGGATAAAGACGGTAACGACTTGTACCTCACTCCGCCAAAGCAAAGCGGATATAGCTCTATGGGTGGTAGAAACTATTATAATCCGTATGGTGGTGGCTTGTATGCCGCCCCAGGGATGTATGCACGGCCGGCATATCCGTATGGAAGGTCGATGTATGGAGGAGGGTATGGACGGTATGGGGGCAGGTACGGCGGTGGTATGGGAATGGGTATGCCACTTGCTGCTGGTCTGGGTGGTGGACTGCTTGCCGGTGGACTGTTGGGCGGTGCGTTGTTTTAAGGTCTGAGGAAGACACTACAGCACTTTGTGAAAGAAGCAGCAATGGAACAGCAAAGATATGGCCAGTATGACTAGCGAGGCCAATAACAGAAGATGGTGTAAAGCCTCCATATTCGCCGTAGCTAATAACTACGAATCAGTCACTTGACAGCATTTCTCTACGTCAAGAAGGCATGAATTCGCGATAGTACGTGGAAATTTTACTTCTTGAACAGAGACCGGGACAAAGAAAGAAGATAGTGAAGTCAATGGCGGCTGTTTCCTTTGTGGCTAATCCAACCTATCAAAAGGCGGTTTCGAGTCGATAAGTGACACAAGGAATCTCAATTTGGTCTCTGTCTTCCATTCATTGATGCTCTAATTTTCTTTTTTTCTTTTTCTATTTAATGATGCGTAATTAACAACGTAACTCCGTACCCCCTAATTTCCTGTTTGTCAGGGCACATACTGCCCTGCATGAAACCAACGACATGCTGCTCTGACACTCTTTCCTTATTCCCTCATGCTCTTTGCCTAAACTACTTCACGCCCATAACTTGGCTCCTAGAAGTCCACTCCTCAACCAGCCCTGTTTCAAGTTGGCGAATCTTGAAAGTTGACCCCTCCATTTACACAGTCAGCCGAACACTCCGGACTACTAAGTGCTTGGTGTTTGTCCTAAAGGTCTGGTGGGTATCTAAACTCAATCCCAACCAACTTACATTGCCCAGTACAACTATTTGCAGACCTTGTCTCGAAGTTCGAATCTCGTGCAATGCTGAGAGAAGTCCCCGCAGCCATATGTGCAGAGTTCATGCCAACACTCTTTAGCTCGGAAGAAAGGCTCTCAACGCTCTTCCTAAAACGAGGACATCTTGGAACAATTTCATCAGACTAGAGCCACTCTGGAACATAATTTACTAAGGGTCCCGGATTTTGGCGAGATTGGTTGGGAAAGTGAGACTTAAAAGGTAGTATTGATCGCACCATCTATAGTAACTCCCTACATTGGATAGCAATTCGACCTAGCGCCGTTAAAATCCTTGATCACACAGCGACCTAGTTGCTTATATACCTAGTCTCTTAGACTTACCTCATAGCAAGGCTCGAATCATAAATATAGAGAAGAGACATCAATACTATTTCGAAGAATAGGAGCGTTATTTTTCAAGACAGTCTAGAAACGATTAAATTTAAGAAAATTCATGGTACTATATAATACTTTGTTGTACGTGCATCTAATCTACAGAAAATCTAAGCTATATACACACATGTTATACGTACATGTACGTTTTGATCTAGCTATTTAGATTCTAATTACTATTTACTTACCATAAAATAAAGTATTGCTGTTTATATATATTTACTTATGAATTACTATCTGGTAACTTAAAGATCGACTCCAATACCCTTGAAAACACTTTGTATCAGTCTACTTCCCTTGACCTATATGGTTTTCTGGGATAATTTATACATAAGGTCACGTGTGCAGAGGTATCATTTCTGGGAGCGGTCGGTGGATCACCCGAAAACAGCTAGATCGCATGGATGATCATACATCTCACCACAGTCACAGTTTCTATTCGGTGGAGTCCCACCACCTGACTGCTGCCTAATCGTGATAGGCAACTAACTCTTCGTGGTGCCAAAGGACAATACCATGTCTACATATTCGCGCTCTTTATCTGATCAAAGAATATCTGAAGTATGACATCTGAAACTGAATTGTCCGATGGCAGTGATAGTTTTGAGCGAGTCGATCTCGATGATGTCGCTAATGAAATTGTCGCGAGAAAGCAACCCGATGTGACAAAGATCCGAGCATGGCTTCAGCCCACAGATTACGCCGCGAGTTCCAGTGAATACATGCGACATCTTTCTTCGCAGGCTCCCGGCACCGGAGAATGGATCCGAGAAACAACTCAGTTCGATCTGTGGCATCTATCGCCCGATCATGGTTCTATCTGGATTAAGGCAGTACCTGGTGCTGGCAAGAGCGTTATCGCTGCTTCTATGGTCAAATCACTCTCCGAAGACGAATGTGTTCCAGTCTTATTCTTTTTCTTTCGCCATATCATAGAGAAGAATCGGACCAGCCGTTCGCTCCTCCGGGACTGGTTGTCTCAGCTACTGCCTTCTAGCGCCATCCTGCAAGTGTCTCTTTGGGAACACGTCGAAAGCAAAGTGGCATTAGAGACTGTGTCAAGCGAAGAACTCTGGCGGCATCTCCAGACGGCTCTGAAATCTCTGCCAAGAGCCTACTGCATTGTTGATGCTCTTGATGAGATGGAACTTGATCACAAGTTTCTGGAGCGCCTCAACCGGCTTGGGACTCTGAAGCCAAAAACAATCAAGCTATTGATGACAAGTCGCCCCAAACAGTACCTGCAGCAAGCTTTGAGAGACCCTGAAGTGATTCATGTCAGCCTTGAGGAAGAATTAGTCAAGCGTGATATAGCACTCTTTGTTCGCCAACGTGCCGGAAAGCTTGTCACACATGGGATCAATCTTGAACTGCAGAACTTGGTGTGTGAGACCGTGTGCGAACGTAGTCAGGGACTGTTTCTTTATGCACGTCTCATGCTGGAGCAAATCACCGATCTTGTCAGATCATCCAACCAGGATAAACAAATCCTCCGTAATGTCATCCTCAAAATTCCGGTCGGGCTCGAAGCGATGTACGACAGCGTTCTAGCCGAACATGCTCGTAGGACTGGGATCGATGTATCCGTCCAACTATTCATCTTACAGCTGGTAACGCATTCCTCCAGACCTTTGCGTCTCATCGAAATCGCATCAGCTCTTAAATCATGCCTTCCCTCCACATCATGGAATCGTCGGAAAGAACTTGTGCGATCAGGCTGCGGCCCTCTGCTTGAATGCATGGAAGACGAGACCATTGGTGTACTACATCATTCTTTTACCGAGTTCCTGACAGACGCGAATAGGAGACTGCGCGGACTGCAGAGCTTCCCAGTCGTGGAATCTTCAAGTGCACATAGAGCTATTGCACTGGTCTGTCTTTACACACTTCAATGCAATGGTGTCAAGGGGATCAGCCTATACCAGCAGAGTGAAGCAGACGAGAAGGATGAGCTGGATGACGAGTATGACTATCGCAGACCTCGAACAATGCGTAAGCTTGAAGGAATATACGAGAAGGTGGCCTTGATGTCTTACGCGGTCAAAAACTGGTTCTATCATACTCGCCAATTGACGGACTCAACAGACGACAGTTTCTACGACGAGCTTACCAGATTTTCTGTACCCAGAAGCTCGCACTTCAGAGCTTGGATCAACCTCTATAATGCCAGTTTACCGCGAAACAAGTATGGGAGTCTCTCAGACACAGGCACTCTGGCAAGGAAAGGAACCACATCTTTGCACATTGCTGCTGGGTTCGACTTATTACACTGGGCACAGAGACTGATTCGTGGCGGCGTTGACCTCAATGCGCGAGATGACTATGATGCTACAGCGATATACTATGCATCAAAAGCTGGTCATACTGGAATGGTTAAGCTGCTCCTCGATGCTGGCGCAGATCCAGATATGGACTGTTGTAATGGCCATAAGCCACTACACGAGGCAGCATCCAGAAATCATGCGCAGGTAGTTAGATTGTTACTTGAAGCTGGTAAGGGTCGTCATAGCACGATCACGTGTGATATAAAGGGTCACGGTAACATATAAGCAGGTGTCAGTCCAAAAACTGGCAAGACTCGCGATCCTGGGAGGAAATGTGGTAATGCCAAGTCAAGCATAGGTTACCATCCTCTGCAGTTCGCTGCAAATCGGGGTCACATTGACACGGTTCGAGAGATGATCCCCTATCTGACCCGCGAGGACCTTCACGAAGCTCTTGGTGATGCTGTAAGTGGGGGACACGCCCCTTTGATGACATTCCTGTTAGATGATGCAAAATTGTCTCCTGACTGTCGGTCTAAAATTAGACATGGCGGTGTTGGCAGAACTATTGGTGGCAAGCCTATCCTTATCCATGCCATTCAATCGAGGAATCCTGAGTGCGTAAAAGTTCTCCTGGATCGTAGGGCTGACATTAACGTGGGGATCGATATGGAAGGCTGTGACGATGAGTCAGCATCTTATCCAGTATCACAACGTGATGAGTCTCGAAGCGTACTGCACCATGTCGCGGGATGCGGCCCGTACGGTGACCAAGATGAAACCATCCAAGAAATGTTAGATTTACTCCTGGCGGCCGGCGCCGATCTCGAGGCAAGGGATAGAGACATGAGGACTCCTCTACTCCATACCATCAGCCTACGATTCCCAATGCTGAGATCACTCGAGCTATTCATAAAAGCTGGGGCTGATGTTCTAGCTAAGGACAAGGACGGTAACACTCTGCTGCACCAGGCATGTGCATATAGTCTGCATGAGCTGGAAACCATCACTAGGGTACTGGAAGCTGGCCTAGATCCGAATATTGCGCGAATCTCGGATGGGAAGACACCCCTACATCTGTAAGCTCACTTGTGTGGCTTATTCCGGCCTGAAACTGATGTCGACGCAGCTTTTTGTCACGAACTCACTATAATTTAGAAGCACTGACGCTGCTCTTAGAGCATGGAGCAGATGTCAACAGCCAGGACAACGATGGTAACAGTCCGCTGCACTATATGTACCGGAATAGCAATACAGTCATGGGAGCTTTGACTCTACTAACCAATCGAGGTGCTTGGATCAACGCACAGAATAAGAGTGGCAAGACCTCCCTACATTCCCATGCCGCCACAGGCCCACCGCGAGGTACATCTTGGAAAACATTGTTCGAGCAGAAATTGGATCTCGCCATTGATCATGGTGCTGATTTGGAAATCCGCGATCTTGAGGGCGAGTCTGTTCTAATGACAGCGGTAGAGCTCCAACCTCATCTAGTCCAGCTATACCTTGATCTTCCACAGCACCCGTCAGTCTTGACAAGGACTAATCAAGGAAAGACCCTATTGCATAAAATTTGTTCTGTAAGGCGAAGCTATGACGCTCTTGACACGAACACATTCGATCTCTTGCTCAAGTATGGAGCCGATCCTATGGTTCTGGATTATTCTGGCAATACCCTGCTCCATGAATTTGCGCCACATTTCAACGGGTCATCTGGTGACATTGAATTCATCTCGAAGCTCGTCAAAGCCGGTATATCCCCACGATCAGTCAACAGTAGGGGGCAAACCGCAGCACATCTCAGCACTGTATCGACCGATAGAAAAGAGAAAAACCGGTACCAGCACCACCACATACCATATCGAAAAAGTTTTGTGTCCGTATTGTTAGACCTGGATCCTAAATTCGACCCAAACACTCCAGATAGCGAAGGTATGATGGCACTCCACAACGCGATCTTATCATCGACAAGGGAAGCTTATGAGCTTATTGATGCTGGTGCTGATGTGACTTATTCAAATTCGAAAGGCGAGACTCCACTCCATCTCGCTGCTAAATCTGGTTGTGCCGATACGGTTGCTCTTCTCTTGGCACAACTAGAAGAAGTTTCATCGTCCGGCATAGATTCAGTCGATTGTTTGGGAAATACTGCGCTGCACTACGCTTGTCAGTCTCATGAGCCGGAATCTGTGAAGCTACTCATCGACTCTGGTTGTAACATACATATTCGCAACAAAGCTCAAAAGTCCGCATTTGAAGTGTTTGTCGAAAGTTTGCCCGGTGAACATGCGATAAAAGCACCCCAGAAGCAAGATATGCTGCCACAGATTGATCACGATAGTAAACCAATGAGTTCCATTTACCGGGCAGGCGAAATTAGAAAACTGCTGAGAGACGCTGGCGAGAAGTCAGAAGCAACTCACGATCTCTTTAAGAGAACAGATTGGCTCGAAACCGCACGTGAAGGCGACGGCTATACTAATAGCACAGACATCTGGCATCGGCTTAGAGACGTACACGAAACTGGCGTGAACAATCTAATGAAACATGGTATTAATTGGCACATGACTGACTCGACTTGTTGGTCGCAAGATACGCCAGTCACTTACCTTGTTTCACAAGCTATGACGGGAGCAGTTCGCAAAGTCGCTCATTTCGGCATGCTTTACGACGATCCTGAGTTTATTCGTGGTTTCAAGTCAACTGCCTCGCGCAATGGTCTGCCGCAGCCACTACTTCAGACAGCATGTAAAAGCACTAATTATAATATGAGTATGATCGAATTACTCTGGAACGATGGTAATATAGACGTCAATACTCATGGCTTAGTATTCCAGAAGACTGGTAATCATTCAACAGAGAATATCGTCCAAGGATCCACTGCACTGCATTTACTTGCTCGGGGTACCTCATTCTGGCATATTAAAGCTTTAAAATATCTCCTAGACCTTGGTGAGCCATCCATCAACTATTCGGTATAGTTTCAGAGAACAAAGTTAATTGTCATAGGTGCGGACCCCAACGCCCTTGACCAGGACGGTGCTACACCATTGCACGTTGCAAGCTCTGATCATTACGGTCGCCCTGGTTTCTTTGCACCACAATGTTGTAAAGTACTGCTTGACAATGGCGCAGACCCAAATATTGTGGACAATGCTGGATTAGTCCCTCTAAACAGAGCGAGAGATGGACGAGACATTGTTGGGATACTCCTGGAAGCTGGAGCGAACAGCCAGGCCGGGAACAAGAACGTCCTCATTTCTGCGATCGAGTCGGCCAGTCCACAGTTGGTCCAGCTCTACCTCGATCATGGAGCGGATCCCAACATACCGTACAAGCCAAATGATAGGTTGTCCGGACTTGATATGCGGCACGACGAAGGTGACTTCGAGTACCCCCTTGTTATAGCTTGTATACCATCCGCACACGCCGGCTGCTCCAAGCAGAAAAGTTTTGACATGATTACGCTTCTCCTTGATCATGGTGCGAAGATTGACCTTCCAATAAATAAAGATGAGACTTTGATCCACTACCTGTTCAGACGCGCTACCACAGAACGTTTGGAAGCGTTCCTTGAAAGGGGTGAACTTGATCTCACGATCCGAGATCCCCATGGTCGGACGGTCTTGATGGCAGCTCTTCAATCAACACAGACTCACGAATATAGACGCAGCTTTCTTTATATGGATGTTCGCAAACAGCTCCAAGCGATATATGTCACAGCTGCTGATGCGCTCATGCGGTCCGACCTACACAGTCGCTCTATCGATTACCTTGCGGTGGACCATGACGGCCGCAATATTCTTCACTACTTTGTGGATCCAAACCCCGATAGGAAATCGAGCAAGTGCGACAAGGAGATTCCTGCACATATCTTGACAACTCCCGGTGTTGCAGAACTCGTTCATATGAAGGACCAAAGAGGCCTAACACCTTTCCTCGACGCCCTCAGAGCTCACGGTAATACGACATTGGAGCAATTACTTACCTCCTTCTCACCTAATCTGTTCGACGTTGGTCCTAGTGGAAATACATGCCTACATTACATCGCGCGTGCTGGGCTTGAAAATATTGAGACTCGGAAACACATCATCGAGAAATATATCTATATGGGTGGCTACATCGATGTTCGCAACAACGCCGGCGAGACCCCTCTACTTGCGCACCTTACCGTACCACCCGGTGACTACCCACATTCTGAGAAGGATCAAGTGCCAGTGCCAGGATCTTTCAGCCGCGAAAAGAACCTGCGCTACTTGATCGACCTTGGAGCAGACATCAGGGCAACTACACACGACGGTGATTCCGCATTGCATGTTGTTGCGCGACTAAAAGACTCATTCGAGACTACGGCGGTTTTTAAGATGTTGATAGCTGAGGGCTGCGAAGCTCTAAGAGAGAATAAGGAAGGTAAGACTGCTCTGGACATTGCGGCAGCAAAGGAGAACAAAAGCATCCTGAAGCTCTTTGCGCGGAAGAAGGCGTAGCTATGACTCTAGGATCTAAAGATTTATCGATAATTATGTAGGGTAAGTTTCAAACGCGTGTCGTCGCTCAACAACCACTATCAAAGATTTGATGGATTGTTCAAACAGAAACTCTATAATGGTGTTTTAAGATTTTAAATCGTGGTCGAAAGCCGCACTTAAAATGTAACTCATTAAATGATCAGCTAAAAGTTGCATGCCGAATGTTATTCATCGGTCAGTTATGAGCTAATGAACTTCTCGACGTGGTACTCGGAAGGAACGGTTTCTGTGATCTGCGCTCTGTCGAATCGTGTATGCTACTAAGGTTCACTCTCTTAAGGAAGTAAGGTTCGTCCGAAAGATAGTTCCCCTATATCCATATGGACAGGGTCAAGCCCAAAGTCTCGAGTCGCAGCTGGCACTTAGATACTCTCCGATTCAACTGTGTGATCTTGTCACAGCAAGCAGCATATGACTCCGTTCAGAACATCACAAACATACCTCACTTGACCTAAATGTTCTCATCTCAAACTTCTGGTCGTATGGCTTGTACGGGTCAATGAAGAGCTGCGACAGTCAATTTCCGAAGTCCGCACCAAGTCAGGCGTTCGACAGGTCCAGGCCCAAGAATGGCTGTTTTTGCGGAGATTCTACAGCTAGTAGATATCCAGTACGTTACTGAGCTTTTGCTATCTGGGAGTGCTGATAGATCCACTCTGGGACGAGATTACTCCGCAGGGTAGCGAGAAGAGCGATATCGAGAATTGGAACGACATGTCAGCTAGCGAGATTACATTGAATGCGGCATTGGAGTACAGGCTCGGCAAACTAATGATTTGTGTTATAGTTGACCATTAGAGAGTGCTGTGCCGTACTAAGTGTGTGTGGATCGTCCTTTTAGCTGGTGCCTTCTAGCATTGTTGCTCTCGGTATACCAGTATATGACGGAGTTTGTTTGTTTCAGAGGAACTCCACCGTTTCTAGCCCATTTATAATCAGGAATTAGACTGTATGTGCATGCTATTATATCACATGTCTTGTTCGAGTATTCTTAGAGGTCCAGACAATATCTACTTCAGCCGTTATTAGTCTCATATCAGCAGCACACAGCTACCTACCCTTGCGTCAGCCCCAGTAGAATTATGCCTTACAGATCAGTCATCAAGCCTATAAACGACCAGTCGGTTGGATTTCCGAACAAGCTGTGCCGCACGCATCTTTGCGCCGCCTCACTGCATAAATTTTAGCTCAATCCCACACTATCTCTTCGACGCTCCCGATCGGCATATGCGATTGCTCGCGATGCATTGGTGACTAGGGGTAGAACAGAGGTAGCCCTGTTGTTTGTTTTGGAACTAGGCGATTCTTACAAGGGCTTTACTTGCTGCTAGGAGGCCTTGTGTCTATGAGGCACAGGAAACAAACTTGCGCAAAAGCAAATTCTGATATTACTGTAGAGAGATGATTTTGCTGGCCTCGGACCTAGTCCCATAACTATAGCTTGATTTGTGGCGTTGGTACTCGTTGGAATGTCAGTATGTGGAATAGAACTAGAAATCGATCTACATTATGCTACTCACGAACGCAAGTAGGCATTGTAGACTAATCATCAGTGGACTCGAGATATGCCTGGTTTCAAGGTATAATACTCACCTCGCGAGTGTTTCATTTTTTTGTGGGCACAAACAATAAGAAGAGCCGTGTCTCTGCCCACCTTCGATACAAGGAAGAGTTATGTTATGGTAGTAGATCTTTTCTGAATTAGGCTCGTGAAAAGGTCAGAGATGCCGCGGAAAGAGATCCAGCGAAATTTCTTATTTGCTGAGGAACCTGGTCGCAATTGATGCATAGAAGTAACCAGAAGCGAGAATGATTAGATTGTTTGTTCGATATGTGACGAAACTTGACATATATCGAAAGGGAGAAGTAGGTACCGCCAGTTTTAGCTCAACTATCAAATGTGCAATGACATATAAGTGGTACTCCAATTGCCATAGCGCGTTCATATGCTTTGTCGAATCAAGGGTAGTTCAAGCCAGATCCTTGCCGCCTTACTTTCCGTCATCAGTCACTTCGAGTCGGCAAGCTCGATCAGCTTCGCGACGTTGGCAGCCTTGCTGATCGCCGAAGCATGACCGCCCCCAACCTCATAGAACGGCCATTTTCGAAGACTCTGTCCCTGAACTGCGTCGTACATGGACTTTTGAAGAGCTGGTGGAATAGCCTTATCGAGGGCAGTAGCAATGTAGGAACAAGGTATGTCTTTCCAAGGGGCATACTGTGCCTTGGATCCAAAAGTAGCAGCAGCAGCCGGGCGGACATCAGGAAGATACTTTGCAGCCTGGGCATCGGTGAAGTCGTTGAAGAGAATATCGAGTGGGTTGTCGACGTTGACGTAGGCGGGATTTTGAGGCTGGCAATAGTCAGCAAAGTGATTCTATACAGGTGAGCAATGGCAAATATTTACGTCAGGCACGATGAATGCTGGTGTGCTACCACCAAAGTAGTCGGATAGTGCCTTGCCTGGTTCAACGATGAAAGCCGTGCTGTAGACTCCTGCTATAACGCCCCCGACTGATCCGTAGCTGGCTTTCTTGACAAAGCCCTCGATTGCGTCGCTGCCTACGAGACCCCCATAAGAGTGCATCACAACAATGATCTCCTTTCCGGCGCGCACGAGAGGCTTCAGTGCTTCCTGCACGAGTGCAACATCGTCACGGTGGGTACTTGTCGGGGGATTTGTGATCTTGCCGCTAACGAAGTCGGTAATTACAATGTCATTATAGCCATCAGCACGCAGCCTCTCAGCAGTGAGGTTCCAAAAGGAAGGCGCTACCCAAGCACCATGGACTAGGACAACTGCAGGCTTGTGCTTGAAAGCCTTTGCTGTCTCGAAGAAGATGCAGGACAAAATAAGGGGTAGAGTTAGAAAGAGCTTCATGGTGATAGGTATGGCGATGAATTGGTCAATGGTGGTGTATTGGTCTTGAGGAAACAAGTCAACAGGACTTTAAGTATTATGAAAGGCTCGAGTGTCGCATTCTAATGTATCTGAGTGCGCATGGATCCCATGTGGTTCGCCCGGTGCTCAGACACGGGAGCGGAAAGGTCATCCCTTGCTTCCGGTGCTACATTAGAGTCCGGGACAAGTCACTCCACCGTTGCCTATATTCCGTGATCCGTGTGGCAGATTCAACAAGTCGACAAGGGTAGGCGAGTCGTCTCAAGACCGGGATGCTCAACTTATGAACGATACATTTTAAGAAGTAGTTCATCCGTTTTCATGCCAGGGGACAAATCTTCAACGACTTGATGCTGCTGTATGACGAAATGGAGGGCCTTCACACGTCCATCAGAGAGTAACTGCGTTCAAGCAACATTATGACCAGCTTATGTGCAAATGATGGTATCATCACAATGGGGGATCGCTTCTTTCGTTCGCCAGGCAACACGCAAGCCGACATAGTTGCGATGACTAAAGCTAATCGCCTTGAAGCTTTTAGCAGTACTGCCTATATTAAACATTGAACAGTCTTACTGTAGTTATTCCTAGTGGTGGAACGTCGGGCACTTAGATCCCAACGCGGCGCAGAGACATCCCAAACCATCCCTTACTTCGAAGAGAACCAAACCGTTCTGAAGACAACACTGTTGGGTCAAGCAAGACGCTCGAAATTTATCTTCGCGGTGAAAGCATCACTTTCGGCATATCTTCCATAACTAGGGCATATTAATGGATCCCTTGACTTTTCAGGACCCTCATGCAGTCGACAAACAAAGTAGCTCATTGGAGGTAGTGAAGACAAACACGACATAGAAGAATCCTTTAGCTAGTACGGACGTCACCCCGGCCATACTTCGCACCGAAATATGAAGAATGTGAACAGTACAAGTGACGCTTAGTGTTTAGGGATACTTCCTAAATTTCGCGCACAAGTACTGCGCAGGTAAGTCAGCGACGACGATATATTCAGTCAAACAAACACATCTATGACCGTGATGACTGAAGTATAACACGATTGCGAGTGGAATCAATGCCTTGATCCATGATCGCATACCGACGAGCCCGTGAAGAAGTATCCACGAAAGACCGACACCAATGAATCCTACGCGGTGTGGAATGCTGGGTATCTATAAGTTCAGTTTGAGTTGCCGACTAGTTGGAATGATATAGTACTTTGAGAGCTAGGCTTATTACTAAGACCACCGGAGAGATGAGCAACGTGAATTAAGGCCTGCTTTCCTACTGAAGCGATTAGTGGCACACTGACGTACGAATGCGGCAAGTACTTCATGTCAGAGATGAGCATAAATTAGTGAGAATCATTGAATGGAAAAGGCTGATGAAGACAACGAAGAAGTCTCCCAACTAAGGCAAGATCGGGGAAGGTCATGTGACTCGGGATGTAGTGTCGTACGCGGTCACGTGACCACACCCAGACTTTCTATACTGAAAAGGCTCTTGTTCTCTCGACAGTCAGTCCATCTTATTAGCTCGTCTCATGTGACACCAGAAGGTCTCAAGATCAGATGGCAGATAGGGTGACTGTCTGACTGTTGTATATGAGGGACTCATACCTTCAAAGTTCTCTTCGTAAAGCCATTAACGCGCCCAATCACAGCTTACTAGGAGTCCACATAATAGTAGTACGATAGCATCGGTCAATCTCCTCCATATGCTAAGCTATGAAGCAGCGAAACCTGCCTGCATGTCCATCTGGTACATCCCTTCGCACAGCATCGCAATCATCAACAAAACATGAGTCAAAGCCATTACTGACCTCACAAGCCACATCCCCCAAACATACGTAGCGCAATGGCACTAAAGAGCTAATGAACTAGTGCACCTTTTGCTAAAGCACGCCTCGCGCGCACGGCACGAAATCGGCGATGAAGCTAAGATACCAAATAATTACTATACGAATGCGAAAGAGCGCTAGTCGTGTTGTCCTCGCCATGGAGACTTCAGCGCGCAGAGTCTGCCAGGCAATTAAGGGTTTGTTTTCTTCTGGCGAGGTTGGCTTTGAAGGATGGATGGAGCGAGAGTTGTTTACTTGTGATATCTCGCAGCGCCGAGATGAGGCAAGGATCGACAGGTCCCTAGGTAATAATATATGGGAGCATCCTGGATTCTGCGGCCACAGTGCCGAAGAACTTGGTAATTAGTGAACTGACTCGAACGTGTACAGGCTCAGAACGCGGGGCGCAGCGGTAGGGGAAGCTACTAAGGACTCGTATGCAGAGCAGAATCTGGAGAAGGCTGGAGTGCCTCGTTATGGCCAAGATCTTCTCCGCATCACATCTTGGATCTTGCATATTATCAATACCGGGTTGGTGGCACTCATACAAGATTCCCTACTATGCGCGGGAAAGATATATCACGCTCGGCGCACACCTCAGACTTGATACCGGATTCGGTCACTGTCGCGATCCCCGGCCCGTGTGTGACCGTCGGATCCAGGACGATTGCACTTTGGCTGGACTCCTCCACAACGCGTAGACATGGTATGGTCACGCGAGGCAAGCCTTTGCGTTAGAACCTGCTCGATTAGATTGAGAAGCGATAGATGACGTCGTTGGCTTGTTCATACTCGGTCAATAGCTGCAGCGAGAGTTGGGAGCTTAATCTGACATCCTTTAGCCATACGGGAGCGGGCGCTGTTGGGGCGTTAGTAGTGCAGTAGTGGTGGTCTAGCTGGGCTCGACTAAACCTTCTGTTAGCTACGTGATATTCAGGGCAGTATCTATTTCTACATTCATTTGCAGTGTCTTGCGATGTATGTGCGGTGTTGGTGATTTCTCATGAACATGACTGCATTATGCATTATACGTGATGCATAGAGCCAGCCTAAACTCCGTTTGACAATGCAACAATGAACGCCCGAAGTCGAATGAATATTCAGTCGAGTTGATTCACAGACCTTTCTTGGAAGCCCTGCCAGCTTGGTTTCCTCATTCCCCACCTAAGAATATTCTTAGCCATGACCGCGCGGATGTCAATCTTTCTCTTCGCCAACCCTCTAGCTGTCGCATTGCCTTGGATGTGGTTGCTGACATTGAAGTTGTTCAATGTATTCTCGATAAGTGTTTGGTTGCCGAGGACTTCTGATAGCACATCGACGATTGAGCCCCTGTCACCGCCGAGTATACCATTGATGACATCTGATAGGAAAGTAATGACGCTTATGTGAAAAACAAGTGTCTTGGTGGCGAGCATGTCTTGGAGATAGGGAATTGTCTGGCCGTTCACCATAGCTGTATTGCCAGTCGCATTGATCTCGATGTAACCCCCATTCAGAGCCTCCTTCTGCCCATCCAGCAGTGCACCCAGATTCTGGGAAAACTGGTTGAGGTATAGGTTGCCATAGAATGGAACTGTGTTGTTACCTGGTGCTAGTACGAGATTGTCGAGGTGCACTAATCCCAGCTTCAAGTCTTTAGACATAAGGTTCAGTGTAAGGTCTCCAAGGCCAAGACTCAGGGGGGAGTAGTTTGGCAGAGAAAGATTACCATTGATATTGTATCCGTTCGAATCCGGTGGTACAAGGATATTGAGTTTCTCAATATTCGCCCCTTTCAGATTCTGTAGCGTTGGAATGGAAAGGGTTTTATCGAGTTTGTTGGTACTGTGTAGTGCTCCCAGGTGTACACTGACATCGGGAACAGCACGTACTCCGAGATTCGTTTGCTCTTGCAGGAAGAATTGGCCGAACCAATTGGTTAGCTCACTCACGTCGTCCAATTCTATGTCTTGCATTGGAATCGTAAAGTTGGTCCGAGGCCGTTTGATGTGCAAGGTTGGTATAGAGAGGTTGAGGAATGGCGAGTAACCTGGTGTTTCGATGTTGTAAAGTTGCAGGTTTAACGGGTCGATCTTCACGCCTAGGGGCACATGGAATGCTGTGTTGATTTCCTTGAATATAAGCTATTAGCTTCCTGTACAGTAGGCAATACTTAGGTTGATGTTTACCATCTTTAAGCTAGTTGGGGTGGAGGCACTCAAGCTGCCGCTGTAGATTGGTAAATCATTACCGTCAATCACGTTCTGTACGATTCGTGGAACGATGATCGTGAATCTGGGTAGATATCGTAAGGATAACTTTCAGTTGATTTTAGGATAACACTTACGTGATGGGGAGCAATATTGCAAGGAGTATGAAAATGCCGACAGCATACCATATCCAGAATCGCTTGAAATGTGCCATTATCTTTTCCTTCTTTGTCATTGGCGAGGCATTCCTGTCTTTCACCAGAGAATTATCACTACCGCTCTGATCTGAATGCACCGAACCCTCCCGTGCACCTGCTGCCATGGCTCCTTGTGATGTCATGTCTTCATTCTGGGACTTCTCATTGTGGTCGAGCTGTTCGTTCAGCGTTGCCTTTGTCTCATCGGCGCCGCGGTCCTCAGCTTGGTCTTTCCACGGATTGATGTCGTCAGCTGGCATTTTGAACCCTTTCCACGCAAATACTACTCCTACTGGGATATGTGTAATAGCGTAAGGAGGGTAGAATGACCTGGCTATACGACCTGACGCGCAGGAGATTTCACAACTACAGATTAGGTTATCAATGAGGTTCTGTCTTGACTCCTGGGCTTCGCACTCTGCCGTTCCCCGTGGGGCAACCCCAGAAGTAAGGTGCTGGCCGGAAAGAGAGTGTACATTCACATGATAGTTCTTCCGCCTCGCGTGACCAAAAACATGATTAGACTTCCACTAGTGTTGATGGCTGACAGCTCAAAATCGTTAGCGTGAATCCTTTGAGTCCTACCAGCCGTCCAGCTAACACTAGCGCCGCCGACAGCGACGGAAGAGGTCGAGCAATCGCTGATCCGACCCGCCGATCGGTGGTGATTCTACTGGAATTGCGTGCGGAAGCTGCAGCGTAATTTGGAGTAAACATAAGGACATCAGTCGATGCTCGCACTTCTGCACGATCCCATTCGCCGTCACTAGGACTTCCGTGCTCCAGTACTCCACAGCAATTATGCGGTTCATGTGAAAGTCAGGTCAGTCCGAGCACCAGCGCCGTGCGAGAGTGACCCCGGATTTGCCAATTCCCTGGATGATAAGAACAATCGCACTACACCAAATCTCTTATGCTCGTCAGGTAGTCCCGAATTTCCTTCCAGAACGACTGACCCTGGGATCGAAGCAGGCCGCAGCACCGTATCAGTCCTAACGATGCGCTTTTCGAACGTGTTGTTGGCCGTGGCCACCCCATTCATGAGTGTTGCAGTTGCAGAAAGTCATGTCGAATCTGCAACCGAGCTGTTAAATAGTCTTCAACTGGAAGAGATTCTGGCAAAGCATGACTTGGCTCTGGTTCCCCGGTCGGAATTGACGTCGACATTGAAAGAAATGAACGCATTACTAAGAGAACACAACAATGAGAAACGCAATACCCCTCTCTACCGACGACAATCGAATAATAGCGACAATAGTCCCAACCTTCTGGATGGCCTTGGTGATCTCGGAGATCTTATCACCGCGATCGGGACCCTCACATCTCAATTGGGCCAGCTTGGTGATTTGGTCAAAGTCCTATCTGAACTTGTAGGTGCACATGAATGGGCATCAGTATGGCCGTGCTCTAGCAGAGAAGAACTGCTGTGAAGTGCCGCTAAATTGATGTTCCGTCGATATAACAAAGAGAAGAAGCTAATATGTCGGTGTAGCTCACTGTCGATTTCCTGCAGGCCGTACATGACTCACTCACGTACCTTGCAGAGACGTTGCAGCCGCCTGTTCCAACCCAGATTAGGGATCTGCTCAATCTGGTCGGTTCTTTGGATTTGAAGAGCCTTGTGGACGAGCTCAATGGAGCAAACTTGGGCAGTCTCTTAGCCAACGCTGCCAAGCTCCTGACTTCCGGCAACGTGGACAAGATTTCTGACATTCTCACCAACGCCGACAACCTTCTGACGCCTGATTTCGTCAACCAGACCTCCACGCTGATTGGACAAGCATCACCGTTGATTGAGAGGATTCAACAGATTGATCTCGAAGGTGTATTGGATGCACTTTCTCCTTTGCTGACTCGAGAAGAGATCACTGGTGTCGTTGGCCTTCTCAGAAACGCTCAGAAGTTATTATCCGATGATGGTACCAATGGTCTTGTGAGCCTTCTAAGTAGTGCTGAGACACTCTTGGACGAAAACACCGTCAACACGCTTAAGAGCTTGTTGTCTACACTGAACGACGTTGATATCGCTGGTGTGCTTGACGCCTTATCTCCCATTCTCAACCGTGACGAGATCAATGGAGTTGTTGGTCTACTCCGAAATGCCGAGACTCTGCTCGATGAGGACACGACCGGTACACTTAAGAACCTTCTGTCTACGTTGAATAACGTCGACATTGCTGGTGTTCTTGATGCGTTATCACCAATCCTCAATCGTGACGAAATCAATGGAGTCGTTGGTCTACTCCGAAATGCCGAAAGCCTGCTCGATGAGAATACAGTCAATACATTGAAGAGTCTGCTGTCTACGTTAAATGATGTTGACATTGCTGGCGTTTTGGATTCATTAAAGCCGATTTTGACCAAAGATTCCATTGACGGCATCCTAACCCTCCTGGACAATGCGGAGACCCTCTTGGACAAAGACACGACCGACCAGCTGAAGAGCTTAGTATCTAGCGCTGGGAATCTCTTGGACGAGAACACTACAAATACGTTGAAATCCCTTCTGTCCACATTGAATGATGTCGACATTGGCGGCGTTCTGGACTCTCTGAAGCCACTTTTGACGAAGGAGTCAATCGAAGGCATCTTGACACTCCTAGACAATGCCGAGAGTCTCCTAGATCAGGATACGACCGGCCAGCTCAAGAGCTTGGTAACCAGCGCTGGGAACCTTTTGGATGAGAACACAGTCGACACTCTGAAATCTCTCTTAGGATCGTTGAACGAAGTTGATATCGGCGGTGTTCTCGAATCTTTAAAGCCTCTTTTGACAAAGGAGTCCATTGAAGGCATCCTGACACTCTTGGATAATGCTGAGAGTCTTCTCGACAAGGACACGACCGATAAACTCAAGACCTTGGTGTCTGACGCGGCCCCTCTGCTTCAAAGCCTGACGGAAGCAGATATAGCCGGATTGCTGAACAAGGTCGGCCCGCTCTTAGATCAAGTCTCACCCTTACTCGACGAGGTGAACGAATTAGACCTGAAGAGTCTCTTCGACGCCCTAAAACCACTCCTAACATCCGATGGTATCAATGGGATTCTCATGCTGCTCGACAATGCGGAAGACCTCCTGACACCAGACTTTGTCAACAACACCCGTTCGCTTATCACAGGCGCAGGTCCTCTAGTAGGAGAGCTTGGCAAATTGGATTTGGAGCCTGTCGTGGATCTATTAAACCCTGTTCTGGCAGATCTTCGCACTCACGACCTGTCCAACGTGATCTCCCAAGTCGATCCTCTACTTGGATCGATCAGTTCCATCGATTTCTCCAATCTTGTTGACCAAGTCGGGCCATTGTTGTCTGCCGTAACATCAGTCGACTTTACCAACATGGTCAGCCAGGTCTCCCCTATCCTCCAAGCCGTTACCCGACCAGATTACTCTGGCCTGGTTGACCAAATTGGTCCTCTCCTAGACGCCGTCACCAGTGTCGATTTCTCACCATTGAGTAAGCAAGTTCAGCCGCTGCTTGAGGACGTCGCATCTATCGACTTTGTCGGCATATTCCGCCAGCTGATGCCCTTACTCTCCGAGTCTGGCATTAAGGGTATATACGACCTCTTGTACAACGCTGAAGACCTTCTCACGGATGATTTCGTCAAGAACACCACCTCTTTGATCGGAAACGCTGGTCCGCTCGTGAGCGCCCTCGGAAAGATCGATATTGCGAAATTAGTCGACCAGATCATGCCGTTGTTGGACACAATCGACAACATCGACATCAAGGGCATCGTAGACGCAGTCATGCCTATTCTCACCCCAGACAGTGTGGATGGTATCGTGAAACTACTGCAAAACGCCCAGAACCTTTTGTCTGATGTCTTTGTCTCCCAAACGTCTGAGCTCATCGGCGACGCTACTCCTGTAAGTTTTCTTTATCACGTTCGGTCTTGTTTTGCACTTCCTAACCATGCGTAGCTTGTCGCAACAGTGTCCGATTTCATCCAGGCTTTGTTCCGCGCGCTCGGCGCAACCCAGAACACGTAGGCGGTCTGCGACCATCGAGCATGGGTTTGCAATAACGCAGATCCCGCATATCCCACCACCGGGCCGACGACCGGCTGCGCAGCCCCGCGCCATCGAATCTGGATCCAACGTGCTGTTCACGAGAGGAATGAGGTTGTCGAGGTCGGACTTTTCGCTGGTCAAGTGACCGAGCTTGCAATTTCCCGGTGCGGGGACCCTAAAAAACGGGTTCCTGCATGCACCAGGGTCGCTCGGCCATCGGGTGATTTCCCATGTGGATCTTGTGGATCACCGGCTACCGGGTTTGCAAGATCCATCATTACCGGTGAATGATGGCTCGACTTCGTATGATCGCGACGTGGCATACCATACATAAGGTGTTTTTAAGGGGCGGGTGGATACACGGTGCAGGGCATGCATTTGGGGCGTGAAGGAACTTTCTCATGCCATGATCATGATTTATACGACTCGAACGATTGTATTGTGAGGTACTACGATAGTTTTTAATGCGTAATGACATAACGGTCTTGACATGCTTGACTGATGAATAATCTTCTCGCCCCTCTCAACTTCGACGCCTGCTCTTGATCGTCAAGTGAGCCACTCGAAGCTGCGCCGGGAAGTCAACAATCCTGCCTGGCATGAACCGATCTGGCTACCGTTGCCTCACTATGTAATCATCATTCGCCCGTAGCTTGTTGAATACATTGGTCATTGGAGTATCTATACAGGCGTCCAAGCCTGCTCTTCACAGAAATCTTCACAGAAACGTGAGCCGGATCATAACACCAAGAACAGCACTCGCGCCGTGTAGATTCCACAAAATTGCACAGATGAAATAGAAGCGCATATATGACCATAGTGCTCGATATCGCTCGGAGGAGTGAGGTCTTAGATTTAATCATCCAGCATGGCACCCCATGTGGATGTTAGAATCCGATAGTGAGTAGATTGTCTTCACTACACGGCCACGTTATGTCATCGGTGAGATGCTTCACTCCAAGGATTCTGCTATTAATATCATGAGGAAAGACGGGAAATAAAGATGCCGGGACTAGGTAAAAATTAAGGGGCCTGCGACGGGGATCGAAATTGCGAGATTTGAAATAGAGGTGGGAGATAAAAGGAGTGATTGGGGCTTTGAGTGGTCAGAAGTTGTAAGAGAATTTGGAATACAGTTTTCAAGATTGTAGATCAATCAGTGGACATCGTAATGGACTGTAGAACATATGTGTGAGAGCGGCAGCAAATAGATAGGAGCTATGGTAGTAGCATGGAAAGCGACATCTGGGGGCATGAAGATTGGAGTAGGAGTGAAAATAGTTTGGAGGTCTAGGCTTGAAGGTGAGAACACGTAGATAGATGCTGTATAGCTGGAGTTCGGATGTATGTCTAGAGAAGATAATGAAAGGTAGGATTGCGTGCGGAAGAGAGCACGGATTGAGAGATATTCGAACAAAGCTGTGTTGGGGAAAGTTAAGACTACCATGATACATACCTGGAAGAGGTAAAGGTAACAGATAGTATCAATGTTCGTATCTACTCGTTATATAATTGATTGTAACCCAAGCCTGTCCGTCTAGTGAAGCATGCATTCGTCAAGCGAAGACTCATATACAAGCCCGTATCCTATGCCAGTGCGACACATAAGTTGTCGAACTGAAACCGGGACAAATATGTCGGATCAGTATTGGTAAAATTGATACCCCTTTTGAAAATATATCGGCCCTTTATACCTGGTGTTTTCCAGTCTCGGCGAGAGAAATGGCTTACAAGGGGCTTCTCAGAACAAACTGCTCAAACTCCTTCTGCAAATCGGTTCAAACAGTTACCTTGCAACCGTTGATCACTAATATTTATGTCTTAAAGATACAGCTCTGTGAACTTCGCAGTGTTTCGTGCCGGAAGAACATCCATACTTCCAAGTGCTCAGCGTTTGCTGATGGATGAACCTTGCGCCTGACAAAGGGACTCCCATCTTCGTCGACAGCCCCAACTTTTATGAAAGTACCACCTTCTGTTTCGAACATAGTAGGCGCGAAGTCATTAATCATGAGCTCTGTCGCACTGTCGGAGGCTTCTCCATTTCCAGTCGTGATCACCATCAGAGTGGACTTTTGAATGAGATGCTCCTCCATGCCAGACCATATGCTGTTCAAATATAGAAATTTCCTCATATAAACACATCGGCAGTGCCGTCTTCGTTCCTGGAATGTTCCAACTGACGACGACTATATGCCAAAGGGTCCACTCAAAGGGGTTTTCCGCCGCTCGAAGCTCAGCATAGACCTTAAATTAGAATTCACCGTCCGGGAACTGTGGATCGATTTTGAAGACTTTCGGCATCCATTCTGAATTTTCACACGGACCATATAGTTGTTAGTGCAACACCTCCCACCAAGCCAACAGCAACAGCAGCGACTGGCGTTCCGCCGGGTGGCGATATTACACACTTTTCGCGGTATTATCTTATCAAACTTGGACGACGTTGAGGAAGAGATGAGACCCGAAGCATGTGATGAAGTACCCGAAGAATCAAACATAGCAATGGGAAAAGCGCTGCTGTTGAAATTGCAAGGACAAGGCCGCTGGTACACGATAAGTTGCAAGAAGATCCTTGGCCGGTTTAGCAGCTTCGCCTCGCAGACTTGTGAAATCTCAAAAATCCTTTAGAGAGGTCGTACCTTGTTCAAAATATCTATGGTCCCTTCATAGCCATCAAAGACTTTCTGACCTGCACCTACTCCCAAATCAGCAAAAATTCCATGGCCAAAGTCACTGGCAAATTGTCTGGCGTAGGGGGCTAAGCTTCCAGCTACAGATAAAGCATCATTATCAACGGAGCTGATTGTGATTGTGTTCGCGGTGGTACTGAAACTAGTCCTTGCCCAGTTGCGAGCGGATATAATAGCGTCACTCACGCACGGGTCCTAGGACATCATCTGCGGCTTTGCGTAGTCCCCTCAAAAATCCGCCGAGACCGCCCGATGTGGACTTCTTCGACTTTCGGCCAGATCGAGCATTGACCTCTGGGCCACTGGCTCCATTTGTTTTGAGGGACATCTGGGATTGTGTACAATACTAAGTTCCGGGGTCTCGGTATAGAGAAACCATGCGTCGATGTGCCCAGCCTGATCTCCCTTTTCTTGTGACGCAGTGGCGGATAGGGTGACCAAGTGTACGTGGTGGAGTAGTCACAGATCAATCACGAACAAAGGACTTGTTGAGGTTGATATGATCGATCTTGAAGCTGTGTTCTGTTAAACCAGGGAGTGGGACGACTGAGGTTAGTCTTATGGAGAGGGATATTTGTGGCCGTAAGGATAGATCTGTCACATTCTTATATCGCTCAAACAGTATGAATGTACCTATAAAATAAAATTTAGACATGAAAGAAGCAGTCCGTCATGTAAAAGAAACATCTGGAGTACAGGACCCATAGAATACCTTGCATGCTCTCTAGAACAGTATATCTACCTAGCAACCATTCAAATCGTAAAATGCATAAGGGCTGTTCGCAGGGTTCAGATTTCCTGCAACAGGCGCAGCATACAACAAACACTGGTTGTTCCCAACAGCAAAACTCTGGCAGGTTGCCGTCTTTGCGCAGAGTGCACGACACGTGTCGACTGTTCCAGAGTTGCCAGATGTATCGTTCAAGAAGGCAGCAGGGGTCTGTTTATCATAGCCTGTAGTGCCACAAGTTGCTGGGGCAGTAGGTTGGGGCGCTGGCGTGTCCGAGGCCGAGCTACTAGGGACCACGGGCGAGTCTGTTGTGCTGGGCGATGGAGACGGGGACGGCGACGGAGTTACGATCGGTGCTGGGGTTTCAGATGGCGATGGAGTTGGGGATGGTGTGAGAATAGGGTTTGATAGAGAGGAAGAACTGGATGGAGCTAAACCAGATGGTGTAGGTGTCGCAGTCGAAATCGGGACCGCCGATGGCGACGGAGTGGTGGAAGGAGAAGGTTGAGGAACAGGTGCTGGCTGGTCGTTCAAGACACAACATTTATCGCTGAATGAAAGACTTCCACTGTTGCTGGCCGTATAGATAAGAGGGCTTGTTTTTTGTGTTAGCGAGCTTGTGCATGTGAGGTTCACTCTTGCATGGCAAACTTACGAACTGAGTCTGTACAGTCGGCAAGAACCCTGACCAACAGCATAGCTGTTACACTGCCAGTCCTGGCGGCAAAGATTCCCACAGGGCGCTCCTGCAACGAGGCTGCGGTCCGTCGTGGTGTAGTAAGGGAGGGCCATGGAGTAGGACGAGGATTTCTGGTTGCCCTTGGTGCTGCACTTGGCCGCCCATGTCGAAAACCAGTTGCATCCGAAAATGGTACGCTGTTCAAGATCCTGCGTGGGTGCAGCGAGTGTGGTCGCAGCAAAAGCGGCAATGAGAGGAATTGAAAAGAACATCATGCAATAACTAATCTTCTGTTTTAAACGAGTGTGTAGAAGAGAGTGAACAGGACTCGAAAGTGAGTATTATTGGAAACAATTAGTGGCCTGGCGATCGTCACATCACAGCAGACGACGATCCTTACATATATATGCCTCCGGCACTGCTTCTAACCAAGATGGCGCAAGCCCTCCAAATCCTCGGGCTTCGCGACTGTGCAAAATAAGGAGGCAAGATAAATGGAACAATAGTTCTGACGCGAAAAAGGCTAACAGAAGTGTGGAGATGGACCAATTCAAATGCAGCCGAAGTACCGAAAACGGCATTAGGCAGATAGCCAAAACTATTTTAGTGCTTTACTCGCGCCGCGCCATGTGTCTTCCCGTCTCGGACGAACCTCAGCGATCGGACTTGGTAGCGGTACCTGCATTAGCGTCGACGATCAAAGTTCGGCCTGTGGAAATTGTGCATTGCTATGAAATCGGCATCTTCCAGTATCGATCAATACATAAGAGGGAGCTGATGAATATCTCGGTCTCTATGATACTCGTGGATCTGGGTTCTCGGGGAGCCCAACAAGCACCAGTCTATTCTGACGATGCATCCAAGTGCGATCTGCGTGACCCATTATTATCGGACTTTTCGAGACCGCAGCATCGCGCACGGGCCTCCATAGATGAAGAGTCTAGACTCCGGCTGAACCTTGCTTTGCTTAGACAGGACGAAAGGGGAGCTCTCCACAAAGGTCCAGCGTCTATGAAAATGCGTCCTGCCGACGATCCTGCCGTATATACCGTGTATTTGCGCTGTTGAACCCCAAAGGTGACCGGCCCCATGGCAGCAGGTGTTCGCTTGTGCGATGGGATGATCCGATATCGATATGCACAGTCGGAAAGCGTTCCGGACAAGTCTTAGTCAAGCCATGGGCCACCGAGACTCTCCATCAAGGCGCAACATTTGTTCGGAATAGTCTTCTGTCTGAACAATTTTCCATCCATCCGAAGTGTTCTAGACGATATCCACAGCTAGATGTTTTCCAGAATCAGAGTACGTGTGGATAACCCCAGTCGAACTCGTTCGTTTGTACGCGCTCGCTCGTTTGATCATCGACCAAATTCAACCAGAAAATTGACGCAGGAAGAGAGCCTATCCACATACGCCTCTAGAATATCAACTAGGCGATTCTCGAGCAATTGCGGGTTTCGGTCCACTTGAAGGGCTTGTTGGCAGCATTGAGATCGTAGCACGGTCAGGGTCAAGCCTAAATTCAGAAACTCTTTGCCGGTGAACACAAAAGCTCGTAGTGGGCGATATCTACAGGTACTGGTCACTTTAATTCTTGCAGCAATGACTAAGTCCGTAAGAACTCTGAAGTGGACTTGCGGGATTTGAGTGAAGAGTTATGTCGGGTGGCAATGTACGCGAGTAACCGTGAACCAACATAAGGGGTGACTGCACAAAGATTGGCAGGTAGAAGAGGCAACACTGTACAGTAACATGACAAATTATGTTATCTAAGCATGGTCCTTCATCATCTGGACGATTCAGGGACATCTCGCAACAGCCTCACATCACTTATCAGTTTCAGCATCAGGGCAATACTTGATCTTCTCTCAGCTTTCAAATCTCTCTCTGCTCTTTACTCCAGCATCTTACAACGAAGTCTCTTCGGGATCTTCATTTGAATGGCGATTATTTTCGCCCTAGGACGCAAAATGTTCGAGGATAATGAGACAGGAGGGTAGGCTGTGTATCGAGGAAGATGATGCGCAAATTAGCTAATTCGACCGTCTCATTCTTCTCAGACAAATACAGCTTACACAAAAGGTCGTAGTACTCTCGAGAGCTCTGTTGGTATCTACAATCTATCACACGTCTATTATACATCTTTCGTAGCACCCAGTCTATTTCCCCTCCGCCTTCTTCGTCGCCTTTGTGCGCAACTTCATAAGCCCATACACAAGTGCATAGCTCGAGAAGCAGAACAACGTCACAATCCCAACATTACGCCAGCCCGTGCGATATTCCATCAGATTCAACCCCTGCAAATACTCGCTGCCGCTCTTATACTGACACACCCTACACGCTTGCGTAGCACTCGCGTCCAACAACCTCGAGCTTGCGCCTGCGCCAAGGAGGTATTCTGAAAGATAGTCGCCGCACGTCTGGTTTTGCGGCGGATCGAAGATCGCATACTCATTCTCGCGACATTGCACGTCCACACCCCATGTCGTAAACACCAGCATCGCACCCATGAGGTAGTTGAATGGATCGAGGTAATACAGCCAGTACCGCCAAAACGCCGTGATTTGCGCATAGGGCACCAGCACGCCGCAGAAAGAGACCAAGACCCCGATGATGACTGGGTTGACGAGCGCGGCAAAGATGGCGTTGGGCGCGTATGCAGCGACGAACTGGCCCATTCCTGTGTATAGGAATTCGTAGAGTAGCATGATGAGCAGTGTTGCGCCGGCGCGGGCGCTCGAGGTGGGGAAGCCGACGGTGTAGTACCAGCAGACGAAGTAGAGGAGTCCGGAGAAGAGGAGGTAGGGGATTTCGGAGACAATTAACGCAGTGACGAAGGCGGGCCAGGAGTACGTCTTGCTTTTCTTCTCGCGGGCCTCATATACATCTCTGCGCTCGAGGAAAAGGGGCTGCAGTTGGGCGAACACGCCAGGCGCGACGAATATGAAGTTGAAGATAGTGAAGAGGCGCAGCTGGAGATCAGAGACGCTGTCACCAATCATCCAGAAGGAGAAGCCATTGAAGAGGGCACTGCCGATGTGCAGAAAGACGCGGTTATTGACGTATTCGACGTCGCGGTAGAGAGCCCTGTTCATGCGATTCATGAGGATACGAGTTTGAGTCCAGTGGGATGCTGCAAATTCGTGGCCATCGTCTTCAGTGCCTGGGGGCTTGGATGCTGCATCAGACACGAGAGAATCTAGGTTTTCGAGAGCGCGTTTATGTTCTGGGGAGTCGAGCCAGACTTGGTGCCAGTCATGTGTTTTCGAAAGAGAGCCGGACACGACGTCTATCATATGTTCGGCAGGATTGGTAGCATCAGGGCAGGGGGCGCCATGGCGTGCGAAGTAGTCCTTGACTGTGGCTCCATTCTCGCCGATGTCACCAAAGTAGCTCATACGACCACCCTTCTGAAGGAGAAGAAGGGTGTCAAATTGAGCGAAGAGACTGGCGGACGGCTGATGGATGACGACCAGGACAGCTTGTCCAATATCAGCAAGCTTTCGAAGAAAGCGTACGATACCAAAGGCCGCTTGGCCGTCGAGACCAGAGGTGGGTTCGTCGAGAAAGATAAGGATCTCCGGCTTGGAGACAAGTTCGACTCCAATGGTCACTCTCTTGCGCTGCTCGACACTCAGTCCATTCCCAGGACGACCGATCAGCGTGTGTTCGATGTCATGAAGCTCAAGTAAATCGATTATAGAATCGACGTAGCGTATTTTGTCTGCGTCTGGTGTGTCGCGCGACTGACGTAGCAGTGCCGCAAACTCGAGAGACTCACGTACGGTAGACATGCGTTCATGGACATCGAGCTGTTCACAGTAGCCAGCGGACCTTTGAAATGACAGGGATAATTCTCGTCCATCGACGAGAATTGAGCCAGTGATCTTTCCGTCTGTCTTGCGTTGAGCAAGCACGTCCATTAAGGTCGTCTTACCAGCTCCAGATGAGCCCATAAGCGCACCAAGCATACCCGGTTTTACCCATCCGTACACATCGTCAAGGAGCTTGCGTTCGCCGTCTGGGGTGTTGACGGTATACGACAGATTCTTCCAAGTGAAAACAGATTTGTTCTGTAAGAGCTGTTTGTTGAGCGAATTCGCTGATGATGGTACAGCGGAAGAGTCTGTTGAGCTACCTGCCAACTCCTTCTCCTGAGCCTGAGACTCGATGTCTTCCCCAGTCCGTCTCTCTCGTACAAGATGGACTGTCTCTCGCGGTACCAAGAGACTGCGGCCACCGTCTGATGCCGACTTCCAACGGGAAGTGAAGACAATAGTCAAGACGGTATAAAAAACCCACCACGCTAAAACAACGCCAATGTTGCCCCAGATACGATCAGGGTTGAAGGACAAGCTTCCCAGATATTCGTCTCCAGTCAGAGATGTCGCCCCGATTGGAGCACCTCGAATACCTGTGCAAGCCTGATTGGCCTTATCGGTGTAGGACTGTCCTAATGGTACAAGGTTGGGGCCAGCACAATCGATGTTTTGACCACGAAATTCATTCGACAGCAGTGCATCGAAGGCATACGACATTGGATTTCTGTCAACGGTTAGCATGGCATCGCTTGGAACTATGACTGGACAGCAATAGTAATCTTACATCCAAAAGATCCAGACAAACCAAGGATGCATTTGCGGCTTTTGTATCATATATCCAGCGTATGTGGCGATTGCTGCGATAGCAAATCCGGAGACTTTTGAGGCAGCTTCGAAATTAGGGAACGCTGCACCGATGAATCGGAAGAAGGAAGCGAAAGCTAATGATGTCGCAATGAGGCAAAAGTAGAAGGTGAAGAAAGCACCAGCGGTCATTTTCAAGCCAACCATGAAGTACAGTATCAACGAGAAATGAGTCAGGAGAACGAGCAATACCGGAATATCAGCAGCTATTTGGGCGATACAAAATGCCGCTGGATGGTAGAAGGCGAACTCGCGATGTTTGGCGAGGACAGGACGCCCAGTGAAGGAATCAGTCGTTTCCGACATAGCTAATAAGGCAGGATACAGGGCTGCAAGGAAGATAGCACCCCCTTTGATGAACAGACCAGTAGAATCCGCACTTGCACTGTAGAAGAGTGAGCCAGTCAGGAGAGCCTGGATCAATATGGAAACTTGCTTGATGAACAATGTAGGTTTGTCACCCCATAAGATCTGGTACTGTCGAGCTGTACAGTGTTTGACTTGGGTTAAGAAGGCCACAGTCAGACCAGAAGTCTTCGGCACTGACTTGTGCTTTTCGGAGAGGACGTTCTCCTTAAAGGCCTGGGTGACCTGAGTTGCGTTTTGAGATCCAGGATACTTGTATGTGGACTCCATTTCTTTCTTGATGTCGGACTTCTCATATGCCGCCCTGATCTCCTCAGCTGTCCGCGGGAAACGATCTTCGTACCCCTTTCTGATCATTCTTTGCGAGGGAATAGTGACGCCTGCGAGTGAGTCGCCAATATTCGCGGAGGGTTCGAAGTAGAATCCAAGATCTTGCATGAAAGGAACCGCTTGCTCACGAGGTCCATAGAATATCTGTTTGCCATGGTCCAGTACGAGGACTTGATCAAATAGATTGAAGATGCCGTTGCCGGCCTGGTAGAATGTGCAAATTGTTGTTAGGCCTAGGATATCTGTAAGGGCGCGAAGGGCACGAGTGAACTCGAGCGCTGTGCTGGCGTCAAGACCACGAATTGAGTTATCCATACAGAATATACTTCCGCGGGTCGCGAGACATTCGGCAATAGACACTCGCTTTCGTTCGCCTCCACTAACGCCTCGTATGAATTCGTTTCCTACTTTAGTTGACAGAGTATGGTCAATGCCTAAAAGTTTGAGGATGTGGTCTCGTTGGGTCAGTCTGTACTCTTCAGGGGTTTGACCATCTGGAATCTGGGTAGGTATCTTCATCCTCGTGGCAAAGTCCATCGTTTGGCTCACCTAGATATGTTAGCATATGTGTGTCGTACTCCAGTCGATAAGCCTACGGTTAATGTGGGAAAGAACACTTCCTCTTCTGAGCTCATCACTATCTGTCCTGGATAATTACTGGCTTCTTTATGATCCATAGAACCAAAAGACACCTCCCCTTCGATGCTCTTATAACCGTTTCGCCTATTCGACAGCATTTTGAGCAATGTTGTGCATCCTGCTCCTGGTCTTCCCACCACAAGCAACATCTGACCGGGCTTGACATGTCCATGGGACGAGTCTATGATTGTCTTCAAAGGAGAAGGTTTGCGGCTCTCTTTGAACTGCTGTACAGAATTGAATTGGGAGAAGACGTTCTCGTTGATAGTTGAATCTGCGGAGACTCCTTTGACGGTCAAGTTCGTCCAAGTCACCCCAAGTTGTTGAGGTTGCAGATGCAACCTTGGAATGTGTATCTCGTTGTCCAAAGATCCCGACTTCTCTTCGTCTTCTGACGAAACATCATGTTCAGGCTCCATGGTGGATCGACGGCCTGATCGATGAAATAGCGGCAGTAGATATGTTATCGTAAATCAGAACATAAGTATGATGTCGCGTGATGTCGCTTGGCGTCTACGATTAACCCGGTCTTGGGAATAGAGCAGAGTTTGAGGACTAGACCAAGTAGTTCGAGACCTGGTTCTTAAACAAGGTCGTAAAACTTGCGGCACACCACCAAAGGAATGGTGCGAATGACAGGTATAAGAAGCCATTCTCAGGTACAGCAACATAACACGACATGCAGTCATCACCTTGCGCAGATCTCTGGCATGCTAGGGACCCGCTCACGTATCTCTCGGTGTTTGCAGTCTGGACTGCGACCCACTCAGCCTTGACCATTGCTGTGGATCGAGATTGTCCCAAACATCGGTAATCCCAGCGACCAACACGCTGGAGGGATGGATTGCCAAGCGCATTTCGCGCTACATCCTGTAGGCGATTGGGCGCAATATGACTTCGAATCGGTGTTTGACGGCTTTTGGGGACCCGTGTCTTCTCAGTTGGGCGAGCTCGATGACGCAGCCCGTGCCTGGAACTTACAAGGCTCGGGGGCGTAGACACATATCAAGGATCCATGCTTTTCTTAGCCCAAATATCACGATCATCATCTTTTAGAATAGATTTGTACCATCGCCAGGAGATCCCACGTTTCCAATCCTTCTTGGTTAGACTTGGCTCCCGGTCAGCATGAGTTATTGTCGATTCGCAGACTCAACTCAGGCCAAGCTCTTCCTGGACCACAATGATCTAATCAATTACTAGTAATATCACGAATCTCGACTACTCTCTTGCGAAGCTGCAGGTGCACAATGACCTGCTGCGGTCATATCATATATCAGAGGGAGTAATACCTACAAAGAACATACATGTCCCGTCTCTTTCTATGCCCGAGAGAACCAGGTTCATGGACTCCCCGTATAACAGTCTCACTAGCGTACACCTTCCACGGATCCATGGCGCACTCCGGGATTTGATTGTCAACATCCGACCCCGATTACTCAGTTTAATTCAGACAAGGATGCTTTGCTTCCAAGAAGGCACAATTGTTCTCATACAGTAATCTCCCATAATACTGATATGGTCAAAACGCCGTGTACGCCACAGCAGACATGAAGATCACATTGTTCCCTGCATGAAGTCGGACCGTGATAAAAATGCTAATAATTTCACTTAGAAAGCAACATGAGAGCTCTATACAACATACATCGTCGACCAATGCGGTGCCACGCCCACACCGCACGCCGACACGCCCACTAAGCAAGTATCCCACCTAAAGCGACAGCGGGTTTTGGATCACAAAGCTCAAACATAATAAGCGCTGACTGTGTAGACCTCAAACATCTCGGCGTTCTGTGCCTGACTAAATACCGACCATGCTCCCAGCCACCATTCCACATTTGATTACAACTCGGCGTCCGATCGTGCGGCGAGGTTGCGAATGCCGCGAGTTACAAAAGCCGGTGGTGCGTGCTGTGCGTACTCTAGGCAGTCCTGATCCATAGTTTCTCGAGCGCAATCGCTGCGCCAATAATCGATGTAAGCAGACGAGGAGCATGAGAAGGACAGCGATTCAACATCACACTGAACGTATCTTCCTGTCAGTTTATAGGTTTCTTGGCAACTCTATATGAGCATATTCTACATCGCTATGCAGGACAAAGGGCACGCTGATACATCTGGAACTGGAGGCAGCGCTATAGTGCTATATGTATGGCTGTTTAATCGACCTTCTGGTGTCTGTCCAGACCGCTGTTGTATCTGTCTGGAGTTGTGTGTTTGTTCCTGAATAAGTAGTTTCTGGGAGAACATGCCAAAATGGGCATGTGTATGCTGAACGTGAGTGAGAGCACTGGATTCTCTGATGTTCTCTAAGAGGTCAGCGTGATAAGGCTGGGCACACCACCAATACAACGGCGCGTTCACATACCACTTCCGTATACACATAACGAAGAGCCTGTTTCTATGACAGGTTGTACCGGTTCACTTTCATTAGCTCTAGTCTAGCACGCAACGCCTCGTTCCGTTGGTAAATTCCACTATAGGCGGCTGTCGCGGCTCATAAACACCACGCATACATCCATACGGAGTCCAAGTCTCCGACGCTAGCATGACAGAAGTGAACAGGCCCAACTACACTACGCACACAAACGGCATTATTAAAACCATCTTATGATCAATTTAGTATGCCTAGTTACTAAGACGAACATCGCTTCCCAACACCGTCCTAAATCCTTCTAGTTCAATTATACACTACAAATCCTGAAAGATATACGAGTGTAGGGGTCACATGAGCGATATGCGTATGACATGTGGAAAAAAGCCCAAGAAACCACAAAGAATGCTTGATACACATGTAAGAAAAGTCGTTAGTGATGATGATATGGTATGAGAATAAAATGAGGGCCTCGCATCCGGCTCCTCCTTGCCTATGTATTATGGGGATAAACCGGAAATCGCCAGGTTCTTATCTCCCGTTCGACATGCGTGTGTAAAAGATGTGTTGAAAACGGCGTTACATGCAATTTTACCTCTTTGCAAAAAAATGCGCCCCCACTCGCCCTATATTATCATTCCCATTGTCCAACGTCTAAATTATTATATTTGTCTAGTACAGCTCACTACGACGCATGCACCCAGATTCACTCTTGCCCCTCTCTCTTGTCGAACACATCCTTAAAAATCGAAGTCAAGTGCGTGAGGCTATCGTCCAGTGGCGGCAACAGATCTGTCAACATTGTGACGTTCAAGAAGTCAGTAATGGACGTCTCGGGAGCCGGCTCGGGCATCGTGTGCAAGACCTGTAGGGTTGGCAGCGTTTCAGACGAAGCGGCAGCTTGTTGGGTGAATGTGATCTGGACGACGCGCGCAATAGACGGTACACCGGCAGCATTGAGGGCGAAGACGTAGTAGTAGCCGGGCAGTGCGACACCAGGATCGTTAGGGATGGTGATGGTTTGCGAGGTACCGGAGACGGTGAAGGGGATGCGGCGCTGGTCCGTGTTGACAGTGTGGGTAACGGAGCCGAGGCGCATGAGGGCGATGCTGGTGACAGCAGAGTCGGTCTTGATCTGGATCTGGCTTCCGACGGCGAAGCTGTCACCGTTGATAGACGTGATGACCGGACGCGTCTTGGTAGTACCGTCTGAATTCACCAAGTATGGGGGTAAGAACACTTCTCCATCAAAGTGGTTAGTGGCGCAGTTGCCACACAGCCCGCCACCTGCACTGAAAATGCTGCCATCCTTGAGAAGCAATGATGTAGAGTGGTAGGTACGTGGTACGGCGTTGGAGTTTAGCACAGTCCAGCTATTATCGCGTGGGTTGAACAGCTCAGGGGTAGTTACGGCGTAAGTGTCGGTGAAGGGCTCAACATGGGTCTGACCGCCAAGAACAATTACAGTTCCGTCTGGAAGCACGACGCTGGTGTGGAAGCCACGCGCATTCTTCATGTCTCCAATGCGCTGAACGCTCGGATTCTTGCCCACGCCATTAATGGTAATGATATGCGCGCGTGCGTGGGCATTGTCGCCTTGGTAGTTTGCTGCACCACCGGCAGTCAAGATCTTCCCGGCAGGCGCGTCGTACATAGCTGCAATACCATTCATGCTGTCGCCATCTTGCGCCCGATTACCTGCACCGTTAATGCTACCTTGCCCAGATGTGCCGATCCAGTTCATGGCAGCAGAGGGACCAGCATGCAAGATGTTGCCATTACTCCACGCGAAGAACCACTGGTGATTGTCCGAGCGGTAGCGGCCCCCATGATCGTGTGTCATGGTCGGTGCGACCCTGGCGCCCGGAAGCTTGGTCCACGTATTGCTCTTGATATTGTAGACCTCACCGTCCTTGTCAACCTCATGTCCTCCACTCCACGAACCACCAAGCGTGAATACATTTCCGTTACTAAGAGTAGCTGACGATTGGTAGCCACGAGGAACATTCATCTCGGCACCTTTCTGCCATTGGTTGGTGCGAGGATCGTAGATGCTCGTCTTGGCGGCATCGTTCCCGCCAGTCACGATGAAACGTCCGGTACTGTCCATGCTCAGACCGGGACAGAACATGTCATGCTGGGTGTTGGCGATCTCTTGGGGCGTCATAGAGGAATCAGTGCTATTGTAAATTGTGACTTGAGTTTTTCCTTGGTTGAACTGGAAGAATTGGTCCTGCATACGTCAGTATGTGTAGGTCGAGCACTGTTGAGTACTTACATTTGCGAACGCAGACCAAACAAGGATCTCATCAGCAGCTCCGTCGTAAAGATTGGCAGCAGCGGCAGGCACCAAGGGGAAATCAACAGTGTGGGACCACACACCAAGACTGGCACTGGGAGCTTTGTGATCGGCGAGCGAGCTGCCAAACATTAATTGAACATCACCAGCCGAAGTCCATGGACCACGATTGCCCGCTTCGCTCAAAGCAACCAAGCGGATATATTGCACATTAATAGCCGGCCAGAAGGCCGCCTTGTTTGTGTCGTCGTCAGCCCATGTGCCTGTCTTGACTGTGTTCCAATTCTGGCCGTCGTTGCTCGATTCAATGCGATATCTGCCAATTCTGCCATTCTCTGGCTGGTTGATAGCGCCAATACCCTGGCGAGGGACATACTGGATACCGCCAACTAGACCGCGCTTATTCTGATTGATGGTGAGGTAGTGGGGATGAGCAGGAGCGTTGCCGCTCCAGTTTGTGTGCCACTTGAGCTGAGGTCAGTGCATTTATCTCCAGACGTACATTTGGGAACGTACAATGGTATATGGTAGATTGTCGTTGAGGTTTGAAGCACGACCGTTCTCCCGAGCAGTTTCCTCGCTGTCTGCTGTGAATGTAAAGCCTTGACTGTTGATGAAGGGATCTGCAACTTGGTGGATATTCAATTCGGCAATGCTAGTCCAGGGATTCTGCGCGTTTTGCGCTTCGGTAACAGCGGTAATCTTGACATAACGTGCGACCTTCCTTACAAACGATGTCTCTTTCACACCTTTGTCATTACGATATTGACCCAAAGCTACCGGGCGACCCCATGTCTTTCCATCACCGCTTAGTTGCACTAAATGCTGACCAATGTTTCCATTATTGAAATTGTCTTGTCGAGGTAAAATACTGATGCCGTCGACGAGATGAAATTCGCCCATATCGACTACAACATTATGCGGAAGGGGGGCGTTCGGGGCGTATTCCGAGTGCCAAAAAGTGTTACGGTCGCTAACCTATATCAGTCTTGGGAGTCACGACTATAGAAGTAGATATCCTATTTACCCATCGATGGCCTTCTGTGCTTCGTTGCCAGCGTGCTGGCTGTCCGCAATGATCTTCCAATTATCGCGACCAATTTGAAGACCTAGGGGAAATGCGGCCGGGATTAAGGAGGAGAAAAGTAGTAGCGAGTGACTTTGAAATAACATGTTGAACGAAAAAAATGAAAAACGAATGTGTGGTATTGTGAGCACCAAAGCAGAGTCGAAGAAGGTTAAAGACTTGGCATAACGACGGGAATGATAGGCTTTATGAATGAACGAGGTAATGCTACCAAGGGTTAACCCCGTGGTATGGATCCACGATAGGCGGCTGTGATTTGGGGCGGTTCAGAGAAGGCTGAATGCGGACAGCCTTGGCGCGAAGAGCGACGGTATCATCTCACCATGACTCTTTTGCCTGAACTGGTCATGGTTCCGACGGGGGGCCCCCCAGGTTGCCATGATGGATCTATCCAAGCCGCATGTTTGAGGTTTGTTGGTCTACCAACTGGGCCAATAGGGATGGCCAATAGCAAACATCAAATGTAAGGCTTATGCTCCACTAGGTAAGGTATAGGGCCGATTCGCCGCGCTTAAGGAATAAGCATCTGTTGGCTCCGCGCGCTATGAGGAAACAATCATACTGTAGTAGGCGTATGCAGGCAGATCGCACCACGTTATTGATTTTGGATACGGAGGGCGAATAAGAAGAAGCAATATGGCGGCAGCGCAAACAGGCGGTGGCCAACAACGCAACTGAGCGGGAGGATATACGCAGGCTGGAAATGTGGCTTTACGAGCAGAAGTCGCCTGCGCGATGAGTCCATTGATGGTATCGATATTGCCTTGGAACGACGTGAATGCGATCATATTGTGATGCCTGTGGTTATGAGTAGGGCCGAACATCTCCCTGAATGTATGTGAGCTAGATCGTCACGTGCCTCATCGTGATCCAAGCTGCATGCAGTTCCCGCCGGGGCTCAGGGTTCTGGACAAAAGTTGATAAAATGTACTTGCTTTACTTACGTTGGCAGCGAGTGTTATAAGTACTCATTTTTCTGATTTATAGACGAGCTTGATCTATCAAACCCGTTCCTCCCATGTTATGATTGCAATCAACCATATTCAAATTAGTGGTTTTCTCATCGGGTCCGTATGGTATTGACTGCCATTCCGTTGTGTAAAATACCAAACCCGAATGTACGTAACAACCTGTGCCTCACCCATTTCCTTTCTTCTCTAACCTCCCTATCAGTTTTTGTCTCTTTTCTTCCATCTCGCCGCACTCCTGTAATCATAAAGTTCGTTCTTCTGCCTCTTCCTGGTCTCTTCCCTAGGATTCTCGTCAACGCCGCCAGCTCTAGCTTCCTCCTTGGCAATACACTACCTACTTACCCAGACTAATAAGTGCCGAACTTACTGTAAGGCCCTTTTCCTTCCCTCGCGCTGACTGTAGACGCTCATGCTTCATCCAACATTGCAGCCGCATTCGGCTTATGCACATAATCTTTGCACCTGCAGCGGACCTATAACATTGAACAGCCACGCGCATGCAAGTTATGATGTTGCCGCCAATGCGAAGTCTCCGACGGATTCACTCCGATGGCTTTCTAGTGGCCCAAGACTGATATTATTAGGGAGATGCGTTGTTAGCAGAATTTCAACAACGCGGCTCGACGGCAGGTAATGACAATCCTGTACCGGGATCTGCGGACTTCTGTCCACCACGTTGCATCACTAAACTATTAATACGCCGTAAGAGCCTAAGACCTAAGACCTCTACCGCTCCCACGGTCAGTCTTCAGCAGGTTTATATTTGCAATGTTGCATGGCCCTGCGAGAACACCAATCCTAATGTTCCATTCCTCGTCCAGTTCGTATAGAATGCAGACACGAGAATGCTGCGAGGCGACTGCCCGGGCGACTGCGCCTGCAATCCTACCGGTACGTCCCTCTCAGCTTTCCTCATCTCATCTCATCTCATCCCATCGTACGGACCCAGAAGTTGCACCCCCGTTCGTGCATGATGGTGCTTGCGTCCTTCTGTGCAGGGAATGTTGATGACGTGACTGGGTCGATATTACCATAAAACTGTGTTGGAATGGTTGTGTTGAGCAAGTCCTAAAGAGGGCCTAGAGTGAAAGGTGAAAGGCAAAAGGCAAAAGGCAAGAAATACTCGCCTCTTAATAGGGTTTCTACTACGCACATGTCATGCACGTTTCGTGCCGGGATCTTAATATAGACTGGTTTCCGAGGCCTGTTGGGCTGCTATTATTATTCCCATGCATGGATAAGTAGCTGTAGTTACTAGTTATGTAGCTGCCCGCTCAGACCACTCTGGCACCACGACGCAACAGTAAAACAAGCTGCCTTCATTGAGCCATCTTCTCTGTAAGCGTAAGTGGTTATTCATAGAACAGCCGCGGGGCGATGGCTTGACATTCTCTCTTAAGTCGTCCGTCGGGCCTTCGAAGTGATCTGAGGCACTGCAGGACTCCTTTCATTATTATGCTGTGGGAGCGCCGTGCAAAGCTGTGACTCTCATGCTGGCCGTGCCCTTCTCATATGATACGAGCGACATATCCGCACACTCTTGGAACCAAATACCAAGCGCTGCTAAGACCGTGACGGTGACAGTCGCCGCGTCAATGTACGACATGCTGCACTCCGTTCAGTCAACACGATCACGCTGTCATTCACTCCAAAGATTCTTCGATTCTTTAATCGAACGTGCCAACAACAATCCTACCAGGTAAGGCCGCAGTTGTAGGTGCACTGAACGCTTTAACTTCATCTCCCGCACTCGCAAAGCAGAGTCCTGCTTGTTTCCTCGTAAAATATTTGTTGATCAGGCCACCTCTATCCTTGACTCAATCTCAGATGGTTTCCTTGCGTCCTTGCCTTCCGCCCTCTCTGATCAAAATTTCTTGTCAAGTTGCATCCATGCAACAACCATCCCGCCAAAGTCAATGATGGCCATTCAGTAAGAACTTGATATGTCCACAGATACATCAGTGACCCCCATGACAGCCATACACGTACCAAGAGCTTCCAAATCAAGGACGAAACAGAGGAAATAACGCCCCCGCAATCCGGGGTACTCTCCGGGATCCTCGCGTCTCTATGGCGAGTACTCTTGAGTCTGGCTCTCACTGCCTGCGGTTTGCAGGCTACTTGGAAGGCGGTATGGTGTGTACGCAATACATGAGTACTTGCAGACGTCGCAAATGTCAAGGACGCAAGAGAGAGCTCCAAATATGTGACATGCCATACGTTGAAGGGTTATAAAACTGTTCAACAGTACCTCCAAGTAGCCCCGATCGCTCGCGTAAACCACACCAAATTTAACACCATCAACCACTCCTATAGCTAAACAAAGTCACTACTGTTTACTGAAAGTTTAGAGATAGAGTCTTTTTATCTATATTCTCCTGAAAAACTTACCTTATAAAAAGAATCAGGTATAGTTAAGAGTTCGTAAGCCCCTCACCTAGAAAGAGTGGTCCGGGACTACTTGGCGGTACTGTTGGATATCAGCCTTGAAACAAGTAAACACACTGGACTAATCGGATTGGCGCTCTTCTCTTAGGTAGACAATCTAACCAATACTTTGCTAGTCAATGTGTTATAGCTAATAATTAGAAATATATATTCTTATCTAATAACATTCGGCCGATGACCTTTCGAAAAGTACCGTGCCTGAGCTTGCGCGAATTACTATAGAACCCCAGATTAGGGGAGGGTTTCAGAGTATGTCATACTAAGCCTAGACCAACCAACTTCTGGCCTATAAAGTAATGTATGTCAGTCGAAAATGGCTGATGTTTAGCATACAGTGCGTCTCTGTATCTAAAAGTCTACCTTTGGTTGAAAGTTAGGGCCGCGAAACGACACACCGCCAACTCATCAATATCACTATGCGTCTTCCAAGCATCCTCGTCATCATCGGTATTACCACCGGTGTAGTCATTGCCGATGGCGTTTGCGAAGAGCCAGGTTGGCTCCAATACATGGGGGTTTTAGGCCACTATGACCCCGAAATTGATTCCCCCGCCACCATGTCCGAATATATCGACGCCCGCCGCGATTATTACAATTGGTTGAAAGAGAAAAAAAACGTAACTTGTCCGACTGAAATCAAATACAAGCCCGAAGAAAATACAGGTGGTAACGCTCGAACAAATAAGCGCTACCCCATTCCAGAGGGCGATCTACCAAACGGCATGAAGGGGGGTTATGTCGAATGCCGGGAAGACGAAGGTGTGCTCCAAGAACCGGATATAGACAATGTCCAAAAATATCAGCTTAAGGATTGCCACGGAAGAAGGGCATGGGGCCCGCGAAAGGACTTCCCAAGCGGCGCGGCCACTGCATTTCAATGTGATAGTGGACATGGGCAGACGTGCCACCCTCTATTCCTCGCAGCAATGTTCACCGAAATCAACAAATACTGTGGGAATAAACCCGGCTTTTTTCGAGTACCAGACTGGAAGGTTATATATGGTCGGCAACAAGGAAAAGGTAAATTGGCCTGTGATAACCTATTTTCAACGTAAAGGCCTGCCTAGGTCAGGCTTGTATGCTTACTCGGCGGAAGACCTGATATATGCTGAGTCTGGGGTATTATCAGTTCCGATAGATAGTAGTCAATGCTCTTTAAAACTCACTTATACAAATACTGATTGTATTATCGTCCAAACTAACGATAGTACAAGGACTCACTTTGCATTCATCTTCTTAGACACCCTATAATCACTATCGGAGCTATCATCAGTATAGCTGACAGTCAAGTCTACGCTAGAGGCCGCGGCGTTCGGAAAACAAAGATCTGATACATACCGTAACATACGGTAACTAGAGAATCTAGCGAGAAGATTTATCTTAGTATATGCTTAGATTAAATATGAATAGTATGTATCTTTCCATACGACCACTCATGCTATGAGGATCTCAAGTCAAAGTGAACAAGAATATTCGATTAGAGATGGGTCAGGGAGATCTATTGTGGCATGAGTGGCTTAATCACGAGTGGCTTATTCATACGTGGCGGTGCTCGCTAATCCGCATCCGTCCAAACGCCTCTTTCAACTTTTTCTCCAGCATCGTCACCTGAAACACGACTTCCATCCAATCCGACACTTCATCCTCTCACTCACACATACAACATCTCGCGGCTCTCTTCTCTTCTCTCATTCCCCAAACCTATTCTTTGGGATCTCAGGACGCGCCATATAATCCTAGCAATCCTCGAGTCCCACCAACACACCTCCCTTTGGACCTCCCTGTCCATCTCCCACACATCACAGTATGGATCACACACGAGACCCGTGCCCCTGGGTGGCATTGAATGACTTTGGCGGTGCTTTCTGTATGGGTGTATGTGCCTTTCGTCCTCAGTCGCCGCCGTGATGGGCAAAAGACAGATGCTAACCAAAGCTCTCACAGGCGATAGGCGGCGCAGGTACAACAAACAACGCATACGACCCCATCTAAAATACTCACAATCAGATAGTATGGCACGGTGTAAAAGGATTCAGAAACAGTCCTCTCGGCGAGCGACGAATAGGCGGTACTTAGAGCCCCGCCCCCTTTCTTTCATCCGCAATCCGACACCCAAACTAACCACCTATACCAGCCCTCACAGCAATAAAGGCCCGCTCACCCGTCCTCGGTGGCAACTTCGGCGTCTGGGGCGGTCTCTTCAGCACATTTGATTGCGCCGTCAAAGGCTACCGCAAAAAGGAAGATCCGTGGAACGCCATCATCGCCGGTGGCTTCACAGGCGGCGCACTCGCTGTGCGTGGCGGTCTCAAAGCAGTACGCAACGGTGCGATCGGTTGCGCGATTCTGCTCGCTGTGATTGAGGGTGTGGGCATCGGGTTTCAGCGCATGATGGCCGAGGGCACGAAACTGGAGGCCCCGCCACCACCGCCAGAGAGTGCGCGGGCGATCGCGTGAATCGAAGATGGAATCAGGAGGAGGATGGGCGCGGTGAGGCTGGAGGAGATGTTTGGGGGGCTGTGAATGAGGGATGAGATGGAGCAGCCTGCCAAGTCCATGGCATAATAGACGGCACAGGACAAGCAGTATGAGGAAGAGGGCATTTACAAAGGCGTTTGGTGTAGGATGCTGCGTGAGCAATTTCGAGCAATTGCAGACAGCTATGCTGCTCGGTTCTGCGCCCTAAGGACGACAGCCGTTCGCGAACAGGGCCTGGCATACTCTACTCTCTCCACTGAACCTGTACAATTTTGCGCATATCAGGGCTCCCATGCGACGATAGATACTCTAACGTGGACCTTCTGTACAATATACCTTTACGGATCATGTTCTGAGCTTACTGGATAAAATGGTCATAATGCATCATTGGTAAAGACGCCTGATCGATGCCAGTGCGAGTGAAATGCGAAAGGAGAGCTAATGTACAGGGTATAGTGCGGACCGATACTCCTATGACCATCATGTTATCATGCGTGCATTCTGGGACCCATCCGTACACCAAGGCTACACAAAAGCACCGAAATCTATAAATTCCCAATCACCACCATGAATCTCAGCTTGCCATCGCTCCTTTGCCTGCTCTTCTGGAACTCGATATCATTCTCACCATCAGCCTCGTCTCCGTCTAGCCCAGGGCTTGTGTTTGGTCCACTTGTACCCATACCCTCGTCCAGCATCAGCGTGCTGCTCTTCCAGCCCCAACTCTGACTGAAATTGAATTTGTCAGGCGCACTCTCGTACACACTCAACAGGCGGCCGCCTTTCGACGGCGAGTAAATCTTGAAGTATGTTTTAATCGTGGGTCTCGCGTCGACGTAAGGCGGCAAAGTAGCGCCAGCACGATTTCTCCGCGCGGATGGATCTGGAAGGTCTGGTTCCAAGGTCGAAGAGTCATCGGACTCTTCGCCTGTGGTACTGAATAGTGCATCTGCTTTCGAAGCTTTGTTCCTGTAGTCAAGCCCCTGATGGGAGTTGTAGCTGGGCTGGTGATCGACCGCGGGTCTGCGGCGGGGACGAGATGAAGAACCAATGATCTGAGGTGAATCGAGATCACCACCACTACCGCTGGTATCGTCTTCGCCAGCTACCATACTGGAGTGATCTTGGTGAGGACTCATCATCGGACGACCACGACGGCGCTCGCTGCGGAGGAGCATTTGGCGTTCGAGCAGCCCGATGCGCTCGTCGACGCTACCTTGAGAGAAGCCTGCAGTACCTGCGAGGATTTCCTCTGTTTCTCGTTCTTTGGCACGGTGAAGGTAGACGCCGAGCTGTGCGTTCTTACTGGAGCGGACTTTCTGTATGTAGATATTCCAAAGACTACCTGCGTAGAAGACAGTCCGTGAGTAGACTCTTTTCTTCTCCTTCAACAGGCGTGGGTTGGGGAATTCGGCAGCGAAACGAAATGGAGGGAAGTGGGTATACGATATTGGCTTGGGCTGGCCAGCGTTACTGCCGCCAGCTGAGGCAGGCCGTCCTGGGATATGAGTCGTTGTTCGAGCAGTGCCATCAGGATTAGTAGCATTCGTTGGGGATGATACGAAGTCGGTGGCCCATTGAGCATCTTCAGGTTGCATGCTTGCAGACAATCTGCTGGCTTGGCGATGTACATTGTTGGAAGTGGTAACAACTGGCTCTGCGTTTCCACCCATTACGATGTTGCAGTCGGCACTCGGAATCCAGAATTTGCGAGGTCTTCCGTTGCTGTCCCAGCTACCAGATTCCATGTCATCCGAGACACCATTGTTTCTGCTATTGATTGTTGATTTACCTTTCATAGAATCCGAATGTTCGATTAACGCTTGAGAACTTGACCCGGTCAAATTTTGTTCATAGGCAGGTTTGCTTATTCCGAGCTCAAGGTCCTGATCTTGGGCATTGAGAACTTTCTGGCGTAGCTCCATCTGCATCCATAAGGCATTTGTAATGACCTTCTCCGGCATTACAGGTAGTCCAAAAGCGTCGCGAGCTTCACGTATGTACTGCAACTGCTCAAAGTCGAGGTGAACGTAATGGATCCCTTCATCAAGTAGGACCAGGAGAGGCTCAACTTCAGGGTTAGTGTAGAGAGACTCCCACTGTGCGTGGCTGTCCGGCGTCTGTCGGCCAGTCGTGATTGCATTTCGACGATACACAGCATCGAATCTTACAGCCATGAGCCCGATGGTTTCAGGGGCTCGGATGTCTGTTCGCTTTCCAGATTCTAAAAGACCGGCTTCAATAGCTTGCTGGCGAAGTCTTCGGTCTAGAATCCTCTTTGCCAGTACCCAACGTGCCCATTCACTGTCAACAAAGAAGCCATCACCCCCGATGATCTCTCGGATTATGTCCCCTGGAATTCCGTCCCAGTAGCGCAGAGGCATTTCCCACCCGTCTCTACACAGCATCGACTTGGCAGACGAAAGAATACGCTCTCCTGACTGACCATAATAATTAGCTGTCACTAGTCTGACAAGCGGCGAAAGGGTTTCTGGGCTCATTTGTCGTAGGATGGCGTCGATACTCGAATCTACCAAACCTTGCATTTCGAGCCAGCATCCTGTGGCGAATAGCCCGACAGCTTCCGCTTCCTCCTCCTCTTCGGTAACCTTGCAACCATATAATCGTTTCAAGGCAAGCTCAAATGAGTTCTGTGTAATGCTTGGATCTATCTCGTCGGGGTGAAGCGTTATCTCTTTCGCTGTGCTCTCAATCCAGGGCTCCGACAATGCTGTAGTGAAGAATGGTGCGCGGTCAAGTATAATTCTATGGAGGGGATATTTACGACCGAAAGCGCACACAGATATATCCGAATGTCGACCTTCGAGAAGGCCTCTGGTATAGAGGTGGTCGGGAAGAGAGGCAGATTCATTTATAAGGGCTAGAAGTCATAAGCAGTGTTTTCACAGCCACATGAGCCACTTTCAACTTACGCCGAGGACAGAGAGCTGTGATAGACCTGGTGTACGAAGGTTGTCGAGACGACTCGGGAGAAAAATTGGCAGCGAACAGTTTGCTCAGAGTTGTCAACGTTGTGTACTCTCTCGAACGGTCGTAGGAGCGAGTATGCGTCAAAGGTGTAGTGGGATCATCTGCATCTTTTTCTGCTCGTGGGATCGGGTTCTCTGCACTGCTCTCATCTTCAGTCAAGGGACCGTCGAAGCGCGTGGTTCTGCGGCCTGGGTTCGTGGAAGGGCGTGATAGGGCTGTAAGGGTACGTGAGGAAGTTGAGCTTGACGATGGAGACTCGACTGTGAGAGTTGGGGGAACAGGAGGTCCAGCGGAAAATATGGATGGCGGATTGCTGGTGAGAGGTCCCGAGCGCGAGGGTATACTTCGTTCTCCGCTCGTCAAAGTCTGACCAGAGGCACTGGCTAGGCCTGACCCTGTTGGTCCTGGAGGACTCTGTCGTGCCATGTTGTCTAGTATCTCATACTCTTGTGCATCTTCCAGCATCGTTGTCGGGTGTTATCGTGCGAAGCGAGGAGAATGACGAGTGTGTCATGTGGCTATGGTAGCGATACAAAACACAGGGTAAGGTCGGACGGATAGGATATGGAGGACTCGTTGGCAGAAACGACGATACAGAACGCGAAACTATAAGCACACTCTAGTGGCAGTCGATATAGGAGCCACAGATGTACATTGGAAGAGGGATTGGAGAGAAGAATCAAGGTCCAAGAGAGGTGCCAGACCAACGGGGTGTTTTGCACGATAAAGCACGAGGCACAATCATGGATAGTGTAGGCATGACGGAGTATCAGCTGCGAGCGGGGCTACTAAGTAAGGTAAGGGTAAGATGGGCTGCATATAGGGAACTAGGCAGGTGAGGTAGGCAAGGGGCGCCATAGTCTAGTGTAACGGTCGCCCGCGTGCCCTCTCCTTTCCCTTTCTGATGGATGATGGATGGGTTGTGGGTTACGTAGACGCAGTCACGCACAGATGCAGACGTAGTCACACACAGACCCTTGATATCGCTCCCACAGTGTCACTATGTATTATTGCTAAGCCAATCGCCAGTCGCCAATCTGGGTCAGTCGAATATCGATTAGCTCATCCTTGACTTTGGTGCTCCAACGTCCCTCTGTTCAAGATTCTATACAACACACGCTGTTGCGGCGGGCAGCATCGTCAATGGCATCGACTTTCACCACCTTTCCGCACCTGCGATCTGCTACTCCGCGAAGCTTCAACGAATGCAGCAGGTGTCTGGCAAGGGTAAATGCAGCCTTCAATCCCGTGCTTGGACGTATCAACCAGCGATCAACCGCGCATCTTGCGAAGAGCCTGTCTGGGCGCCGGCCTCAACTTATAACTGTCAATGCTTTGCAAGGGAAGTCGCGAGTAATCCCGACGCCCAATCGAATAGTACGGAACGTCAGCACACAAGCGCACAAAGCAAAACCGAATTTCCGCGATGATGGACAATCCCGCAGCAAGAAACATTTTCCTACCGTCAGCGATAAGATTGTGGCATACTGGCTGCTTGGAAGCGCAGCAAGTGTCTTCGGCATAGTGGTTTTTGGAGGGCTCACTCGTCTTACCGAGTCCGGGTATGTCCATACAGTGTCCCTTCAAGGTCATAGTCTAAAATCTTCCTAGGCTCAGTATTACAGAATGGCGGCCCGTAGCAGGATCCCTACCGCCCATGTCAGCTGAGGCTTGGGGGTCTGAGTTCTCCAAATATCGAGATTCGCCTGAGTTCCAGCTACTCAATCCCCGAATGACCCTCGACGAGTTCAAACAAATATACTGGATGGAATGGGGCCACAGACTGTGGGGTCGAGTGATCGGAGTCACTTTTATAGTTCCTACGGCATACTTTATAGCAAGAGGCATGGTGTCCGCTCGAATGGCGGTCCGTTTGGTCGGTATATCTGGTCTGATTGGCTTCCAAGGATTCCTTGGATGGTGGATGGTCAAGAGTGGTCTCAAGGACGATCTCTTTGCATCAGGGAGCCATCCTCGTGTCAGTCAATACCGCTTGACCGCACATCTTGGTACTGCGTTCTTGGTATACGCTTCGATGGTCGCCTCTGGTCTCGATATTCTTAGGGAAAGGCGCTGGTTCTATATGCTCCTCATTGAAAGATCGAAGCGCCTGGCGGTGCTCGGGAAGCACAGTGTACGCCCACGACTACGACTGTTTCAGAACTTGAGTGTGGCACTTATTGGTCTTATATTCACGACTGCGATGTCGGGTGGTCTTGTGGCCGGTCTTGATGCTGGGCTAATCTACAACGAATTTCCGCACATGGGCCAAGGCTTTACACCGCCGAAGAAGGAGCTCTTCGATCCTTTCTACAGTCACAGACCCGACAACTCTGATCTCTGGTGGCGAAATATGCTTGAGAACCCCTCTCTGGTACAACTGGAACACCGCATGTTGGCAACGACGACCTTCACCGCCGTCATGGCCCTCTTTGCGTTCTCACGATTCGCCAATAACCGCCATGTCATTCCCAAAGGCTGTCATAGAGCTATACTTGGCATGGCCTATCTTGTAACACTTCAAGCTACGCTTGGCATCAGCACACTCATCTATCTTGTTCCTACGTGGCTCGCGTCGCTGCACCAGGCTGGCAGTCTGGCTCTACTCACCGGAGCTATCGTCTTATCAAGCAGGACGAGATTACCGGCGCATACCATCAAGAATTTGAGAGAGGCACACAATATCCAGACCCTTCTTCGCCCTAACCGTGACCTCCGATCGACTCTTATGAAGAATAGATTTTTTAACAAGGACTATGTTCCATAAGAACAACTCCACCCCATGTAAACTACCTTGCTTCTTTGTACATAACGTGCATCCGAGATACTGCTATTCAGATCTCGTGCGCAGTTTACCTCCCCGAATGAACATGTACATTATCATAGAGGTCATTGTCTCTCTAGCACTCGGCTTAAGGCCAATCCTGCATCAGTACTTACATTCGATAAACATCCGACGTTCAAATTATATCCCAGTCGAGCTTACAGTCTGGGATGAGTATATAGCACAAATAAGCAACATCTTCAGTTCGATGCTGAGACATTACTGCCAGGTGCCTAGGAAATACATACTTGTCGTGGCTCTTGACTACGATACTCAGCGAATTAGTATGGTAGGTAAACACATGAAGCTATTCAAAGAGGCCATATAGAACAGAATCTCAGGACAGGTAGTACAGAATTCTTGAGACTATCTGAATACAAAGTGTTTTTCTGTCCTTTTCAAACCTGGCGTTATAGACTTGACTTACACTGTAAAAAGTGCATAACGTTATTATTTTACCAGTCCGTCCTCGTATTGGAACTCAGCAGGGTAACAATCGCATCCCTCTATCCTTTGCATCTCTCGATCTTGATATATTTCTAATTGGTCATTCCTATAGCAAAGACTAAGTTTGGTTTTGACATATCTATGGGTGTCTCTATTTGTGATAGCTATGCTTAGCCTGCTCATTGGATGCGAAGCATTTATATCCTGACTGGCCCGAGAGCTATAGTATGGATGCATTGGTGTCGTTCGCGTTGTTCATGATAATACAACAAACAGGGGGGTGACCAAGAATATGTTGGACCGAAAGGGAAGGCGCGTAAACTGTATAGGATGTATAGTCGTTGATGAACGATGCACAGGCAGTTGCAATCTGAAAGATAGCAAATCTTATATGACGACGCCATCAACCAATCTGGCCCCCTGTATGACGTCGTTACAGCCTCATGAACCAAGACTGTATGCAGAGACTGAAACCTTGAAAGTAGCTGCTTGATTCTCGATCCTTTTTTCACTTCTCGGAATTACGAATGTCCGACTAGGTTGTGAAATAGTACAAAGAGAATGCACGAGACCAATCTAGGAAAAGTCGGTTGTTCTCATGCATGCGTAGAACTATTAGCGTCGTCCTAAAGTCGGTGTGCGAATCGATTTGTCAGTTGCAGAGAGATCCAATCTTAGGGATCGCCAAGCAATCCGAAGTTGTTTGTGCTTTGCGACCAATCGAGGGTTCAGCCTCAGGTTGTTGTTGCGAGCGATCCCAGAAAAGGGTTATGTATGTTCTTGCTAGTGAACGTCAAAGAGGCTAAAGTACCAATGCATGGGGCGGCTCGCTAATACACATCGGAGAATATTTCATAGGTCGATCGTTGAGGACCTCAAAGACTTCAGCTCTGACTTGGTGAAGCCACAGCGCGAAGTCTTTCAAGGCCAAAGCATGAGCTATGATGACGAGTGATTTGACGACGAGTCTTGTCGCAAGGGGTGTAAAAAGCAGGATCATTGTCTAGTTGCATTACAATGAATACGAACGATTCCTGATGACTCGAATTCAGCCGCTCCGAGTGCGGAGAGACATCCGGAAGCTCGAGGCAGATTGGAGACGTGGCGTAGAGGAACCATCTTTAGAAGGGGCTGCAGATTTGAAGAAACCTCTGGAGGATCTCATACGCGCGTTCAAAGGGATTCAAGAGCTTCCGCCAAACCATCCGAGGTCGTATTTCCGCATCACAAGTTATCATGGGGAGCCATTTCGTGGAGCTGGACGGAGTGACGCGCGATACTGGGGTGGTTACTGCAACCATGGAAACGTTTTGTTTCCTGTCTGGCATCGAGCCTATCTCCTTGAGCTTGAAAATGCGCTCCGATCGATCGAGGGCTGCGAACAAGTCACATTGCCGTACTGGAATGAAGTCGACGAAGTGACCGAGAAGAACGGCCTTCCCGGCGTGTTTCTGATGCGCAAATTCCCACTAGACGGCACCGAGATCCATAATCCATTGTTCTCTTACAAATTCCAGGCTCGTATTCGTAACAATATACAAACGAAGCCTGGTCATAGCTATGACAAGGATGAGGGATACGAGACCGTACGATATCCTTTCTCCGGGCTGGTGGGAGAAAGAGATAGGGCAGCGACTACGGAGCACAACTCTAGGATGAGGGCTAGAGGCGAAGAGTCTACGAATCGCGCGTTGAACGAGAACGTGGTCAACTGGCTGGGTGGGTCAGTAAGAAATTGGGTTGACGAGAATGTATATACGGGAGTTCGCCTCAAGTTCGAGAGATGTCTTGAGGCGCCAAACTATACGGTGTTCTCGAACACAACCTCCTCGAGTAAATGGAACGAGGATCATTTCGACACCTCCAAGTCAAGTACGCAAAGGACCTTCGACGGAAGCGAGACCACAATCGCCGTCTCACTTGAAGACCCTCATAATGGAATTCATCTTGCCATTGGAGGATTCGAGTTTTTGGGAAAGCGAAATGTAAATGCCATTGCGGGCGCCAACGGCGACATGGGCGAAAATAACACTGCATCGTTTGATCCTATTTTCTTCTTCCATCACTCATTTATCGATTTACTCTTCTGGCAATGGCAAAAACGCCACGATCGACTCGATTTTCTCGATATCATCGATGGCTACGCCGGAACTACGTCTAATGATGAGCAAGGGCCCACGGCTGGGACACCAGATAATGCATGGCTGAATATGAAATTTCCCCTGCAACCTTTCAAGGCCTGGAAGTATGCCCCTTGTCAGGGTGACATACCTGAACATATGCAGCATCGTGACGTGATGGCGAGTGTAGAGCGTCCCTTACAGGAGGTTGAAGGAGTGTTAGCTCCATCAACATGGAATATAAGTACAGGGTTGCCTCCGCCGATTCCGTACGAATGGCCCATCCGTACATGGCCACCACACAGCTGGCCTCCTTCTGAATGGCCTCCCTCTAATTGGCCCCACGAAGTATCTGTCACAGGGGAAGTAAGTCATATGCTAAAGACACCGATTGACATCGTGCGCTGCTTACCATTGTATCAGGATATGGTGAACATCATCAAACTCGGTTACACCTATGAGGAACCACCCATAAGCTCGGCATTCAAATCAGCAGCTCAAGAGAATCAAAATCCAGCAGTGAATCAGCCAACACCTGTACTAAAAGTCCCTGATGTTAGCCGCGCAGGTATCGCGGGTTCTTTTATGATCTCCACATGGGCTCATGGCAAGCTTTTAGATCTTACTCCTGTACTCAGCCGATGGAACGTGCGCGGATGTGCAAATTGTTTGACGCATTTGACTGTGCGGACGTTCGTGCCACTCCATGGTTGGACCATAGAAGATGCGAGGAAGACCACCTTCACCTATCGCATCCATTTGAGAGAGGTGCACAACAAGGATAGGAGTCAACGACGAGATACTACGAGGAACTCAAACTTTGAGGGCAAGATAGGCTTTATCGTCAATAAGCATCATGAGAAGCTTGTGCAGTCATCCAACGCGACAGGACGTTTGCCACACACCGGTCAGAGAGCTTTAATTCGTGCAATGTTCTGAATCATCCCTGAGATGGATTTTGGTCTTGTAGCCTGGCAGTCGATGATGGGAAGTCGTAAATGACCTTTCGCAACACAGCTTCGCATTCTATCGACTGGCGCTCCAGCGGACAGGATGATAGCTGAGCTGAAGCGAGCTTCAATGCCCACATTATGCGTAGAAGTGGCCCTGGGCTTGGCTTATTCTGCATGCAAGATTTGCATAGCCGCGTAATAGAGCTACCTAGGCCGTTACGCATCTGGCGATCACGCATTATGACTGTAGCAGACTCATAAAGGACCTCGAAATCGCCTCTTTCCAACAGCATCTGATACGGCGTGTCAGTCATGATGCAGCAAGCTAGTTGAACGCCCATAGCTAAGGAGCATTGGGCACGGCTCCAGGTGTTCATTGGTGGTTCGACGGGTCCCCCGAGTTGCTTTGGACCATGTGGCTGCTCAAAGTTCGAACAAGGGCAATCGTGGTGCATGTTTTGGACATCTTGGAAGAGAGTAGTAAAGTCCCGAATTAGATTGTCGAGATCCACGTCAAGGATCTCGGGGCCAGGTAGAACTTGATCACTTTGGTCAATTAAATAAGCAGCGCGGAAGGCGAAGTCGCATATCTTTTCGTCTCGTGTTTTTGTTCTTCCTTGCCATGGCACTGATAACCATTCTGGACGGGCAAAAACCGAACTGTTGCGATCTAGGAGACAGCGTGTCATCTAGAAAGTGTGTCAGTATTTGTCTCGTTACAGCATTTGATGAAGGTTTACCCACTAGTACGTTCCGGCAAACCTCGAAAATAGCGAGACACACAGGACTCTGACTTTGCTTTGGGCCGCGATGCTCTATGAGTCTCCCCAAGCCTACCATATGCTTGAACCATCCCCCACTTTGGTACTTCGGGTGGACATTTAGGAGCTCGAATAGGCCAAGTACAACAGCACAAGCTAGGGTCTCATCACTTTTACTGGCTGTGGCATCGGTCAAGGCCAAGCGTAGCTTGCCTAGAGAACGGCCATAGAGCTTCTGACCCTGCTGTTCGGCAGCGATGTCATGGATGGCTCTTCCGAACTTCATGATGGAGAGGGCGCGCAGCGAAGACGTGAGTAGAGGACCAGGTGTTGTGATCTGCATGACTGGACTCATGAATTGAGTTAAACGAGGGTCGGTCCGGGATATGACGAAATGTCTATAGAACCAGTGCACGTGGTCGTCGGGACTGGGAGCTGGAGCGACCATAGCCTGACTGAAAGCGCCGGAAACCAGAGCATTCTTGATCTCTTCGAGGCGCTGATCCTTGACTTCTTCCAATCGTCGACGCTTTTGCATGCCGGCAGCGGTGCGATTGACAAAGACATCGTGCCTTTCGTAGCCTTGACATGTTCGGCCGCTGCGAACACAGTTGTTGCACGAAGGCTTCTGTAAGTCACACTGAAAGCGGCATTAGAAGTGCGGAACCCCGAGCGAGTCAACTACAGACGGCTAACCTTTATTCTTCTCCCTCTGCACGTAGCGCATCCACGCGTTTTGGTAGTTATGCCGGCCATTCCAGAGTTGAAGGCGATCTCAAGGTATGAGGTGAAGCTTACGGCCACGGTCAAGCCACATTGACAAGCGAGAGATGAAGGATTGGGCGAGGCTGAAAGCGTACGATGGATATGATATTATGAGAGCTAGATAAACGATGGGTCTAACGAATCATGAGCTACCTTGGCCAAGGCCCCATGTAGTCGCTGAGCTGGAAAGAAGGCCGTAGGGATTCTAGTGCGAGATGATGATGATGAATCATGGATGCTACTGAAGATAGACGGACTGTTGCTGTCCCTCAGCTGGTTACGGCCCCCGTTTCAGCTTGACCCAATTCCAGCGCCATGCCAGGAATAACACAGAACTAGCCTATGCCCATGTAGATCACCATGTGAGCAAGCTTATAATGCATCTCTGCATTCGCACCTCATGCTTGATCATGGGCTCGTTGGAACATGAAGCCTCGGCACAGCCACTGTCGTAGAGGCAAGCAAGTCTACGTTTGGCATGCATAATTATGCATATAAAGGATCAGCCACACTTTAACCTCGTCAACATATCTGCGAGCGGGCAGAGCCAAAGCGTGCATGCTAGCATCACTTATTATAGTAAGCAATTGTAAGGTGTCAAACAAAGTGTATCGATAAATCGCAGCTTAACGCCGAGGCCTAATCAGCTACTGATCGTATACCTACCACCAGTGACCGTGCGCGAGAACTGAGCAAACATGATTGGTAGATCTATACCTCTTCAGGCTTCAGCGCGACTTATATGAAAGACTGATAGATCCACAATGGTCCTGACAGTCTCCCATGAATCCGCAACCGAAGCGGTGACTCTGTAGGCTTGGGGTCACTTCATTCCAGTGTGATATGATATGCAGATCTGCTAATTGCAATATCCCACTAAGATATATTATGCATTGAGTCGCTGCGCGATTCTGCTCTCGTAAGCCCTGATGTTTTCAACTTGACTCAGCGAACGGCGGACGTGTCGCTGGCTCAACGCCCGTTCCGACCTCGCCCGCGGAGACGGAGCTTAACTCCGACTTCTTAAATCTCCAACGACGATTCGCAATGCATCTACCTCCATTTCTCCAACCGCCTGAACAAGCAAGAATAATTATATGGATGGCACCATACTAGGGTCGAACTTAACTCAAGCTTACATATTTGTTAGTTCTTCATTACTCTATATCTAATTATTGCAACCCGGTGCTTACCTTGAACAGTACCTGCCTGTTACTGGGTTGTTGTCGTGGTTTCCAGACTGAGTATTGACTTCAATCATATACCGTGGATATCCTGAAAGTTTATCATTTTGTGTGGCGAAAAGAGGCTTGATGGCTTCTATCAAAAGCCTCACCGACCACTATGACCGCTTATATCGAAGCGTTCTCCTCTATTCATGAAGAGCCTGCAAGTAACTCAGTCTCTCGTGCTTCTGTTCGTGTGACTTCTAGCCGCTCTTCAAGCCGTACTAGATGATCTTCCTACATCAACACACTATATTGATTAGGGCCAATTTTTGAGATGGTTACCTGTGCGGGACGTAGCACAACTGCCAATCCGCTCGTAAGAAAACTGTAATGGCTATCTGGCTGTGAAGGAACGCAAAGACGCATTCAACACTACAACGCTATCTCTTCTAGTGTTGTTGCTACCTAAAAAAAAGCTCATCTGTATCTGACTGCGTTGAATAGCCTGGCAATCACTAATCATCTTTGATCCTACATCCATATACTTTGTGGACCCCCGCCTCCAAATTCCCCCTAAAACTCCCCACTATCCCTTTGGTTAATGTAGTAATACCAACCGTTATAATACGTGCACCGGCGTCTATCATAGTAATGGTATGCGTTATACGGCCAAGTGAAGATATAGTAGACTACCACTCTCAGCCTCTCACTCATCATCCTTTTGAGCAATGAGTATTCATATGCATCTGCCTAGATCTTGTTTTTGTCAATCGCTTTCTTGACAAGACGATTGATTGAGACGTTGGCTATGGTTATGGTTTTCTCAGTAGAAGCGGAAATGATGGGAAGGATATTGTATGTGGGGGATAGGAGAAGGTCTGTGGATACACGTTGAATTGAGTGATTTACTTTGGTGAGATAACACGGGAGATATTATTTTACTGTTGGACATGTATCGAGCAGTGGTATACTAGGTCTTCGTATGTATTCTTGAGACTGCACGGTATCCGATCCGAGAGAGCAGAAATAAGTCCAGTCAGTGGATATCCAAGCATTCCCACGATTGCACAATTCGGAAAAACTCACCCTTAGAGCTCAAAATCACGCGAACCTCATGATTTCAATATGGACTGACGGGCTTTACGCTCAAATAAATCCTAACAGGAGAGTATGGCCTCACCCGTCAAATCAACCGATGTACGCTATTTAGGCCATCGTACATAATTTCTTCATAGCTCAACACATATCAATGATATAGATCGGCTAATTCCTGTATTCTTACTCTGACATACCACACCTAGCGGAACATACCCTAATGCATACCACCAAAGCTCGTATTTACTCTTCTAAGCATCCTATACCAAGCTCGCTCTACACTACACAAGCCCCACCCCGCGAACCGTAAAGAATACCCACGCACCAGTCCATGTTTCGGGCTACATCGCAATAGATGTGAAGACAAACCAAGCGAGGTCGCTTCTTATATCTCAACGCTCTCTCTTTTCGTAGGGAGGCGGCAGGTACAGGTCACGAGGCGTACAAAGTGGCTTGAAGTCTGCTCTTGCTGATATGAATGTGTTTGGTGGGCCATGCGAGATATGAAATTGACCGACTATCACGCCGGTCAGATAGCGCCATGCAGTTGTATCCGTCGTAGCAGCGTGTTACGGCTCGAGAGTAGATGCATAGGCAAGACCGACGTAGCAGCACCTTATCTGATACCACAGAGACAACAATGTAAATTTGTTTATACCTAGGCTATCCACGATCGCGTCGTCAAAGTGCCATCAACCGTTGTCGGCTGACTTCAAGCGGACAGGCTGCGTTTCTCGTACGCTCCCGTCCCTTCATACTTCTCCGCTCATCGTAAATCCTGACGTTGCAACCAGAACTTGACATTACTTCTCCTCCTAACCATGCCGCAACCTTCATCCACTTCACCTTTCACATAATAGTGCAGGGAATGACGCAGCACTGGCAGTCGTCGCCACAGTAGCATGGCAGTTTTACCGGTGTCTTGATCTTGGTAATGGACGCGGTCGAGGTGGAGGCTGGTTTGATGGACTCAGGCATGATTACTGCAAGGAAGCGGAGTCTGACGAAGGGCTTGTGCGGAGGTACTAAAAGGCCGAGGCTCTGGGGGACTTGGAATGGTATTCAGTATTGCGTGGTTTAGGTCGCATTCGGGAAAGCCATACCTGTAGATTTGTCGCTTGACGAGCGCGGGTAGATATGTTGAACGGAAGGATTCTTGTATGGGCGTAGAGCAGGGGATGTGAAATGTTGGCGGAGAATGACTGTAAGAGTTCGTCAACGATGTGAGGTTGATAGTAGATGAGTGTGGCTCAGTAACCTTGTTGCGTTAAAGCTGTCATTCTTGGCACCCGTACATGCGTGTATTCATCCCTGTGTCACAACTAGAGTTTTTTATATATAGTACTTAGTATATAAAAATACTTCTATAAGCTTGAGAATTCTTCAGAAGATGTAAACTTAAGAAGAAAGAGAAGAATATCTTGAAGAAAAATTAGTTTCCAGAGAGGTAGTGTATATCAGAAGTATACTGTTATCTTTTCTTCTCTCGCTCTTAGACAACTTTTTTCAATATTGATCTCTGTTGTAATAAGCTAAACTAGAGTGTTCAAAGATCAACATATATATAGTTATGCTATCTTATTCTAAGTCGATATATATATTATCATATCTAGTCTTATATGAGTAAGGTTAAGAAGTTTAGTAGACCTCCAAGAGAGAGAACACACGCGTGTACGCATGCTTGGAGTGACAGCTTTTAAGCAAGAAAGAGGTAATTACGCTCAGACACGTGTGGAGCTGACCTGGTGGATTAGCCAGGCAATAAACCCTTTAGAAGCGACATTGAAAAAGTCGACAAGCTTATGCAGTGTTTGTAAATGATTATACTATTGATGCCTACAGCGCGATAAAGCGTTACAGCATAATGAGATGCCTGGGCCGTCGTTTACGATTGCTTGTTCAGGATTGTCCATGTCAAACAAGCCTATGAGCTCCCACCGTCATAGCCATTCAATCGTCAGAGTCGTAATCCTCAGCTGCAAGCAACGGACGGTACCGCCTATTCCTGAGATCTTGCTCCAACCCACCGTCGGACTCTGGGTCGGAGAATCCTAGATGATGTTAGCTTTTCCTTAGCTTGTTTATGTGAGATACGACCTACCTTTGCCACCAAAAATGCTCAGCATGACTGGCAAGAATATCAGCGCGTGTGATGCTGCCCAAAGTACAAGTGCCAGCCAAACCCGGAAGTAATAGATCTCAAAGATCTTGCTTCTAGTAAATGCTAGAACGCAGACACCAAGCAGCTTCGTTATTGTTATGCCGCTAAACACACTGCCGCCGACGTTGACCAGAGCTGTCCAGGCTCTCACTTCTTTTGCTTTGAAGCGATTCCGTGGTGCACGTTCCATTACCGCGCTGCTTGGGAAGGTGAAGGCGCGGGCGATATGAGCGCAGAATTCGACGCTAATACCCACGCATATGATGAGATTCACGAGAGAAACCGCATTAAGAGACACACCAGCGAGCGACATCGTACCAATGATGTCAACGACAGTCATACCGACAGTAATAGTAACGACAATCGCAGTTCGCAGAGAGCCAAGAAGGATTGCCGATACGAGCAGAATGATCGCCAGCGCCGACCCGATGAGGGCTGTGGACAGGTGTACTATCGAAGCGTATTGGTCGAAGAAAATGTAATGTTTCGAGTAAGGAAATATCTCACTCGATGTGCTTCGACCAATGTCGTCAGCAATACGCCGAGCGGCTGCGTATGAGTTAATGAAGTCTTCTTGAGTGCGAAGAGGTGTATGAGAAGTGCGGAAATGGCTTGCGGAAATGCTGTGGGTTGCGTTGTCCACAACGACAGCGTCACTATAGGCTGCTTTGCCTCCCAAAGGACAGTTTACATCACTCGTAGCATGTAGCCATTTCGTGAGGTAGTGAACGAATTCTTCTCCTTCTGGCATGCCTACCAAACTTGGGCTCCACGGGGGATTGCGATCTGCGAAGCAGGTCTCGGTATCGCCGTCATGCTCATGACAACAGTCCAGAGCTGGGTTTAGCCATGCGAAGAAATCGTCTATCCAGCTGGCCGTGGCTGTTGCAATATATGAAATTTCAGGACGTTTGCGTTCGCCCTCGAGTATGTTTGCCAGGGAAAATTCATCGCACGCACCAAAGCGTCCACAAACTTCTATTTGGTGACCATGTTCTGCGACATCTAGGTTGCGGGCGATAAAATAGACCGGGGGCCCGACACCCAGATATTCCGCAACATCATCGAAATAGTCGATGAGATAAGACCCGCTCGGAAGAGCATCGCGCTGCTCTAGTCCAAGTTGAACATGGGGCAAAAGTGCCAGACCAGCAGTGAATAAGCCAAGAAAGATGGCGACAATTGCAACTTTAACCTTCTTCCCAAGGAGTGTTGGCGCGTATGATCGGCGGATGAACTTTTGAAGACTCCCTTCTTCGTCTATCCCAAAGACCATTGTGCCATCAGATGACATGTTCGATCGCCGAACCTTCAAACAGGGGAAACAGTCGATCCTGCTATCCTCCACTCTCTTCTGATTGAGAGACAGGACGGCGATGAACATCGTAACTTGAAGAAGAGCATTAATGAACACAGCACCTGCTGCGTAAGCCGCAAAGTTACGTACTGCAGGCATACCAACCGCAGTCCCAAGGGCAAAAGCAGCTGTCTCTGCGGTGGCTGAAAACAGAATGCTCGGACCCATACGGCCAAGAGCCCGGGCAACTCGTTCTGGGATCGGTGCTTCTGGGCTGCTTATGTTGACTCGTTCAAATTCATGGACGATGAGGAAGATGTTATCAACTCCTACAGCCAGCACGAGGAACGGGATGACTTCCGCAATAATCAGTGTGACTTTGATACCAGCTGCAGAGAAGAGTCCAACCGATGCAGATACGGACATCAGTACGATAATGATCCCAAAGATTCCAAGCATAAATTTCGACTGAACTAGGGCTGATGATGGGTTGCGCAGGATTGTCTTGGCAGTCAATGTCGTGGACCCCAAAGATAGTGAGGCATAAAGAAACATGATCACGTAGCTGATCACTACGATTCTGGCATCCGTGTTCGATGATTTATTGAGCTCCTGCTCCAAGCTTATCTCCGTGTTGAAGGACAGCCGAAGCCCACGCTCCTTTGCCTCGCGTTGAGCGTTGATCAACGCATTCTGTAGACCTGCTTCCCAGTCTGCAGCTGTCTCAGCTTCGTCGCTCCCTTCCTCGTTATTATTCACAACCCATGTCACCACGAGTGCGGTGGAATCGAGGACGCTATCCCCATAGTCACCAAATATAAGGTGTGGTTCCAGCGGCTGATTAGAACGAGGGCGACAGCTGTCTTCGAAAGCGTTCTTGGCACAATCCTCTATATGTTGGTACCAAGTGTCTGGATCTACCAGTGAAAAATCTCCTTGGAAGTAACCTGTGACAGATTGGACGGCACACCCCGCGCCTGTGGGATTGAAGCAGACGTCTTTCAATGTGACCCCCTCCTTTTCAGACTTGAAGCGCTGTATACGGTTTTCCACATCAAACCACCACGCCAAGGTTTCGTAGTCCAAGACCGGGCCGCGAGAACCTTGTGTATCGTTAACGAGAAAAGCCTGTTCAGCACGGAAGAATGGCCCAAAGTTTTTGTCGAAGTATTGTTTCTCTACAGCAGCAGCAGAGTTAGGCGCAACCCATAGTTTCACGGGATCTTTTTCAACAGCGAAACGGACCCATCCCAAACTCAACAATCCCACGAATACGACAGTGGAGCCTATAGTGATGCCAGGGAACTGGGCACAAACGAGGCCTAGTCTGTAGAATATCCTATCGAATATGGTATTCAGAAAGTATTGCTCGGTTGGCCTCTCAAGCACTGGTGTATGGTGAAAGATGTCTCCTTCATCGTCTTCGCTGGGCTCAATATCCCGAATTAAGCGAAGGCGTTCATTCTTTTGCTTCGAATGACTCTGATATGCAACGTGTCCGGAGACAGCGATGACCAGAAGCGCGACGAAGATAGAGTAAACCAATACTACAGCAAATGAGAAACAATGCAGTAACCCCACTGTACAAGCGTCTTGTTCGGTCACCTCAGGAAGCTCAGTGCAGGATTTAGGGCAATCCACACAGGCGCACCGATAAGCTGGATCGTGGTCATTACACGCCCTAACGATGGGATCATTAAATTTCATGCCAGAAAACTTCTTCTCATCTGAACGAGGGAAGTCGATCTGGAATGGGCTGTGGAAAGGAGGTTGCTTCTTGCCCAAAAACTTGAAAAATTCTGTGAAGTTGTGCGCGCCACCACCGATGAGAGCCATGGCATTATTGTTTGTCGGACCAAATTTCACATCTTTACAGCTGTCGTAGAAGCCAGTTCCAAATTTGTCAGTGATCAAAACGTCAACTGCCATGGACCGAAAAGTGTTTTTATAGGGTGCAATTTCCGTAACATTGACGAACGTAGACTGATCAGGCGAGCAGGTGAAGGTGCAGAAGAGATTGTAGAAGTTCTTTTTGCAGGCAGGGCATCCTGCGACGAATGCGTTGACTCTTCCGAAATTGGCCGCCATGTCATCGATCTGCAGAGGTTAGATATCATAGACTGCGTGATAAGACTTAACGAACCTGGCCAGACGAACAACAAACGTCTGTGTCTGCCCATTCTTCGCCACAGAGAGCGACAAGTTTGTCCCGGGCATCATCGTCAGGTCGTTCAGCGAAGCCATTGTCTACACAAGGTATTTCGGCGCCGAGCCAGCTTTCCTTTCCACAGTGTCCACGAATGGCACAACGGCCCTCCTCATGCTTCTTCGTCCAGCCAGGCTCTACGGCGTCAATCGTATAGAGAGAGCTGAGTAGCAGGGCTGTTAGGCGCCACCACGACTGTGCATTCCATCTCATGGCTGTTCTTTGGACTCAAGCTTCTAGCCGGCGGAGGTCTGCATTGGCGAGAGATGACGAGGCGACGTTGATGTAATTAGGCTGAGTTTGTGGTGATGAGAAATAACCGCCTGGTTGCTGGAGGGGTTGGCTGGACAAGAGTCTGTAGTGATAATGTAGGTATAGGTCAGCACTGTGATGCCTGCTTCTGGGTATAAGTGACGCGACCTACGCGGTAGCTCCTAGCAGGTAAACGTCATGCGGACGCCACATTTTAGGTTAGGCTATAACCTGGCCACTAACAGGCAGGGTATACGGAGCGGTGGGGGTTCTTCCATACAGTAATTACCTAGGTTTCGAATAGGATTCTAGTCTAGCTCATAAGGCGGCTAGTGAGTACTTCTCCTTAATGTCGCTGTTTCTGTCTGTCTACTGCGAGGCAAACACTTTAGATCATCCTCGGCCACGAAAGTAAGTACTTGAGCTATGTAGGAATGGGTCTTCAACTCTATCTCCTGACCCGTTTTCGATCTTCGCTAAATTACATGATAAAACCTGAGAGCATTATACAGAGATGACGGTAAGCCCTTAGTCTCCGTAACGCTGCACCAGCATGATTAATACAGAAGAACCTTGGCCGCTTAACGCGTATGTAGATGCCCGAATCATTCTTCTGGCTCCTGCAGAAGCTGTCAAAGTCATAAGTTGTATCGACCTAATTTGTCGGCCAGATCATACATGGACGCAGAAAAAGAGTCCTTGCAATCCGGCGATAATTTTGTCGCAATTTAGTGGCACCGTTGTGAGCTGTGATGGAAATCGAGGTTTGAGAAGGACCAGTGGAATGAAGAAACGCGTCGGAAAGAGGGTCGGACAGTGGTATCTTGGGATGAATGGTACGACGTGCCTTAAGCATCACCGGCGGCAGCAGGTGCCGGAGGTGCAGGATGATCTCCTTGACCCCCATATCCTCCTCGTCCACGGCCTCGTCCACCACGACCTTCACCGCGACCACGGCCACGGAAACTTCCACGACCACGGCCGGATTCGCTATCTGATGCACGTTCGCCACCACTACGGTAACCACCTCCTTGGGTGCCACCGCGGGTACTCCCTTGCCAGTTGCCCGCACCTCCGAAGCGTGGATTGTTGTTGTTGAACTCGGAGCGATCCTTGAAAATAGCGACAATTGCCTTACCTTGTTTGAAATTGTTATGATTCTTGTATTCCTGCGATACTCGATTGAATGCAGCATTCATTTCATCATGAGTGTTGAAGTGTGCTGCGAAGTTCACACCTACCTTCTCGATCTTTTCAAGCTTATCTTTATCTTCATCTGCAAGGAGATTGCGGACTTCGTCTTGATTCTCGACGTTTCGGATGAACAAAGCTTTAGATATCTTCTTTGGTGTAGTATCGACCTTTGGTGCAGGAGATGCGCTTCCCTTGTCCGCACCTGCAGTACCATTGGGCTTGACTTCGCTTGGAATAGCCTTCTCAGCTCCAGCATTCGATGGTGTCGTGGTAGTGTGTGCTGGCTGTGGTGTTGCAGGCTTTGCTGTCTCTTTCGGTGCAGGAGAAGCTGTGGTCTGAGGCGGTTTTGCTTGTTGCTGTTGGGCGGCTGCGCGAGGAGCCTGTTGAGGCGTTGCAACAGGAGCTACTGCGACTCTCGCCTGGGGTTGCGCAGGTTGCTGGTTTGGTGTGGGGAGATTTCCGCCAGTTGGAACTCCAGTGTTTGTAGCAGGTGCAGCAGGTGCATTTTGGCCTGAAACGTTCGAGGGATGCTTCCCACCACGGTGCGAAAAATTGAAGCCTTGGGCACGCATCTCGGTTCCAATACGGCCATTATCGATGTCTAGTACGAGCCAACCGTATGCAGCATCCGCAAGGTTGAAGTTCCACATGTTTTTGAATGCACTTTCGTCCACTTGTCCGGCTGCGGGCCCTGGTGCTGGGCCACCGAATGGGTTGCCGCCATTTGCAATACTAGGCATCTTATGGATGATGTCGATGGCGTAGTTTAGAAGCCTCTGCTGAGCTTCGCTTTCGGCAACGGCTGGTTCCACCTCGGCCTTTACCGTGTCCCAAACATCGCTGAACGAAGCCTTCGAGGCTGCGAGTTTCCCCCTATAATGATCGAGGGTGGGATTGACGCTGAATTCGTTGTATGAGCTACCATAGCGGAAATGAAGACCAGCAGACACAGAAAAGTCAGCTTTCAGGGTGACCGAGAGTTGGTTGAGTAGACCTTCCCTTGCCGGAGAAGCATGAGTGACAAAGACACGGGTCTCTGTGGGATCATAGACGCGGTTGGCCGTGTCAACTAGCTCACCCATCTGCAGAAGTGTGGTCCACATGGTGCCCTGTCCTCCAGCGATGGTTGTTCTACCTTCTCCATTGTCGAAGAGCTTGTGCATCACGACAGCTCCTCCAAGACCTAGGAGACGAAGTTTTACGCCGCCAATGTCTAGGAGCCTTGAGTGTGCCTCATCAATGATGTGCAGATTATCGATTTTGTATTCGCCACTCCTGAGCTTTTCTAGTACCTGAACATCCTCACACGCACCCCATACAGTGTATACTGGTACGTTGAGTTTGTAGGTCTTGTTCAGAAATTGGGGTAGCTCCGACAGAGGTAGCTGATCTCTTCCGAAGCGCTCTTTTATCGAGGGCGTCGATGGAGCTTGCGCGATAGCACGTTTGGTGGTCTCGGCCAATAATGGAGAGTATTGGGCGACATGTTTCAATGTCCTGGAGAAATCAGACAAGTTCATCTACATTTGAGAGAATATATGCGAGCAGGCACATATTTACTTACTTTTCGGCAATACGTTCTAACGAACGGTCATCATAGAATCCAAAGTCGCCGGTGTGAATAATATAGTCGGCGCGTGCCTCGTTCGCTAGGTCATTCAATGATCGCAAGTTACCTTGTATCGATGTTAGCAGAATGCAATTCATAACAAGTCGTGTTGAGCCACCTCGAACATCTGCGATGCAGAGTACCCTTTTGCTGCCTTGCTGTATCACACGGCCTTGGTTTGGCAGTAGAGGAGTTGCGCCGGGCACCGCAGAGCTTTGAAGGCCGCCATTTGGTAGCCCGTAAGCTGCTTGATTGTACGGGCGTGGCTGAGTGGGTGCCTGTGAGTATAAATGAGCCACAATAGCTTCGATGATTGCGACGAGGAAATCTGCTTACAGAAGCCATTTAGACTAAAGGTGGCGCACGGAGAAGAGAAACTGTAGAACCCTGTAAAGTTGAGGTGTTTCACGGGTAGTCTGGCTGAAGGTCGTGATGTGAGGTCGTTTGGTACACGGAAGACGAATTATGGGGGGCGACCGTAAGTGAGACGTCGGATGAAGTTCAGACGTGAGTTGAAGTTGAGGTGATGCTTAGCAATGGAAGCCCATTCACTCCTGCCTGCCCTTTTTCTCAAGCGAAGGCCTTAGCTTGATCGAGTTTGCGTCGTCCTATTGGTCGAAACTTAGCCTCACGTCTGGAAGCACTATAAACACAACATGAGTGACAAAGTGCGCGCGAATGTACAGTTCGCAAGTGAGAACAGTATGAGTCGAAATCTCTGGTCATCATGTCTCCACGGCAATTATGGTCAGTGTTAGAGTCAATGGAAAGTAATGAGAATGCCTGAGGCGCACAACGCAGCTCGACACGTGAATCTGTCCTAGAGGCTAATCAAGGTAGCTTTAACGCGAGGGTCCACTTGTATTTTGTTAGCGACTTCATTTTCCCCGCCATAAAAAAAGTTCCCGGAGTGTTGGCCAATATTTTGGCCTCCAACTCACTCCCTCCTCCCTGATTACACACTTCATTTATACTTCTCGAGACCTACCTTATCTGCATTACGGATTCTCGAGTATCCTGGCTGTGTGCCTATAATTACGTGATGGACGACCAACAATTTATCCAGCTGCTCGAGAGCTTGTTACAACGTGAGTTATTAAGCGCCGTTTGTGTGAATGTTACTGACTGAATTTTCAGCCGATACTGAGACAGTAAAGTCGGCTACTTCCAGTCTGAACAGAAATTATTATACCTCGCCACAATCCCTCGTCGCGCTCATCCAAATCCTCACTACTCACCCCAAGATCGAGCTTCGTCAGCTTGCTGCTATTGAGTCCCGTAAACTCGTCTCTAAACACTGGAATGCGGTTCCCGCTGAGCAAAGGTCTCAAATAAGAGATCATGTGCTACAGTCTACACTCAAAGAGGAGAATACACTGGTGCGACACTCCGCTGCAAGAGTCATCTCGGCCATAGCAAAAATTGACCTCGAAGATGGTCAATGGGCGGATCTACCAAGTCTTCTCCAACAAGCGGCGACTAGCTCAACAGCACAGCACAGAGAGGTTGGCGTATATGTGCTGTTCACACTTCTCGAGACTATGAATGATATATTCTCGGACAATTTGGGTGATCTTTTCAGTGTCTTCAATAAGACCATAAAAGATCCCGAGAGCGCTGATGTTAGAGTCAACACAATGCTCGCTCTTGCACAAGTCGGCTTAATTATTGATACAGAAGAAGATGAAGCATCCATTGCCAATTTTCAGGCCTTAGTTCCTGACATGGTAAATGTATTGAAAGGTGCCATCGACGAAAGTGATGAACGACATGCTGCACAAGCTTTCGAAGTTTTCCAAACTCTACTAGCTTGCGACCCATCATTGCTATCGAAGCATTTCAAAGACTTGCTCGAATTCATGTTGGAGCTCGCCTCTCAGACCTCCGTCGAGGAGGACATGCGTACACAGGGACTGTCTTTCTTGATGCAGTGCGTGCGATATCGCAAGCTGAAGGTCCAGGGTCTTAAGGTTGGCGAGCAGATGACCATCAAATCACTCCAAATCGTGACCGAGCTTGGCGATCTTGTGGATGAAGACGAAGTCACGCCTGCAAGATCAGCTCTAGGATTGCTTGACATTCTTGCCTCATCACTCCCCCCTAATCAGGTCATCGTACCCCTCCTCAAAACAATGGGTGCATATGTCAACTCACAGGACCCGACATACCGTAGAGCTGGAATATTGGCTCTTGGTATGACCGTTGAAGGAGCCCCAGATTTCATAGCCACACAATTGCATGAAATATTGCCGCTTGTCCTCCGCCTCCTTGAGGATCCCGACAACCGTGTCCGAGCAGCGGCCCTGCAAGGTGTTGCACGTTTGGCAGACGATCTTGCAGAGGACCTAGGCAAAGAACACGCACGACTTATACCAGCTTTGGTTACAAACTTTGATATGGCATCTCAGGACTCCACCGGTGCTACTGAAGCTAACTTGGAGATTGTCCGGGGAAGCTGCAACGCTATCGATTCCTTGATTGAGGGCCTTGAAAAAGATGCCGCCGCAGTCTATGTCTCTGAGCTTGTCCCGCGTTTCTCACCAATATTCCAACATAATGACTACAAAGCCAAGATCGCCGCCATCGGCGCTGTAGGTTCTATTGCTGCTGCCTCAATGGAGGCTTTCATGCCCTACTTCTCCGATATAATGCAGGCTCTCGGTCAATATGTCCCGATCAAAGAGAGTCAAGAGGACTTGGATCTGCGCGGAGTTGTCTGTGACACTATGGGTAAAATTGCGTCGGCAGTCGGCGCGGAGGCATTTAAGCCTTACGTCCAACCATTGATGCAGGCTTCTGAAGAGGCTCTCCATCTTGACCACCCAAGATTACGAGAAACTAGCTACATACTCTGGAGTACGTTGGCAAAGGTCTACGAGGAAGACTTTGCACCCTTCCTCGACGGTGCTGTTAAGGGCCTCCACGATTGTATGAAACAAGATGAGACCGACAGTGCGGTGTCTTTAGGAGAGCAAGCAAAGGATCTACTGGGGCAAGAAGTCATCGTCGCAGGCCAGAAGGTCAAGGTCGCGGAGGCTTCTGATGATGACGATCTCGAAGATATGGATGACGATGATGACTGGGATGACCTTAGTGCTGTCACAGCCGTCGCTATGGAGAAAGAGATTGCCGCCGAGGTCATCGGTGACATCGTCACCCATGTTCGTAGGATCTTCTTGCCATACGTTCAGGACACTGTTCAGATTGTTCTTGAGCTGATGGACCACTCGTACGAAGGATGCCGCAAGGCTGCAATTGGCACTCTTTGGCGAACATACGCATGTATATGGGGTATGGCGGAGGGAGATGGCATGGAACACTGGCAACCTGGTCTACCTTTGAAGGTGCAGCCGACAGAAGATCTCGTGAAGCTTGGCGATATACTCATGACGAAAACCATCACAGCTTGGGAGGAAGAGTTGGACAGGTAAGCGCATCCTTTCCTCTTTTCACCATGCTCGACTGTGATGAAGAACGATATCGTTATACCCAGCTCACTCTTACGCGCATGTCGCGGTTGACGAGAACGCGATTCTACTCCTGAGTCACACCGCCCCAAGTGCAATACTGCTATTCCGGTTATTCTAGCATACTAATGGTACATAGGGGCACTGCTACTGATATCCACCGAGATCTTGCTGCTAGCTTCAAATTATGTGGTCCTGCAGTATTGGTCACTTCGAATGGCATCGTAGTGCCCAAAGTTTGCGAACAGCTCTTGGCAGTTATTACAAGGCGTCACCCATGCCAACAAGATATTGGTGATGATGGTGATGATGGTGAAGAGCTCGAAGAGTCATCCGAGTACGACTGGCTTGTCATCGACACGGCTCTCGACTGCCTCGCGTGCCTGGCGTCCGCTATTGGGCCTAACTTTGGCGAGCTGTGGAAAATGTTCGAAAAACCAATCCTTAGATTCTGCTCTTCCCAGGAAGCTACGGAGCGTACTACTGCTGTAGGCGCCATCGCCGAGACTGTCGTTGGGATGGGCGAAGGCGTGACTCCCTACACTTCCTCGCTTATGAAAGTACTGCTTCACCGTCTCGGCGACGAGGATCCTGAGTGTAAAAGTAACGCCGCGTTTGCAATTGGTGTACTCGCTGAGAATAGCCAAGACGACGCTGAGGTCTTGAAAAACCTCCAGCCAATCTTTGTCAAGCTCGAGCCCATGCTCGACCAAGAGGGCGTTGCGCGGATGCGTGACAACGCTGCTGGCTGTATCAGCCGCATCATCAGCCGCTTCCCGGATCGTATCCCTCTAGAAGAGGTCTTACCACGCCTCATTGCTGTACTGCCGTTGAAAGAAGACTACAAGGAAAACACTCCCGTGTATGAGATGATTATCAAACTCTGTAAGCTCGACGAATATCCTCTCTTATCGGTATAGGCATTAACCTATTCTCAGACCAGGCTAAAAACGCCATAATCCAGCAACTCACACCCTCGCTCCTGCATATTTTCCCCAAAGTGCTCGACCCACCAGAAGAGCAACTTGAGGAGGACACGCGCGCCAAATTGATGGACTTGGTCACCTACTTGCACAAATAGAATTTGTCAGACGGCAACATATATATATGAGAACAAGATATAGCGTGTTGGGCCTTCATAACCCATTATGTACGGTAGGAGTGACGAAAGGGGGGAAAATGAGGAGGAATGCCGACCTGGCAGCTGAGATACCCCAAGTACGAGAATCAAATTTCATTTCTGTTGATTCCCGCCCAGATTCCACATAGCGTGTACCACGATGACTAAAGTTGTCTGGATAAGCAGGCGGGTCGAGAATTTTTCCTTTCCAAGTACAAAGTCTGAACAGATGCATTCGGTCTTGTCTGAGGAAAAAAACTTCGTGACATGCACAGGTCCGTAATGAGTATAAATAAGTCTTTGTTGCCGTGCATCAGATATGGATTATGCTTGAAATCTATAGAGACACTGTGATATCGGATCTTTCTTCCGTAGAATGCAGCCAATATGCAAGCGTGATGTACCTTGGTGGTCGCTCGTTATGACACGATTATGAACACGTAAATCGAACCCGATAGCTAACCATATCAAAGCGATCCAGCCGTCTTGATACGCATGTTAATGTCTCATAAGGTCCTCAACGATCTCACAGCAGGCAATACTTCACTGCTGACTGTCTACAGTGTATTCTTTATTTTGGAAGATCTATGGCTAAGCAAAAAAGCTCTTCGTGTTTGGTTATACTTCTGAAGTGACGTCTACAAGGAGATTGGTCAGAAAGCAAAATAACAAGCCCGATGCGGGGGACGATCCCGCAACCTTGAGATTAAGAGTCTCACGCTCTACCGATTGAGCTAACCAGGCGAGGTCAGAAAGGAAATGAATATTCCTTGCATTGAGTGGAAAACGTTTTGCGATTTGGAAATATGAATGTCAGCTTGAAACGACACTAATAGAGACCTAAGCGAGGGTCTAGCCTCTTGAAGTAGAAACGAGATAGCTTCGCCATGGTCTAGGTAGCGTTGCGTTAGCCAGATTTGGCTAGCTGCAGAGACCAATGCAGGACGCTTTGACCAACGTGGACGCGTTGTTTTGTTTACACAAATATTGTCTCGAGGTGCCCTTCCTCTTCAGAAAATCAACATTCTTCTCCCACATGCACCGCCTCAACCTATCCTGAAGACTACCTAGGCTCGGTCGCCATCTTCGACATTCTACTTTCCCAATTCCGTACCTACCTTTACAGATATCTATCCTGCATGTCCCCCGACGCAACGACTTAGACATCTTATCCATCCAATCGCGCCGCCAAATACAGTGTACGCGGCGACCGGCCTTCGCTATGGCACCTTCTCCAAAACATGCAGATGCTCAAGGTCGTGTCATCCGTGAGCTAGCGCGTACCTTTCCACGGAGCAGTCCTCCTCGGCCTCTATCTTCACCAGAGCGCGACTCCAACGAATCCACCTTCCACCTCCCCACTGCCACAGCTTCCTCGTTCAACCCCGAGCAAGAGGCTCTCAATTCGACACAGCAAATGGAACCAACTGGGACCTTCAATAATCTGCGAAGTACTGCTCGGCGATACGGTCATAGCTATTACGAGCCGCCTCAAGCCCCACAGACCGTACCTACCTCGGCCGTGCGGAAAGAATTTGGTGACTTTGATTCATATGAGAATGAAGATTCTGAAGACGATAGTATTGAGGTTGGACGAGGAGGACGCAGGAGTCTACAGAGCACTCCAAACAAAACTGGGGACTTATTCATGAGCAATATGAATTTCAATAGTTTATACGATATCACACCTCCCTCGAAGTCACGGGCACCTACGCGTAGAGGAAACGCAGCTGAGACAGGAAGTCTACGACGGGATGCACAAATCCGCCATGCATCCACCAAACCGCCAGCAGAGACAGATGATGAACCGCCAAGCGTGACAGAACAAAAAAGGTCTGCCTTTTCCGATGTACACGCCAAAGTCGCCGAAGAAGACTCGTTCCAAGACCAAAGGCCTTCAATTACTACGTCATCATATAAAGGGACTCGCTTTGGTAATCTAAGAGTAAAACACACGTCTGCAAACCATGACCTACAAACAACGCCCGAGCGCAAGAGCGCCACGCCACAACGACAATCTCGCGGTACTCCACGGTCTTCGCTTCCAACAAACAAGGATACGCAACAATCCTTCATGTTGCCTGATCTTCCCAACTTGACTGAATTAGTCTCAGGTGTTTTTAAAGATGGCACTCCAGTATTTTCAAAGATGTCAAGAACTCGTTCACGGTTCTCCTCAGCCCCAGATCCTGATCGGCCTTCCCGCGGCCAACCCAATTATCTACCAATCAACAATGTCCCGGTTCCAGAAGATGAGAAGACACTATTCGCAGCGTTGCAACTTCTCAAAGAGAAAGTCTCACAACTTGAAAGAGAGAATGCCGAACATATCAGGACTATCGAGGAGCAAGAGAATGAGATCACAGATCTCAAAGCGGAGCAAAAGGTTCAACAAGCCATGCGCTCCAGCGATAGTGCGTTAGGATCGGATGAAGAAGCGGACAGAGCTGGATGGAAAACACAGAAGTCAAGTAAGGTCTAAGCTGCGACACGAGATGACTACATACTAATATAGCTTTAGGACTTGAAGCTGCTGCTGAGACTCTTCGAATGCGCCTTGATCGTACTGATCGAAAACTGTTAGTCGCTAAGACGTATAACAATCGCATTACTGCGGAGCGCGATCAACTCCAAGAGCAATTAGCAAAGGCTTACGTGACCTCTGAAGAGGTCAAACAAGAGAATCAAGCTCTTCAGGTGGATAATGTATACTTGCGATCAGAAGTCGAACTGCTCAGGTCGGACAAGGACGGATTGAGAGCTGACAACGAGGATTTGAAAACCAAGATGGCAAGTAATGAAGCTAGGTACCAGGAAGAAACATTGCAGCTGCGAAGTAACATGGGACGACACGAAACCGCCGTGCAGGAAGAAAACAATACTCTCCACACAGAACTTCAACGAGTTCGATCACATCACGATGAACAGGCCCAGCGATGGATGCGTAGAGAAGCAGAGTTACGCATCAGGAATACAAAACAGGAACAAGCAGAGCTCAGCAAACTAAGGTCTGACAACAATGTTCTCAAGGATCAGCTCGAGAATGCCAAACTCCAACGCGAGCAAGACGAGCAGCGATGGAACCGTGAGGAAGCTAGACTTCGACAGCGGCTAGGTCTGAAACATGAGACGATCTGCCCATTCTCGGACATTGCCCCCGAAGAAGGTAACGAGACCTTACGTTTCGACAATGAAAATCTGCGCGGTCAACTTGAAAGATTGGCCAATGCACGACACGAAGAGCAGCAGCAATGGCAACGCAAGGAGGAGCGCCTCAGGCGCAAGATTGAGAAAAATGAAGAGGTGGTGCGTGACATGGAAGAAATGACTCAAGACATTGTAGACAACCGGCGGAAAGGGACCGGGAATCGGAAGTCTACGGCATATGCAAGCGCACGGCCGAATCAAGCGATCCTGAGAAGGACTACCAGTAACCGTCAAGACATCAACAACACCCAGACGAGGCTATCAGACGCGGTCGACGCAGAGCTCCACAAGAGCAGGACTGCAGCTGTCGCTCACGACGTCACTCGACGACCCGGCAATCCAATTGCCAGTCGCTTCATGAGAAGTACCTCAGTTCCTCTCGACCACAATGTAAACCTGAATAGTGATGCAGAATCGACAACAGATCTTTCACTTGAAAGAACGCAACGAACACATACTGTGACAAAGCCAGTTCCTGCGACGACCTCTACCGAAGAGCCCGTAGACGTGGACTATACCTATCTCAGCATGATGGATGGAAATGAGGTCGCTAGACTGCGCAAGATTCTTGAGAAAGAGCGGGCGGAGGTACGCCGTAAAGGAAGAGTCGATTCTATTCAACAAGAAAGAAATGACACTCAGCAATCCGTAAGGTCTGCGAAGAAGTCGACAGGGCACTCACACCCCCGCAAATCATCGATGAAAGATAGTTCGAAGAGACTGTCGACAATCGCGGCTGACAGAGCAGGAAACGACACTCGGTCAAATGATAACGAAGTCTCCATCATGAGCAATACCGGCCGACGCAGACGAAGCTTTCCGCTAGAAATGACCTCTGCGTTCATCATTCCTGACCTCACAGTCCGCTTGACCCAACGTGAGGCCAATCACGAAGTAAAAGATTGTACTGTTTGCCAACGTTCTGCGAGCGAGACCAATGTCCTAAGACACAAGGTCGCGGCCGGTGTCGAGATCCCGAAACCTATCCCAGTAACATCCCGGAATATTGATGATTCCAACGCTACATTGCGTCCTGCACAATCGCCCCAGGATGCCTTGGCACTAGTTCTCAAAGAGCTCGAAGACGAGCTCACCCACCTGAAGCTGGAACTATCTGTTCAGGAGAGCCTGCTGCACTGTCAGGATCCATCGTTGGCGAAACGAAAGCGTAAAGCTGTCCATACAAAAGTCTTGCTACTTTTCAGAGCAATCGATATCAAGGCTGACCAAATCTACGCGTTGCACGATGTGCTCGAAGGTCAGAAGGCAGATGGACTACTCAACGATGAAAACGCCCATCAGGCCGCTCAAACGTGCCGCATGACTGAGGAAGAGGTTGATAATACCCTTCGGAGCGTCGGCCTTGATCCTAAGGAGGCTAGAAAGGGTAAAAAGGTCGTAATCGAAGAAGATGTTGACGACAGTGCTCTGGATGGCCTTGACGATGAGGACGACTTGCCATGGAGCGGCATCAGCGATACTGAGAGCAACGCAGGACCCTCACAAAAACCCCGCAGACGGAGTTCTGTTTACTAATTCTGATAGACCCACAGCAGAGCAGTAACGACCGTCCCCATTTCATGAAATAAACCTCAGTGAGCGATCCTGTCTCTTGCATTGATCCTGGCGTTGTATTTGGAAAAGTCCGGTCTGGTCTAGGATGCTTTCGTTCCGGCGCTATGGTGTAATGTCCGTTTCCTAGTCCAATGGCTCATTTCATTCCTCGTCGGTCGTCAACCTGCTCACCCTGTTGAACTGTTGCATATAATCTCTCCAACTTGAATTCTGAGGCTTTGTGCTTCTCGCAGCTAGCCTCTTGTAAACGACCAAGGATCGCGGCTGCAGGGTTGCAGCGTGTTGTCTCGGCAATAAACTTACGTCTTCCGTGGCGTCAGCGGCAAGGTACAAGCAGACGATGTCAGGTAGTTCATAGGCACGCACAGTCAGAGTACTTTAGAATGGAGAGGAGTGTCATGATACACGACCGTTTCTTTTTCAAGAGATTGCGAAGTGCTTGCTCGTGAAGACTCGCGGACTTCTCGGCTCAGCTTCCGTGCCATCTAGGCGAATATGTGTTCTCTAAATATGTATGGGCGTACCAGTCTTCGCCCGCATGCCTTTAATACCATAGCGGATGACCTCACCAAGAATCAACAGAGCAAGCAGAACATACTACGATAAACAGACAGGGAATCTTACATGCTCGAATGAATGGGAACTCGCCTCATAGATCTACTTACGACTTGATTACATCTTCCGAAAAACATTCCCACTCGCACTCCGCCTATCCTTCGTTCTCTTCTCCCGTGGGAAAGGCGCAGCCTGGTCATCCCTCCTCGGTCCCTTACTCTTCGCCACAGGCTCGAACGTAATTTCACGTTCACCGACCACGCCGCCTTTGCGTATCGTGCCTGATCCAGATGAACGCTTGTCCTTGAGATTTGCGGCGCGAGATCCGAAAGAACGTGCTTTCCCTGGCTGGTGTTTCTTCGCTCTTGAGGATGTGACGGTCATATCAGGTTGGTGAATGCGATGTCTAGGTTTCGCGTAGCTGGATGTGGAGATTCGGCCGTTGTCGACTTCATTTGTGGAAGGTCTTTGCGAACGACGTGAGGGCTCGGCTTCGTTGTCGGATGACGAATCGGAGCTCGACACTCGCGTGTCTTCGATAGCTTCTTGTTGCGCTACTGTCAGGCCCTTGGGGAGAGACGTGACCTTTGTGCTGGGATTGAGGGAGCGGAATTCATGCGAGTCTTCTTGGACTTCGAAGTCTTCGTCTTGAAAGACTCGTGCAAAACGGGGGTCGCTCAGGAGGTTGCTTGAAATCGTCTTAGACCCTGAGTCGTCGGCTGGTCGTGTATTGGCATCGACCATGTCTTCGTCACCTCCTTTCTCTAACACGCGACGTGCACGCCGCCGCTCTTCTTTTTCCTCTTTCTCGAGGATCCTCTCGGCAAGTTTGCGATTTACTTTGACTGCGACCTTTTTGCTACCGCGAATACGTGTTTCGCGTTCCTTGTTGATTTTATCTTGAATGCTTCTCTGGCGCTGCTCCTGCCATATATCGGGATTGGAAATTAGTCTTGCTTCCTCGTAGAGTTTCTGTGCTACAAAGTAGCCGTGCATGTACGGTCTGAGCAGGCTTGTAGTGCCGATTAGGTGGTCGAGACTAAGAGTCTTTAATTCTGGTACGGTGAGGAACTTCATGTTGTCGTAGACTTCGCCATTCTTCTGGTTGCCAAATGCATTGGGATCGTTAGGGTCTTCGGCCATCTCTTCCACGAGATTATCGAGAAACGCACACCATTTGGGCGCAGGGCCAAGCTGAGGGACGAAGAACGCATGTTGCTGTCTGCCCTCGTTTGCGGTTAGTATCATGCCGCTATCTGGACACCATGCTACATGGTTCAAGTCAACGGCAGGTTCCACGGATGTCCATGGTGTGCCATCCTTCTGATCCCAAATCTTAATTATACGCTTGTCTGCAGAAAGTAACTTCGGTTCGCTGATTTGACTCCGGCTCGCGGTGGTGGAATTCAGATAAATGAGATTCTTGATTGGAAACCCATACCCTTGATCCTTCTTCAAGAGAGGAACTGGCGATCGTAGATCATATAAGTAGACGAGACCGTTGGATGAGCCTGTCGCAAGCTCGAGACCCGATCGATGGAACTCTAGGGCAGTGATTTGTGACTTCTCTCCAAAACTCGAACTGTCTGGAGGCGGACCAAGTATTCCTATCCTGCTTCGTGATCTCGGATCCCAGAACTCCACTGTGCCTAATGACGTTCCGAACGCCCCCAGATTGTGACTAGTCTCTGCGATTGCGCCAGTGTTGACGCTCCCAGTATTTATACCTCCTTGTAACGCGCCACCACCAGTCGAGGTATAGTCGTCACCACCTACATCTACCTCGAAAGCTTTCATGAAGCGGCCGACTTCGAGATTTAGACGGAACACCTCACCATTACCGTCCGCATTGACTCCCACTGTTGGTACCAATGCTTCAGTCGAGCGCTTGTCATATAGTAAGTCGCGCCCATAACGAGGTAACCTGGCAGTGTAGTACTTGCCCTGAGCAGTATGAAATTCGAGGAGACGGTCGGATTGCAGATGTAGCGATTTAGAGTAGTCGGATGATAAAAGGAGAAAGGTTTCATTAAGTGCGTCGGTATGCCGTGCGAATGAGAGCGATAGATGTGGTAGGTAGTGTGTGTGGATCTGAGGCTTATATGTCCCTGGAACAACACTTAGTCTTGTCATAATGTAACCCAGGAGAAATTGTAGACACACCAGTGCTCATAATCCAGTCACCATCTTCACTTATGCGCACACAAGTGCTTGCCTCTTCGAACTCAAAGTCTTGCAGAAGCTCAATGCGATTCGCAAACTCCGGGTCCTGCTTCAAGCTGCGTTTTCGCTTCCGTATAAGCCATTCCGGGAGAGGCCGAGCGGTCGAGGATCCAGCAATAGTGTACACAGGAACTGAAGAATGGTTGGATATCTTCATTGTCTTCTATGGTGCAGTGCGCTCGTGCAAACCACCGGGCGATCCCCAGATACATTCAAAATAATTTTGGCCGCGGTCTGGTAAAAAGCTAGCTGAGATAAGATAAGATAAGATCCTTAGGCTTCCCATGGTTTAGGCGGTTTTAGCCGGGCGCCGGGAGCGGTTATTGGCGATCTCACCTCTCGTAACGCGCAGGTCGTTAGGCCTGAGGCTGCCAACATCACGTCGTTCTCGTTGTCGCCGCATAACCTATTCCCGACCGATTTTACCTTCGCCCTCGCACGCAACACTTTGTCTACTCAACACTATAGAATCGCTCATTTTCTCCTCCCGACGATTGAAAAACGATCGTGTCACAACTTCGCCCTCCTCGCGCCAAACCAACGACCTGCCAGGCACGGTCTGGGACTCACTCATGATATGTCTGACTAGTCCGGGAAGTCATCAACAGTGTTGATGAAGCTGTTCATAGCCCTTGCAGGAGTTTGTTCTCAGAGATTGTTTCATCTGGATGTTCCTTGAGGTGCGACGCGTCTTGATCTGTGATGGAACATCTCAAAGCTTGCCCAACGAATGCGCAAGCGATTGTGAGTTTCGCCTGTGCATAGTCACACCTAAACTGACGGGTGATATAGGGTGGTATCGATGTTGTGTACTATCAAACTGTCGTCGTGAGACAATTGGAGGAACCCCCAACAGGCATACCTAAGAACAGTGCTCGAGATGGGCTGCAAACCGTAGAGGCCGCCTTACGAAACACCCGTCGTCTAGTCGCAAGAGACCCGGGCCGGTCATTACTTTGGCTCTTTAAGAGTGGCGATTCTGACCATGATGCCTACTTACAGTTGGCCGAGCCAGAGAGGATTGCGAAGATGTTGGGCTTTGATTTGATTCGTACGTTTTCAAGGTTGCCTGCATTGGCAAGATCCGCGGTACTGACACAATTCAGCTTCATCACAGGGACAAATCAAAGCTACAGAGCTAATGACATTTCCAAAAAGAGGCTTTCCACAAGGGACCTTGTCTACTCCTCGCCATCTTCATACTGCAAACCCTCGAGCATCCACCGCTATTCTCTTCACTACTCACGAGCAGCGTCCAATCGATACTTTAGCCGTATACGAACTCTTCCTTTCTGCCGTGATTGGATCGTTGGCGTATGACCTGAAGGATGAGGCCAATTTGATTCCTTTAAATGCCCGCACATTTGTATTCGACAGCCAGCCCACGGCTACACACGATTCGGATTCTACTTCAGTACTCCTAGTTACACTTGATGTGCATTGGGGCTCTTCTGGGAATCTAATTGTGTATTGGTCGTTTCTCAAGAATAATTGCATAGTTCCTCTGCCTTCGTTACTTCTCAGCGAGAAGGACGCCCCAAAGAAATTATACCTTCGCATCGCTCCCAGCGGTATGGTTGGCACAATAACACCCAACGAAATCCTCAAGGGGTCTCTAGGTAGTAACGTACCAAGCGAGAAGTCCCGCAGAAAACGTTGCCGTCGACAAAGCCTAGATGATAAATCATCTGAATGGAAGAACATGGTTGAAGCATGGCTTGAAAGTATTGGTATTCGTCTAGCTGCTCTAGATGACAGCACTAGCTGGGCCCGGATTGGCCTAGAAAATCGGAAAGATGTGACTTCAAAGTCGCATACCAACATCACCAGTTACCTACTATGGCCTAGGGCTTTGTGTTTCGTGTATGATGGCAACAATGCACACCATTCCTGTGTCTCGGAAGCTGATAGCGATGCACTTCAGAGCGATGGGGGTTTGGGATCGATTCTGGCAGCGTCAATTGGATCGTCAGATTGCCTGGAGACTGCTCGAAAGTGGCTTGCCGACTCGGCAGAACGTAATTCAAACAAGATAATTCTCCAACAGCCGCGGGGAATCGGGAAGCTTTCAGTACCTCCCCTTATAGACATCTCGTTTGGACCCGGACCATCGTCTCCCCTCTATCTACGTGCTGGGGTGCTTGGGGATATGCATGCAGGTGGAGGGGTTTATCCCACGCCACCAGACGGTATACTAAACCCTAGTACAGGAGTCTCAATCACCACGGAAGGCCCTCCCAACTCTGCTGGCATTATAAGCAATGACCAAACAAATCCTACCGCGTTGGCAACGCCCATATTGCCCAGCCAGAGCGACCCAGTGATATCTGATGTCATCGACGCTCCTAATGCGGACCGAGAGCTTGCACGTCCGGAAAAAGCGAATGAGCATGCTATGGTTGGCGACGATGCCGACGACTTGTTTGAAGACACGGACGAAGACGAGTTTACTGGAAATAATGTTACCGATGCCGACTTCAGCTTCTTCGACGAGCCAGATGATGATGAGATGATGGACGTCCCCGACATTCGTGAGGTTGACCCTAAGTCGGACCCCATCTCTCGATCAAGTCAGGCTCCGATAAAATTAGAAAACTTGGACGATGATCATGCGCTCACTGTCACAGATCCCGCTAGTGAGGATACTGAGGCTCATGCGTACTTGAAAATCGAGCCAGTCAACGTAACACATGCTCAAGCAGACCCATTACCACGCACTGGTATTGGACCGAACAACCGGCGCCAACGCTCCCCGAGCGTGACCACTGCTCGTAAGGTGCTACGACACCCTTCGCAGCTCAAATATCCGCCCTCGTCCCGTGGAACTGCCGAGGTACCTCGTAAGGAGAGTATATTTGACCCGATCAACTTCACTGACAAGCTGAATTTGTCCGATGATAAGTACTTGTCCGGTCGCTTCAATTTTGCATCCTCGGCTCTAGAAGACGATCAGTTCCCGAAGAAACACGCTGCTTTCAATCCATCTCAGAGTTTAGCACCCATCCATGGCCATACTACCACCTCGTTCCAGACTGTGCAGCTAGGGATGCTCGCTCATATTGCGGTCGATACGAGCGACACTACCAGTTCATCGTCGATTGATGAAGCATCAATAAATGATGAAGATAACCTAGAAGATTTTGACGGGGACATGATTATTCCTGTACCATTACCGAAGAGGAAGCGAGCATTTGATGAACGATCAACTCCTGTCTCAGCTCTTTCTCCCTCAGAAGTATCACACTTGGGAGACACAGATACATTTGAGGATTCTGTTGTCGTATCGGTAAGTATTCATCCCAAAGTCGCGGGTTGAACGTAATTAAACCCTGAACAGATTGACCCCTCGGAGCTGGGTAGATTCGAGCCAAGCCCGTGGGATTGGAATCTGGCAGGATTTCCGACACCTTCCGCAACACCAACACCGTCATCTGGAAATATCTCAAGCTCATCTCAAGGGACAATGAATCCTCCATCGCTGAAGTCAGATCCAGACAACAAATCGACTCAGAACTTGGATGCTGAAGCACTCACAAAGAGAGATGTCATCTCAATAGCTCAAATCTTCTCAGACCAGGTGGTCACATCTTGCTTACGTATGTGAAAACAGTGTGGAGAGGTGTTTGAAGTGCTCATATAACTAACCTCATTTTTTCAGAAATGTTACCTTCTCTCGAAACGAGAAACAATACTGACAACGATACCCTATTGGATTCATCGTCGATAGTAGAACTTCTAGGCACTCTGCGCAGGACTGTGAAGAATTGGTTTCCCACTGCCGCTGACTGCCATTTATCTCAATATGCATCTTTACACGACCCGATCCCTGAGCAATCCCAATCGGTCAAGTCCCAACATCGACCGGTCGCATGGCGAACAGTAAATTCTGCTAATCCTGAGGTGGCGCCATTCCACATCCCGTCCCCGTATATACGGCTGCGTCGAGCAGAGACTCTTTGGGACCTTCTACCACCGTCACTTGCCTTCTGGGAACCACTTGGCCTTGCACCTGTTAGCGACAGCAAGAACGTCATGGGATTCTGCGTCGTGCCCTCCCAAGACAGCATCTGGGAATCAGCAAGCTCATTTCTCGACAACATTAGCTTGGCTTATGAGGGCTATAAGCTTGGCACTCACTTCCGTGGGCTTACGACCGGCAACATTCAGAACGGTCTAGTATCGTGCGACCTATCGCAGAGTTCGACTTACGAGACCGCCATGGCTGCTTATAGGACAGCTTGTCTCGAATTAGGCAAAACACTTGGAGCGCTCGACCTGCACCACAAGGAACATAAGATCGCACAGCAAGTTAACACGTTTGTGATCTATATAGTCAATCCATTCGAATCGTCCAAAGCTCTCTGGGATATATCTGCAGCATTCTGGGGTCTGTTCCAGCAATACGGGTCCGGTCCAGATTGTATCGATATCGTCCTACAGACCTTGCCTATCCAGTATCTTGCACCTCAACACGCGCCGATTGTACTGGAATCGAGTATGATGGCAAAGCTTGCTCGTGAGGTATACGACCGTTGCCCACCTACCGGCCTCAGCGGGGATCGTTCACCTCTCCACATATTCTCAGGACCGGCTATACATCTGGAGGAAACGCTACCTAGAACCGGTATATTCAAGAACACAATAGAGCCACATGCCGATCCCTTACGCGAGAACTCTTATATGCATGTAGGATATTCAGTGAGCATGGATGGTGCTTGGGTTACATCAGCGTGGACGGACAACTTCGGCAAATACCAGGCTTTCGCATCCTATCATGTTGGCAACAGTCGGTCTTTCAGCGAGATCTCTCGCGAAATTTGGCAGACTACTCTCGACATTATCTCAAAGAGGAAAGTCACGTGGCGCATATGTCTGGTTCGCGCCGGTGTAATGGCCGCCGAAGAAAGTGATGGTGAGTTGACCTTAGGTCTGTGCTTGCGATGAATATTAACTATGGTCGTAGTTTGGGCTTCCCTCGTCATGCAACCAACTAACTTACAGCTATCTATAGCCCTGCTATCTTTTGTTACCAAACCATCCCTTGCCATATACCCAACGCATGCCTTCCAGGAACCTCCCAGTATCTTTGAGCCAAACACCCACGCGACAACCGTGAACACTCCTCAACCCGGAGTATCTCCGGATCCCTACAGCCTCACCCCTGCCGCGACTCCCTCGGAGATGGCCCAAGAGCTCATGAGTGACCCTGACGCGCGTCTGGTCGATGTGACCGATGAGACCTGGGGCATGGTCCTAGCACATCGTTTAAATAACTCAAATTCGGTCGTCGACTTTCGTCCCTCTTTGGCTAGCGGTATACTCATCAAACGTGGACTGAATCCTGGTCAGACATCTCCACCCTTTGCTTCAGATAATGAGCCACCTTCGGGACCACGTGTCATGGCTGTTAACCTCATTTTCCTTGGTGCACCTAATCGTAACCTCAGTCCACCGACACCGGCGTCGTCACCACTTGCACAACAGGATACTTTGATTGGCGCGGGCGTCGCTATCGGTATGGGCATGGCGAGCACGCCTGGAACGCCAGCAGCGACAAGTCCCATTGACAGGCCCAATCCAGGTGGATTCATGTTCGCAGGCTCACCGCAACACCGTGCTACAGCGGACATGTTCTTGAGGGAGATTCTGATCCACTATCGTGGACTGGGACTTCTGGCGAAGTTGAAAGGGATGAAAGGCACAAGAGCTGGAATGGTGCCGTGGCATGTAGCTGTTTGTATGCGGAGTGTCGAAGCGCTACAGAAGGGTGCTGTTGTCTGAACGAGGACGGTCATACACTCGTTGACATGCTGTGTTGTTTCTGGCGTTTTGGAGCAAATGATACCCCTGTCGTTGCTTGTTCCATAGCAAGCTTGCTTGTCCACAACATCACGCGATGACGCACATGACGTGCGTAGATTCTTGCTAATGTGACGTCACTCCTGCCAAACCTCTGGCAAGTGGTAATGTATGTTAGTCTATGTGTATGTCATATCTGCAACGTTGACACACATGATCACAATCACCCCTTCAAGCGTGCTCGAATCCCGGCGACCACATCAGAGGGTTTCTCAAGCGTCCAATATATTATGTGTATCATACCGATAGATCATTATACCACGTAGTCTAAGCCACTTTACTAAGTAACACGGAATAAACTTGAAACACGTGTACACTCGCAGCCCACGAGGATAAGAATGGTAAAAAAACGTGTAATATGTCATGTTTTGAAGCCTATAGGGGTAGGGTCAGTTAGAATTAGTTTATATCAGCTAAAGGCACGAGTATGAGTGTCATTTCCAAGCCTATAAGGTCAGAAGTAGACAAAACTATGTATAATAAGTAGTATTTTGGAAGAAAAGACATCACTTCAGATAAATTATTTGCTACCTGGTTACTCGGTAAATCTTTGTATAGTACATTAAAATACACTTGACGCTTAAGAAACCCTCTCACATCGTCTCCAATTGCTAACCACCCAATATGTCATCTTCATTCAGAATCCAGCTCCGTGAGGTCGGATCCATAATAGGGTCCAACAGTGCAAGCGTATCGGTACATACTTGCTCAGGCCCTAACACACTCTTGGTTCTATATACCTAAGGTAGTACCATTTCAAACCCATTTAACTGGACGACTCGAATACCAATAAGCCGGCGACTGACTCCTCAACTCGGGACAGAGGAAAGTCGATGAATAGTACGCAGGCGTATGTGGAGTGGCGGATGGATGCCGGACGATGAAGAATAAGAGTGTAAGGACTGTAAGGAGAGGAGATCTTGGGACTGTTGTTAATCTAGGATCTCGCTGGTAGTGGAGTTCAACAAGGACGATGTGCCTCAGCACGTAGAGTTGAGTGAGTATGCAGCACAGAATCATTGATTGAGGCCCGCTATTCTCCGTCATCCCTCTTCAAAAGCCCCATATATGCCTCGTCAAGCTCCTTCGACGCCACAACCAAAGTGATCAATCGTACAGACACCTTCTCATCACACTCCGTTACCTATTGAAGAGATATTACCAAGTAATATCCGCATATGATCCTGTCCGCGCTAGCACATACTGTATTCTCATCCTCCCCATCATGCTGGCCTCGCCTGTGAAATACACCCATTTTCTCTCTTTCAACAGTCCCCAACGGCTCTCCCAGTGGCTGTTCACGCCTTCCCACACCTGGATTACGCCGGTACTCTTCATATCTTCTAACGTCCTACCGAACATCTTCGCGCGCGTGAAACACTTGGCGCTGGTGAGATTCAGGAGTTTACGCGGCACGAATGGTCGAAGGAGGTACGAGTCAAATGCACCCAGAATCTTGTACGTCAGGACTTCGACACGCGGGAGGATTGGGCTGTTGACTTGGAGAAACGAGTATTTGGGCGCAGGATCCTCGACCTTCCAAAGTGTCGGCGATCAGGCAGGAGTCTATGATGTATCTTTCACTGGCGAGCTTCAGTGCAGGAACTGTGTAGGAGCGATGATCGTTGTTGCTGGTGGGATGTTGCTGGTGGGATGTTGCTGGTGGGATGTTGCTGCTTTATGAGTCTTGGTTTGAAAGCATAGACAAAGGGAAACTACTGTGATGATAATATGGGAGCGACGTCTACTGTAGACTAGTCAGCAGTGTCTTCTACACAAGATGTTTAGATTACTTACGATGTTTAAGCTACTGGGTTTTATAGGCAACTTCTTTATATTTTAGAACGAGTCTTGCTTGTCTTGATACTAGCTGGAGGTGGGAGTTGTAATGTAGTTAGTGCACTCTTCCATGGATTCATTGACCATGCTGAGCATGGATTATTTCTTTGTAAACCAAAGAGAGCAATGTTGGCTTCATCCATCTTCGTTTGCGATAAGCTACTGTTCTTTGAGATGCCATCCTACTTCAAACAAGTATTGGCTTGTTTTGGAATGTACAGATAATAGTTGGGCGAGACTGAGCCTTTATCAAACTGGTGAGGATCAATTATGAACTAAAAACAAAGTCTAGGTTGATATATATTGAAAATGTACGCTTGATCATACGATTAGCAAAATATACCGGTAATGATCTGGTAAGCATCTCCCGGCCAGGGGGGATGGCAGCTTGTATAACACGCTTATTTTACCTGGTTACCGTAGAGACCCCCGATTTCGCAGAGGGTCTATATTTGTACTTCCCGTCTGGGTGGAAACATCCGATGACCTTATCGTAAACAGCTCGCTCTGTATTCTAGTCAAAAGCATGGCTATCAGCTTATGCATCTATGATTGCATAGCTGTTCCTTTCTCATCTCCATGTCGAGTAATCGCGCTTTCTTGCATCGCCAACCATGGCGACAGGGGTCAACATCACAACGGGTCACAATGCTAACAATCGCGTTCGATCAAGTACAAACTGTAAAAGCCACGTAATCTTCGTCTGAATATCAGGTTCTGACGTTATATACGAATTATAAAGAGTATTCTTTATGGATGACAGCAACTTTCATTTTGCAGAATGAATACTTTGTTAATGATGCAAACAACATCTTTCAAGGTCGCGAAATACACCTTTAAAACATGCCTATCAACCCTTTCGGCTTTGTTCTCCATTAGACAACGGGTGCCTTGTTATAAGTATTATAAGGGAGGCATATGCGGCATGTCGTGCGCAAACGGAATGTAGTTTGGTCCAAAGACAAAGGAAGGATCATGAACGATTGCCAATGGCGTTGATGATAACATCAAAGGAACACAAGACCAAACTTACCACGAGCAAGGCGCTTAAAGCACTGTCTCTGCGGGCAAATTCACGCAACAAAACCTGCGAATTCTTCTCTGATTTGAACTGCTCTCCGTGCGATCGACAAGTAAACTCAATGATGGAGCATCTCATCTCATTTGTGCGCGAAATTATCCATGACCGTCGCGTCATCCTCGAAACTCGACTCCAATACCAAATTGATGCATTACGGTACTCACGCCCATGGTTAAAGACTCCGAAAACCCATCACAATGAAAACAACTCTTTCAGCTCCCTATACGGCAAGCCGTTCAAGTTCGACCTCGAAGACTCACCGAAGAATTATGCTACGGAATACGCGCGCATGGTCCACGGCCAGTTAGAAGATGGTACTACCGGTGCATGCCTAGCGATGACCTATGACCTTGCCCAAGCCATCGTGAAACTCTTCCTCTATAGTAAGGAGCTCAGTATCAAAGACGAGCAAGAAGCATTGTGCAAGGCCGAGAAGAAAGACCTTGAAGCTGCAATAACTCGCATCATCATGCGGAAGCGAGTCCTGGAGAAGAAAAAGATTCCCACCGATCGAGCGACGCAGGGTCTTGATAGAGCTAAGCTCGCGAATCTGGAGTATGAGTTTGAGGCATTGAGACTTCGAGAGCGAAGTGTGGTATGTGACTTGGAGCAGGTTAGAGATGCGCGAGGCGAATTGCAGCTTGTGAAGGCTGCATTGCAGGAGAAAGTGAATGATGTGCTTGAGAAAGTGTTTATAGACTGTGGGTTGATTGATTATGAGGCATGGATGGTATCGGCAAGGATCAGATCTGCCAGTACCTTACCACCGCGAAACAAAGCAGGAGAGGCTGGAGAAAGGAGCGTGAGGATAGACGACGAAGAGAAGGAACTAAGAAGCTCGGCCACTCACCAGTCGAGCTCGACCATTAGTCCTACCAAAGAACGACATAACTCGAATTCTTTTGCGGCTGAACCAGCTCAGGACGATATTATTGCCAGATACCAGGGAGCTTGGGTAGCCCATCACAGTGCCGACCTCAACCTCGAGAAGCACAGAGAGCAATACGAAGAAAAGAAATACAGCCACTTCAAGGAGCGAAACAAGTCTAAAGAGGCCGAGTGCGAATTCGACCACAAACATCTCCAAACAGGTGCAGAACTCACCCGAAAAGTCATCAAGGCGGAGGAAGAGCTCCAAAAAGCTCACGTCGAAGCTATTAGGGCAGGGGTGGCGTACTCGGACTTGGACTCACTAGTGTTTACGGGTCGTATGCAAAAGGGATACGATGATTGGAACTCCCAATGTAGCGTCGACTACTACATGGGGCCGACAGCATACCAGATTACATATGCCAAGTCTTTGGTAGAAGACTCCATTATGCAATGGATGGTGTCCCAGGGCGAAGCTGTGCCGACGAAGTCCAGGAGAACCGGTCGATTCAAACTACCGCGAGAGCTTCCGTGGTGGGACAGTTACAGCATCCATGAAATGTATCCTAAATATGCAAAGACTAACGAGGTATGGACGAAAATGATGAATGAATTGAGGTCGGATATGGCGCTGGAGAGGAAGCGGGTTGGGACTTGGTCGTCGTTGATACGAAGATACCAGGGCAGGTTGATTGAATGGGGGAAGTATAGATTGGGCAGGTTGAGCCGAAAGGAAACGGTGTATAATCATGCGGTGATGTAAGTTGACCGGTTGTTCTCTGTATAGTGTTGTCAATATCAGATGGCTTATATTGCATGGGTCACAGACCGCGCTCTACATACAGTATAGTGGAGCCTTTGTGGGGGTATTACCGTCAATATGTACACCGTACGGAAAATGTTGGAATTGATTTATTGAGGTGTATGTGATAGCATTGTATACTGCCCTGTGGGACGACAATATTCGGGTCGGGGTGTGTGTCGATTACGGTCACGTGAGCTCTACCGAAACTGATGTCACATTCGTCCCAACCACAAAAGCGACAGAGAGATTGTTTTCAAACTCACGGTTGAACTCAATGGGAGTCCACCTCACAGCTACAATCTGACGACATACTAGGATAGTATGCAGATAGCAATGTTGTTTTAACCACAAGCAGTCAGCATGACTGGCTCAAAATGACTTTAGGTCTCAGTGGAATGTGCGCACTAATTGACCCAACAGTCTCTACTAAACACATTACTACTAATAACGCAGCAACTGGAACATACCGTCCTTATACCGGGAATGAAACGCTTCGGCGTCCACGAGCGGAAGCGTGCTCGCTGTTTTCTGGTGTTGTGGGCACAAGGAGCAAATCCTGCCAATGCCCCCTCCTAGTCCTTCCTAGCTGCATATTTTAGCCTTGTAGCTTTTTTCTAACCCGTGCCTGGCTGGTGGACGTTACATTTGTACGCACTCGGAAGATGAGTTAATGGCTTCGAACAGACTCGCACAGATAAGGTCCGAGGGTAACAAGTGTGAGGCCTAAGCATCCTTTGATTTCAGGTTGTGTGGGCATGTGAATACCGGTGCGCCTTGTGCTAGGTCAAACCCGGAAGCTCTAGGCTTGATATTTACCCCTCTGTACGTACTACAGTAAGAAGGCTGACTCCTGAGAGGTTCTCGTAGTCTGCTCGATCTCCGAGTTAGTATTCGTGTCCCAGTGGATCGTCTCTCAGCCGGACTCATGCACTATTTTCTCTGCGATGGGATGTGGCCATCTCTGTGGTGTGTTCGTGTCTTGGTGGAACTTGAATCTGATAGCATAGCTGCCCAAATCATTCCCAGCAGCTGCCTTCCCTTGGACCAGTGGGTTGAATTACACTGTTGGGGAGGCTCTGCGTATACGTCGACACACACAGCCTTCGACTCAGGTAGAAATTGATGCCCTTGCTATTGAAATGGCGGTGTCAGAACGCAAGGTATACACCATGCAAGATGGAGGGTCTGTTCGTCATCAGGGTCGGCCACAGTGCCGGCTAGAACAAGGATGGCTGGGCGGGCAGCCATTTTGTATTCAGGCTAGAATAAGTGGTTCAACAAGTGTGCCGACTTACATGCCATTCCTTAGCTCGTTGAAAGCACTCATGACTTATCTTAAAGACTGTATCGTTGTTGAATCTCTGATGGGGAAAATATACAGCAGGATCTCATGAAAAATCGACATCAGAGACTTGCCCGTTCACCCCCTAATTCGATGACCCTCTTAAGACAGAAAAGAACTCCTTACCTCAGACTGAAAGTTTTGTCCTACCCACTGGCTTATAGCCTGCATGTTGTCTGCGTATGCGACTGGACTCTAGCCGCATGGGATTCCGCTCCACTATCTGAGCGGCAGCAATTGGCCAGATGGCCATCACCTGCCGACCTATCAGCCGGCCCAACCTCTCAGCACCGGTTTTGTCTGGATCTATGCCCCAGACCCATTCGGCATCCTTATTTGTTGTTGTGGCGAGGGCAGGTCGGAAAACGGTCAGCAATTTCGCTCATCCACAAGTTACATAAAGCGGATCCGCCATCTTGCGCGCATGCTGCACACATTCAATTCCACTCACATGATTGAATGGAGCACCGGCGAGACGAGCACCTGCAGATAGTAAAACTCAACGTCGGCTCGTCACCGTCACACTGAAGCTTGATGGCAATCCTCAGGCTTTCGGGCTGGTATGCCACGTTTGAGCGAGTTCATCACCAGTATGCTCATAGCTAGACTATATTTCATGCATTACCCGTTCAGGCTTGTTATTGTTTTGAAAACTGCAGGGCCGTGCCTCATTCTCACTTAGTCTTGGCGCGTTTAGAGCTAAGAAAACATCGCCAAATGCACTCCTGCATCACTTCCTTTTGACCTAGTCATTGGACATAAGACATAAGTAGAAAGATGTGCAAAGACATAAAAGCTCAACATTACATTGGCTGGAGTAACCTAGCAAGTGTTGCTTAGAATCAGGCAGACGGCTTTGGCGGCTGGGACTCAAGGCTAATGTTGCATGTATCTCGCCACCTCTGGCTCAGTCATTCGCCGAAACCACAACTTTGAACCTACGAAAATGCCGGCTGACAGTGGGGTGACCGGTCAAGGCGCTGACGGGAAATAGAGTCATAGTGGAAATGATCAAATGGTAACAATTTTGATGAGTCGATACGCTGTAATCCTGGCTCGATATGGCATGGGAAGCGCGGCGGAGGAGAAGAGCGTTCCATCAATTGTAATTTCGATTGTAAGATGGATAACCCCGGGTAATGGCTCGTCAAAGATCAACCTATTCGCGTTCGCCACGTCAGAGATCTCCGATGGGGCATACTCCGGGCAAAAATAGCGTGCTCCTAGGACTCAAATGATTGAATCGTCAAGCCGTGAAGGCCCAGACGTTGCATGGACTCCACACAAGCCTGTTATCTAGAGCCTGATGTCTGTCAGCCCGCATGAACTAAGAAACTCGTCTTCGAAGCCAGACGCGGGAGGACCAAGCCGAGGACGGGAAAATGATCAGCTGAGTGAATGTGACCCAGTATTATAACGCGAGATGCATACTCCCATGCTCTTTTAAGTCATGCAAACTCAACACCACAGGGTGATGGGCCGACTCTCCACGAATCGTTCTTGCAGCAGTGGGTGATAAGGTGACTCGTTAGGGTATGCCCCTTCCCTGTTGATCCTTGATCTAAAGACTGGTCATGATTGAAAGTGAAAAGCCACCTGCCGACGGGGCTCTGTCATCCAGTCCAGATACGGAGACGATCGGTGGTGAGGAGCAATTGGCCGTCGGCGCCAGCGAAGTTATGCCATGGGTCATCTTGGCAATGTCATGTCCAATGTATGTTGTTGGGCAACCGAGCTCAACGGGAAGAGGGGTCGAGGATCAAGGGATGTTGTAGCCGAATAGTCTCGTAGAAGTGTAGAGTGATATGAACCTATGGGTGACACGGATTAGACCGGTGAGCCTGGTTGGGGCGACACTGGATCTATCCCAGCCACGGAGCTTTAGCGTTTTGAAATGAGAGAAGGCAAGACGTAGCAAGAATAACTACTACCCAATAGTAATTTGAAACGAACGGGCCCAAGATGGTAAAGAAGAGTCTCGGCACGGGCGGGCATAGATATCAAAACACGTGACCAGGATCCAGCTTGTGTTTGAACCTCATTTTCTGCGACTTGATATGTCAACAGAGCACCGAAAAACCACCCCACTGCTCGAACTGAGCAGGATCTGAACACGTAGGACAAGGAATTGCGGCATTTTCTCCTCGGAAGGTCAAATTACGCGGTCAGAAGAGCCACGAAGAATGAAGATCCCTAGTCGATGCGATGGCTCTCTGCATCCTCTGGAACACCTAGCACGGTCTAGGGTATCATCGCATCCGGCATTTACGGGCCCTCTAGCGGCGTATCGGGGGTCATCGAGACAATCGCTTGGACGTCGTTGGACGATTCAGGGTGGGGTAGGACAACGCAAGGTTGACGGAAGGTGATATGTCTTCGAAAGATGTGTAAAAGAAATGGTCCTGATCACTCCAAGGGGGGATTGATAGTGTTGCTTCTCCGACATAAATAGCGGCGTCGCGACGCAGACATTCGAGTCTTTTCTCCATCAGTTCCAAAGCCTGACGAGAACATCATCGTATTCCTGATTCCTTGCTCTTGTGTGGCCTAATTCTTGACACATTGCTCTTACTCTTTACCAACAACGTTTCAGACCTGTGTCCAAACCTTCCAAGACACCAATAGCTTAGAAGACTAAGTGCGGTACGTTGGCAACTAGGGCAAGGCGAGCAGTGGAGAATGCTGAATGATTACAGATACTAGCGACTGTGCCCCGCCACTTCCTCCAAGTCCGAATAAGGTGAGTTGATGTTGAACCAGAATAGACGACTATCGGACTGTATTGACCTAATCTATTGGCGATACAATAGGGTCCTAAAATGTGCTTCTTCGATCAGCACCGTTTCGTCTGCGGCGATTGGAAATGGGGACATTTCCGCCAGCATTGCAACCGGGAATACCGAATGGGAGAAACCTGTGGTATGAAACTGGTCATGCAAACCTACCCGGTTGGCCAGAAATGCAAGCTGTGCGAGAAGATCGATACAAAGATGCGTCGACGACAGGCCGAGGTCGAACGAATCAGTCGGTGGAACCGTGAAGGTAGCAAGTTCAGAGCCTCCATCGAGAAATCCACAGATATAATTCGTCTACTGGACTCTGAAATCTATGAACTGGGCTGCGAAAGAAGTCGCAGATTGCAAGGGATCGGCAGTGCCCATTGAGAGACCAGAAAGTTTGCTGAACGGATGGGAACGACTGGTTGCCGTTTCATGTACATCATTCTTTCATACGCCTTCAGTAGGGTGTGAAAGACGAAGTCCACTCGCTTTGAGTTATGGAAAGAAATGGCGTTGACTTGGAACAAGAATGACGATTGAAGGAGCAAGGAGACTGTTCATGGTACCTTTTACAAGCATATCATGCTTCAAATGATTGTTAGCTTTAGCAAGCGTAATGATGAAACGACTTTCTTAGTATCTCCGATTGGCTCGTGAAGATGGTCGTCGTGATGTAGGCGCTCAGAAGCTCAGGAGGGGCTGGACTGATCCAATCTTTTGTCGCGTCGCGAATTGCGGTAGCGCCGAGACAGAGCTTTGAGCGCCGCCTCGCCCACTTAAGCGCTTGCATGTCTCGTTGCCATCATCATTATGTATCCACATTGTCGAGAAGAGTTTGAAGAATGGTCAAATACGTACGGACTATGACCATCCAGCGCGGCGTTGGTGTTTGAAAGAATGATGGAATCAGTTGGTCAGAGGTGGGGTCGGTCGCGGTTTCGGTCGCCGGAACAAACTTTTGCCGCTGCCGAAAGATCGGGGCGGCTCTTTCCACACCACCAGTTCAGTGCTAGGCAACAACACTAAAGCCGCTGTGTGGGCTGGGCGATGCATTACGCCGCATACATCTTTTGACTATAACATCTTTGTGCTGCTCTTCCTCATCTTTCATCATCCCTTGTTGTAATAAATCCATGACCTGCACATTTTGTCTGTCCCCGTGCCAACAACTGCTACAAGCCATCGGGGATCATAACTCTTTCTTTCCTTCTCTCGTAATTTTTGTATCGTTCGTACAGAGTCTTCTATTCCTGCTATGTTACGAGCAGTGGGACCCTTGTTGATTTTATCTGGAACCTGGTCGACCGCATCATCTCCATTGTTCGACGTTTCATCTCATTCTTGCGTCTCTTAATACTCCCAAAGTCACGCTCGCATCTGTCTCTTCCCAGCATGCTCGGCTCTTTTCTGAATAGTTGTCCTTACACCTTGATGTAGGGGATGTTCAACATCTGCTCAGGTCAAGAATGTGGCCGTGAGGTATGCTTAAGATGTCTTCTCCCCTTCGTACCAGCGTTCGAGTCGGAACACGTGGCAGCCTGTCAATGGACCTAGTCGAGTTTCCAACGACGGCCATAGAAATTCTCACCTCGCCCGGATTGATGACCAGGACACAGAATTACGCGCTCGGTCATGTTGATTGGAAGGCGATCGTTACTCCTGGCAGAAGGATATTACGAGAGATCGGCTACTTGCGACCACTCCTTGGATGTTCGAGGATCTGTCTCGCGGAGCAGACTGCGTCTCATCGCTCCAGTATAGGTGGTGTTGGGACTGACCAGCACCTTCTCAACAATTCGATTCTTATAGACAAAGGAGCTGGTCTTTGTCAATATTCATTTGGCTAAGTCGGTGACATAGTGGTGCGAAATACTTTCAATGCAGTAACAGCTGACTGAGGGAGATTTAGACCACCCATGGTTTATAGCCACGTCGTCTATGTACGGAACCGCCGAAAGACTGTCCTCCAATTTACATTCTGGCCAACTGCACTTGAGCTCCGAGGGCCTCACATGTATTGTCTAATGAGCACAAAAGCTACGTGCCAAAGAAGGAGAGGGTACAACCAATTAGCGCTCATAATCCGTATATCGCTTGCTGACTGCATGAAGTCGCATTGCATCTCATGAAGTGTCAGATTCTCATTCACCGGCAACAGGCGCCCATGCGACATGTCTGTACAGATGGCGGGCTAGGATTACGCAAAAGATGCCTACCTGTGCCACGTAAAATCGAGCCCGGTCTTTGCTGTCAATCTGAACCGCGAGTATTTCGGTTCCAGCGATGATTGGCTGCTGAACTTTTAAAGCTCTGGTCAAAAAACTTGGATTCCTGGATTTAGCGCCGGACTTTGTGCAGCTGGGCTGCTCTGCTAATGTTCGATACATATACCTCGGTCACGATCACATAATGCTTCCCCAAAAGGTACCCGTTGTTTCCAGGTGATGGTCTTCCACCCGTCATTGCAGCAACCAAATATGCACGGTGATTCACCACTACGCCAAGCTTTAGACTTCTATGCCAGTAGACCTTTCTCGTAGATCTGGGCCAACCTACTCCTCGAGCAACAGGGTGTCAGACCAATACTCATTTCTGAGCAACACGAATTGTATCAATACACAATGGCGTATGTTTTGGATGTCTCTCTCCTTGAGCCAGTACCAAGGTATCGGCGAGAAGCTCAGCCCCTAGGAACGAAAATAGCGTCTTGAAATCGAATGGTAGACCTCATCTGATATCAATTTGTACACTGACAAGGATGGATACCTTGTCGCGATATTAGGGTTTGTGGCTTTGGTCTGTCTGTGCTTCCGCTACTGACACGATGCTTGATTCGCTACGGTAGATAGAAGTCAAGCATATATATTGATACGAGGGCTTCACGGTTTCATACTGTATCACCGCTCATGGGGACACATTGAGAGACTCTTCTAATCTAGAAATGCTGATACGCATGGTGAAACCCTAGACTTTTCGTAATTAAGTCGGGAATTGACGATCGATGTATTCGTCAGCTGCAGTACTCGCAACGCGTGCTCTTGGTAATCCTCAAGAGATCTTCACCCAAGTTACTCTGCTCCTCGCGATAGCTATCAATCAATCCAAATTATGTGTTATGTGACCGCGGAAAGCTCACCTAGTCCCGATCTGTGAAGGATGAGATACGTAATGGAAGCCTGAGGCAGCAATTATCTTGGCGCTGTCTTGTGTCACTATAGTCTACAGGTGAGGTGATGTTGAAGCTCAAATCCTACGCAAGCGCATTCAAACTCTGACACTACAAGCTCGACATGCTCTGACTATCAAACCTTTAAAGCAAGATCTCACTTGCGCTTCTATGAATGGATACCATCATGGGAATCTGCGCGTCCTGTCTGGGCCTCAACCGGCACGAATCTACCTCAGATGTATCGTTGCGCCCCCGTACCCAAAGAAACCTCACAAGACCTTCCAATAACCTCTCACACAGCCCTCTGACACATCACAACTCCTCAACGACCACTACCAGCCCGGCTACGGCAGCATCAATCACAACCCCCAACTCAACGGCCACCAACCCGACCCCGAAGAAATCCGCCGCCAACGCGACGCTCTCGAGCGCATCTGCGCGCAAACCTCGGACAAGCTGATCGACGTCTCGCAGCCCGACCATCCTGACATGCCCTCCAAAATGGCACCCGATTACCCGCGCCTGTTCGCAGAGCTGTTCCCGTCGAGACGCAGGAAGAAAGAGGGTGGTACAGCAAGCTCGCATGGCTCCGATGAGGCGGCGCAGCAGCAGGAGCTGGAAGCTTTGATCACAGAATCACTGAATGGAGATGGTGGCCAAGAGGGCGTGCCCTGGTACCATGTAGTCCCTCCGCAGTTTGGGCCGATCTCAAGAAACCCCATGGTCGTACTGGGCGGGGTGGGCAATGGCAAGGACAAGGTCTGAACGACGTACTATGTACCATGTACTATGTATTGGAAAGCTCGGCCCAGAAGTCCGGTTTGGAACTTGATGTATTATATACCATAGCACGGCATGGCGTTTGTTATTTTGCACTTCGGACGGCATTGGCTCATGGAGTGTTCTCTCGGCGTTCTGTCCAGTTGCGTTAACAACCATGTAGCAACCCCCTCCGATACGCGGCACCGCTGATAGGTAGCACAGTATGGTGGAATTAATGGATAGGGTTTATCACAAAGACACAATACCAAGATCTTTGCCAGCGAGTTGATTCCATTAGCCGCTACACATCTCGAGATAACAACGCAACACAATGATAGCTCTGAGTGAGCTCGGAGAAAGGTACCCTCGCAAATCATTCATTCATCCTAGAACAGAGTTCCAAAGCTACCACCAAACGGTTTATATCGAGCGTCCGTTATCCTGACAGTGCCCACTATCCGGTGAACACCTCATGATCCGCTCCTCACTTCGACGGAGATGTATTCGTTTGTGAGTGATATAGTCAGTTATTTATGAAATATTGACACATGATCGTGTGATGTTCTATGATATCGTGCTATGGGTACTTACATACTGTATCAATGGGTAACATCAGACATCAGATCATGGGGATTATTATGAAACGATTTAGTCGATGCGTTTGAGTATAATATCGCTTTAGGGCGGGCTGTTGCTAACTCACATACAAAGAATCACGAATCACAGCGTCGAACCACAGTCATACGATTACAGGTATAAATCAGCACAATAAAGCCACATAGGAATAATAGGTTTAGATATAGACACTACACTGGTGTCCATCGAATTCTAATGCATCTATTCGGCTGACCCAAGACCCCCTATTCTAGCAGCCCAAAGATGACCATGATCTCTATCCAGTACGCCCCAGTTCCTAGCGCCGCACTCCGATCTAAGCCAAGCTGTCCAGGGCCAAGGAAACAGGGAAACTAACAAGAGCATACATTCACCAGAGGGTATATCCACCATCAATGACACAGTTGTTGCCCGTCATGTACGCGCTCGCATCACTGGCCAAATAAACTGCAAGACCATTAAGATCCGCGACACCACCAAGTCTCTTCTGCGGGGTATGGTCAATCCAGATCTTCTTCTGGGCTTCAAGAGCTGGGACGCGGTTCAGTGCAGTGTCCATGTAACCGGGGGAGATGGCGTTTACGCGTATGCCGTAGCGAGCCCATTCAGTTGCCAGGGACTTGGTCATCTGGATGACGCCAGCCTTGGACGCGTTGTAACAAGACTGCTCCTGGGGGTAGTTTACGACAGATCCAGACATCGAGGCAATGTTGATGATGGAGCCACCGTTTCCAGAGGAGATCATCTTGCGGGCTACAGCCTGTGCAACGAGAAAGTTCCCGGTCACATTGATGTCTATGAGGCGACGCCACATGTCGACATTATAGGTCTCAGCCTTGATATTGGAGCTGGACACGTGTATTAGCATCGATAGAAAATTGTCTGCAGGCTCAAACTGTAAGCTTACTCGGCAATTCCAGCAGAGTTGATCAAAATATCGATCTGACCGAAGTGAGACGCAGCGTTTTCAATAGCCTCAGAGATGCCGTCCTCGTCACGAACATCAACGCTATAGAATCGTACATCAATACCAGTGTCTTCGCTGAGCTTTTGTGCAGCAGCCTCTCCTATATCGGGCTGGACATCAAGGATGGCAATGCCACGCACGCCAACTTCAGCGAGAGCCTGAGCCATGTTTAAGCCTAGACCACGACCTCCTCTGTTGTCCCCTTAGCACATATGATCCCGTGAGTTTCGCTGGATCATGAGAACTTTACTTACCCTGTAATGATAGCAACCCTGCCGATGAGAGTGAACTTAGCCATAGTCGGCGTCAAGTTTTGAAACACAGAGCCATCAAAGGGCTGGGCAGCAGTCTGGGAATCTTGCACGGTAGAAGTAACCGGCTGAGGATCGACGTGAAGCATTTGCTCCTTACGCTCTCCTTGCTCGAAGGTGACAAGCGGGACCGAGTCTTTAGCAACCTTCTCCAGGTGGGCCTTGCTCTCGACAGTGTGGAGGCTACGAGAGAGACCAGGAGAAATCGCCCGGAAGGAAGCTGGGGAGAGAGCACGGCTGGCTACTGCGGATCCTCTCGAGCGCGTAGCCAAACGGGACACAAACCGAGTCAACATGATGTTCGACTGAGTACAGGAAGTCACGAATTTGACAGTGAGCTTTTGGGTGTATGTAATCGAGGTAAAAGGAGTGTCTAGACCAGTGACTGGCTGAAGGAGTGACAGCTAACGAAAGGAAAAGGAAGATGTAGTTGAAAAAGCAAAGAGGAGCGACAAAAGTTTTTTTATTTGGCAGTGTTGTGCGAAGTCTCGGTTCTGCTTCGGCCGGAAGGTTAGCAAGCTGTCATCAGTATGAACAAAGTGAATGTACATATCCAGTGTATAAGCGGACCTGTGTGTGAAACGTCGTGTTCAAAAGGGTCCAAAGACACACCAGACTCCACCAGACTCCACCAAACAGCGAGGCCGTATCCCGTCCGAGCGCAGATCCCTGTTACTTTTACCAGTGTTCGGAGACTGAGGTAATATTACGGACTTTTTGTTAGGTAGAAAAGGTCGTAGGATGAGGTTTCTCTCGGACTTTTAGGTAGATAAGAAGGTTGACTATGTCGTGAGATGGTGTTCGAAGTTATATAGAAAATGTTCACTAGGGTAAGATGATGCGAAGGAAATGAAGAGCCTACGTAGAGTGTAGCTCTACTTGTGTGCAAAATATGAAAATAGATTGGTATACGAGATCTTTCAATTACAATCAAGATCTTAAAGATCTTGTGAGGAAGTCGCGAGTCATTGACAACAAAGAAAGAAGGGACTATCGGTCCGATTTAGGTAAAACTGTGTTCAGCGCTACTGATAGTATGCTTCCTCTTTCTTTTCATAATGGCAATGGATGTATGCAATCCTTTCATGTGAACCCCTCCGAACTGTCATACCCATGGCCTACAATCGGCCCCGGGTCATGGGCCTGTGGTCCTACGCGTGAAGTAAAACGGAAAGGTTTTGTGTAGTGGACTGCATATAATAATAGTCAGATCTAACGAATCAACGCCATGCTAATACTGCCATTCAAGACAAAGCAAACATCGACGATTTTGACTGGGAATCTGGATATCCAACAAAACGTAACCCAAGCAAAGGCTGAAATATAAGGGGAAGAAAAGGATTCAGAAAGTAGATTATCGTGATAGAACGGGATCAGACGGTCTCAACATAGTTGCTATAGCATTACGGTTAGTAGGCAATGTGATAATTGCATGGGAGGCCATACCTGGGGAAAATGCCCTCCCGATTGCCAATCTTTCCAGTCCACCAATCTGTCTCGCTCTCTGTTCTTTTGACAATAGTGATAATATCGCCCTTCTTAAAGCCAAGATCGCCAGGCTGATCTGCCTCGAATGTGAATTTTGCGATTGCTTGATCAGCGCCCAGTGATGCTTTCTTCGCCCCAAACATTGGCTTCGGGGCCGTCGGTCTGCCTGGCTTGTTTGAAAATTCACTGTTACTCCTGGTGCGTCTCTCCATCTGATCGAAAGTCTCGTGGGGGTTTGCACGTGTAGTGTTGGAGCGATTCAAGCCTCCACTGCCTGGAGTCCTGTCGTATACGTCATCCGCCCAAGTACTGGCCCTCGAAGGTTTGGGATTGTCGCTGTATTCGTAGTCGCCGGATGCCCCTCCACCAGTACGATCGGATCTTACTCCTTCACCATATGCTGAGCCTTGTTTGCCTTGCCAAACAACATCCTCGTGACGGTCGTCATAGACTGGAATATCGTTGTACATAGGATCATTGGCAGCCGCAGAGCCAGCAACGCCGGAGAAGATCCTTGAATTGAGTACTCTCATAAGCGGTTCAGCGGCCGGAGGGACTGGGACACTGCCACCTAGCAATTCCCTTGCCGTCCATCTTCGGCCATACAGTTTCTCGTTTGCATCGCGTCGCTCGATCAGTCCACTGCCTTCTAGTGACACGCCAGCAAACAATCCCTTGGTCTTGGAGTATGCGAATATGCCTGCTACACCCTTCAAACTCGCCGCGCCTGCTGCTTCTGCGTTCCTTCCGACAGGACCAGCGGCGATGGAAACGTTTCCTCCTAGTGTGAGAGAGCCAGCTTGCGCGAATGTGCGTACGGCTGCAGCGTCGTTCAGTATAAAAACGAAGTCGGTAAGTTCGAAGCCAATCTGTCCTCCGAAGCCTCCTCCTATTGTTCCGATTGCCGATGGGGCAGACCAAGTCCCGTCCGCGAGACGAGCGACGACGACACCGGAGCCGAACCGCGCAGAGCCAAGAAAGCCAGCTTTAAAAACTGTGATGATAGCCAGACCCTAGAGCGTGCGTGTTAGCAGATCTCTCCAAGTCAAGCAGACTTTCATTAAGCCATAGAGGCAGTGTCACAACGCTGTGCGAATATGACGTGGAGCTGCTCAAGACTCATCCTAAACCCATGGAGTATATGCCGACATACCTTCGCATTTGCCAGAATCTGTGGTGGTATAATCTTGTCTGGACCAAATGCTTGCCTTGGGTCTACAAAGCTTGCCAAAATCTTTCCGCTCTTCTTGCATTCGCCTGCAAGGATGTCAGCAGAGCTCAGGCTGGAACGTCATAGGTACATACTCCTCATGGAAGAGGGCAAAGGGTTATTAATTCCCATGGGCATTATGAAGAGATTATAAAACGTTGATATGAGAGAGGAGAGGGAGTGAGTGAGGTAGTGAGAAGTAGTGAGAAGTGTAGATACAGGTGGATGCTGAGTTAATAGGTAATATGAACTCGCTGGAGCAATCCTCGGGCGGTCTCCTGCCTTGGGGCTGGACTGGCGGGGCGACCTGGATGATGCAAATCGGGTGACGCGGACGCGGCGAAGGCAGCGAGTGGCTGTGCTAAAGGAGCCAAGCTGCAAGCTCATGTCTATCCCATCACTATCACTAATTATCACTCACTCAACACTCGCCTGGCTTACTGAGAAACTACAAGCTTTCGAATTCGCCTTCGATTGCGCGTCGCCATGTCAATCGCGAGATGCTGCGCATGGCGATTATTCCCGACGCGCTGAAAATGCCCGCCGGAAGAGCAAGGCGCATGGTTGGCGCACTGAAGAGCATTGCCTGATTCAGTTGTGCACTCACTTTGCGGAAACAGTCATGGAACGCAGCTAGGTCTATGAAGGCTAATATTCTTTACATTGTTACTTTGAATTCGACGCGCTGTTCTTCTATGCTCTGTTCGATCTAAGACACTCTATAATGTTTCCTACCACTCTTCATTTCTTATGCGCACCAGCCTTCTTCCCACGCCCACCAAAGGGCCAGCGGATTTGATTGGCCTTGTTAATCTCCACACCAAGCTCTTCTGCCCAAGCCCACACCAAACCTGGGTTTTTCAGGAAGATACGGCCAGCAATGACAACATCGAGTCCATCCTCAAGCAGTTGGTTCGCCTGTTTACCCTCCGTAATGGACCCAACTGTAGAAACCAGCATCTTATCGCCAACCTTCTCCTTCACTGCCTTTGCAAACGGAGATTGGTATGCTGGCCCAGTGTGTGGGTGTTGAAGAGGATGTAGGCCTCCGGAAGATACATCGAGGAGGTCTACACCTCGCGCGGCGAGGAGTGGTGCAAGACGGATCGTGTCTTCTACCCTCCAAGACTGATCCTTGAGTTCGGTCTCTTCGAGCCAGTCGGTCGCTGATATGCGGAGAAACAGGGGCATGTCCTCAGGAATCGCATTGCGGACCATGGACACAACTTCAAGGGTTAGACGGACGCGGTTTTCGAAAGATCCACCGTACTGATCGGTACGTTGGTTGGAGACTGGGGACAGAAACTCATGGAGTAAATAGCCATGAGCGTTGTGAATCTCGATGGCGTCGAAACCAGCTTTCAGAGCCCTGTTGACAGACTTGAGATATGCGGTCTTAAAGTCTTGGATGTCTTGGAGTGTCATAGCCTTGGGAGTGGCGTGGTGTTCGTTGAACGGGATTGCAGATGGAGCATATACATCGTCTGGCCAGCCATTCAGTTCTGGGCCTGCTACGGCACCAGATGATAACCACGGGGCAACGGTAGATGCCTTGCGACCGGCGTGTCCCAACTGAATGGCCACCTTCTGGTTCTGAGAGTGTGCGAAGTCCACCACCCTTTTCAGTGGTGCAATCTGTGAATCTTGCCACAAACCGGAATCTTCTGGAGTGATACGGCCTTGTGGAGTTACAGAAGTAGCCTCAAAGATAGCAATGCCTGGGCCGCGGGAAATGATGCCGCCCAAGTGTGCCAAGTGCCAATCGGTAAAATGTCCATCTTCGGCGGAATATTGACAGAGAGGCGACAGAGCGATACGGTTTTGAAGCGTGAGGCCTCGTATTTTCAGGGGCTTGAAGAGTTTCGGAACGTTCTCGTCCAAAGCAGTGCCTGACGGAGGTTCTTGCGCTGGAGTAAAATAAGAGATCTGCAAATCAAAGTCAGGTCAAATAAATGGAAGCTTTATTTTAGAGACATACTCTTGGCGCCGCCTTGTTCACGAGGTGAGGAGCCTCCTCTGCATACTCGACGGAATGGTGGGTAGTGGTCATGGTGGTACTATTGAGAGAACAGAGATACTGTGGGGTATGGGGTATGATCGCGCAATTGACAGGGATATGTGCTGTGAGGTATGTATTTGACTGTGGAAGATTCTCTTTTGTCTGAAGTTCAGAACTGTTCAGTGCCGACAGGACATGCAGAATTTATAGTTGAGTTCAGCAGTATCTAGCCCAAGAGCTTTGCTTAACAATTAATTCTCGGTTTCTCATCATGCAGCCAATTATTGCGTCACTGGGCGAAACTCGGGATCAGCCTAGCTAGGTAGTAGCTAGCTCTAGTGGGGCAATCTTCCATCAAGGGTCCTCGGGTGAGGATTACCTGATATACATTGATTACAAAGCTGTCTTCATTGGATGCAGCCCTGAGGTATGTGTCTTCACTAGGTACGCTAGTTAATATACGGAAAGGAGCTCCTAAGGCAGCATATTTGTCAGCCGCGAACCAGCTTTTCAGCCGATAGCCGTGATCTTTGCAAGCGGAAGTGGAATGAAATCGAGGGATGAGGCGGTTATCTATCACCAGCCTGGCACCTCCTTAAGTCTCACAGGCACTCCTCCCTTAGGCTTTTGCGTTACGCCTCCGACTATGTCCAACGGGGTATCCAAGTCCGTCGCCTCAAGTTCGAATTTCCCTACGATCGCAGCCAAAAGACATTTGAACTCCGCTTGGGCGAAGGCTTGTCCAATGCACGATCTCGGGCCGTGCAAGAATGTTGTCATGGCATAGTTGCTTTCTGCGCCACCTGAATTGGCTTGTCCTGGAGCCATCCACCTCTCTGGATTGAATTCCTCTGCATCATCACCCCACATTGCTTTGTTGACATTGATTGCCCAGATCGGAATGAACACTGTCGTGTCTTTCGGGACAAAATGGCCTGCAATGGTGGTGTCTTTGCTTGCTTGTCGTAGCGTCATCGGAACAGGAGGGTACAGGCGAAGCACTTCGTTGCACACGGCTGACAAGTAGTGCACGTTGTCGATCTGCTGGGACGTAACCGATGAGCCGTCTGAAATTGACGGCAGTTGTTCGCGAACTTCTTCGCGGAGACGAGACTGGATTTCCGGATGCCGACAGAGGAGGTACACGGCCCAAGCCATGGCAGATGCTGTTGTTTCATGTCCGGCAGCTAAGAAGGTCATTAACTGATTGACCAAGTCGTCTTCACTGAAACCACCAGAGGTGATAGCAACAGACAAGATATCAGTATCGGTGTTTGCCCCGGCCGCTAGCTTCTCATTCTTTGACCGGATAAGATTTCGTGATGTACTCTTGATCGTACGGATAGCATGGATCATATCCTCGTTCCGCTTGATGGGTAGACGACGTAATATCCACATTGGCACCACGATCGCGATAACGTTCAGGATACGGGTCGCTGAAGAAGGCGACGAGATGGTCCTGTAGGTGGTACTCAGGTCGCCGTCAGGATTCTGGATCGCATCAAAATCCTGGCCCATGCCTGCTACACCAATGATGTCCAGTGTACACCGCGACACCCAATCGATAATTGAAATGATCGGAGAAGTACCTGAGGCATTAGGGACAGAGTTGGTCTTGCTCAACGCGGTCACCATCTCTGCTGACTTCATCCAGAAGACAGGGTAGAGATCCTTGATATGACGGAACTGGAACGCAGGCATGAGGAGTTTGCGCTGTCGTCTATGCTCGTCGCCTTCTGCTAGCAGAACACCAATCCCAAGGAGGCGACCAAGACCTTCACGGATCTGTTTCGGCTTGATGAACTCATAGCTTTTGGAGACAAGAACTTCACCAATGGCCTTGGGTGTCGTGGGCAGTAGTCGTTCAGCATTGAACGCGCTTCGATAGTAGATCAGTCCCTCGTTGGGTATATCATCGAGCCATGCTTTCATTGGTTCCCCAGTTGGTTGTCGTACGATATCAAAGAAGAATCCCATAAAAATGTTCCCGCCCTGCGGATATATGAGGGATGATTAATATATGAGAATATATTGTGCGTACCTTTGGGCCTGGATAGTTTCGTATCGGACTCAAAAAGTTGGGAAATATGAGTATAGACCATGTATATGCTGCAGCGATGAGACCTAGAAATAAAGAACAGAAAGTCCATCCCAAAGACTGTTTGATTGCATAATCTGGCGCATTGCGAGTTATGTAGAATGCGGCACAAAAGGCTGTCGCCGCCAATAGGCGTTTGTTTACCATATCGAGAGAGCAGAGACAAAGAACAAATGATGTTGAGTAGATAGCATGAGATGTGCGAGTACTGACGAAAGATGGTAGAGCAGCCACATGGTATGTATCTGTGGAGATGGAGACTGACACTATGATTACACGCCGCCTCCACACAACGTCTTCTGGCCGCAACCTAACTGTCCGAGTTGATGGTAGAGAAGCCTCGGCGCCAGAAACCACTGATGGGTTGGCGCATAATGTACCAAACTTGATTGGGTGATGTTTCAGACACGTGACGCTGCGGAGCTCTTATTGGGCCGACCCCGGCAGATTGGGGCACGTCACAGCAAGAAGGTTACGCCTGCTCCTTAAATGCTACTTCCTATTGTAGACGACGAGAGGGAACGTCAGTCACTATCATTAATGTTCCATCCATGGCACAGCCAGTGTCCATCTCCGCTGCTCACATTCGTTGATACATTTTTCATATATACGTCCAGGTGTGAACGATACTTGTTGACGAATAAAACATTAGAACTTCCTTTTCGGTCCTATCCTTCGATCTAATATTTTCATCAAACCGTCGGATAGTGATACGCAATTTATGACTATATAGATACCTTTCCGAATCTCGATCCATTCGCTCGTACGATTCCTCGTTATCGAATGAAGAGTAATCGTACTGCCTTTTCTTTTTTCCTTTCTATTCAGTGCCAAACATGCTGAATGTCCCATGACGGACATTGTTCTGTTGAAAGGGTATTGTATTGTGCAGGCTGTTTCCTCGCCATGGAGAGAACTCAACTTGACTTGGTTCAATTGAATCGATCCCCTTACTACATTAGGAGGTCGGTAATGGTGTATATACTCATCATCCAACACACTGCCTTCGTCCTTGTGCGATGAACTGCTGTTCAAACTGGCTACCCTCACCCCTTATGAGGAAGTGCCCATAGAACAGAAAAACGAACAATAAAATTGATACGTAAGTATTTTGCACACTATGTTATTTTGTGAACATCGTCTATTCTTCACAGGGCTTATCTAGCGTCGGGCAATTATTGTTCACATGTGCCTTCACCACGATGTCAAAACAACAGGTCTCGCGTCACCACGGTATTCACCGAACGCCAAACCTTTCCGCCGCCCCACCTCGTCTTATAGCTCGATTTCTCTGTCTCTCTTCTCACTGAGTTTGCTGTCACGCGTTCAAGAAAATTTCATCCGCTACAGTCTCTATCACTGGCTTCTTGACCTGTCAAGTATCCATCATCGCTCACCTGATCGTCTCTTGCATCTCATCAGCTATCAAGCAGTGATTGTCTATTCTTACTTATACCTCCCACGCCACCGAAGTATACAAATAAAGATGTCGTCCGTAAGAAGCGGATCCCCAAGCAGGGCCTACGAAGACACTGCCAACTATAAGCAGCGTCAAAGAGAAGCAGAGCAGATCGAATTCGTCCACCGCCCCCTGAAACACCCAATCCCTGGGTGTAAGGTAACCGCGCTCGAAGCATGCATCGGACAAGATCATCTAGTCCAACATCCACGTCCGTCAGAACGTGTGCGCCTCGAAAGCGCTTACAAAGTGGTCACCGACCACATAAACTCGATCTTCACTGGCCCGCTGCCTAAATTCGCGGTCTCCCAAGGCAGTGGCCTGCAGTCTGCTGCTAGGACCTGTGAGGATATGGACCTGGAGCAGTTCCAACGGACAGTCCTGTTCCTGCAGGCTGTCAATAATGGCAAGCTCGATATACAGATCAACATCACCGATCGTAGCCAGCAGGACAATAGCAGGGCTCCAGCACCTGTGAGCGCGAGAACTGCGATTGCCAACGGCAATAAAAGCGGATCTGGAGCTGCTGGCAGCTCCGAAACAGGTATCTTGCTTGCCCAACCCAGTGACATGTTCCATATTTAACTACCTGATAGGACCGACTCTGAGCGCGAACATACGCCTTCGTGATGGTGCAAGGTCCCTGGAAGCAGGCCACAACCTCCCGATTCCGGAGAGTGCGCTTGGAGTACCTTTCAGAGAGTCCAACGCAGCACGCCGTGCTGGTACTGCTCGTGAGGAGCATGATCCCCTTGCTCCCAGAGCTAGAAAACCTCGTACCCAGCAGCCAGCAGTCTCGGCCGGTCAGACAAGTGCTATTAGAGACATTTTAGGCGACCCAAGAATTGTGAGACTTTGCGAGCTGCCCATGTCCAAAGCAAACAGCACTAACGTAGCTCGACAGGGTATCGCCAAAACAGGAGCCGCCATAATGAAGAGTGCGAAGCGTGCTCGCATGGATCTGGATGATGCAGCATCCGAGGACGAAGCCGCGTCCTCAGCAAACACACGTCCGCCGCCTGCCGCCACCACTTTCACCACCAACAGCAAGCGCCGCAAGCTGAGTTCGCCGGCGCCAGCACCACGAAAATCCCATAGCCAACAGCCCGTCGCGCGCCACAGTCCGCCTCAAGCAACCGCAGACGCCACTACCCAGCAGCCGTCGACGCAGTCGACACCACCTGCTGGGAAGTCCAGCAAGACTTCCGGGTGGGTGCTACAAGTAGTCACCACACCTCCATCCAAGACCGAGATGGAGGACAAGATCACCCAGGCGGTCCTGGACGTTACGGAAGTGGGTGGTCGGCCCCTCAGGGCACGGGCAGGAAGATCAGGTACTTCAGCCTCTCTAACTATGAGAAGTACAACAGCTAAAACGACGGAGGCACGGCTGCCTAGGCGTGCGAATACGGTGTTTGGGCAGAAGGCGAGAGAGCAACGGGCTGCAAGGCAGAGGGCGTTTTGGGAAGCGGAGAGGAAAGAGAGGCTATCTCGGGTGAGAGGGAAAGATGGGCAGGAACAGGCCGATGAGGTTAATAGGAATGAGAAAGAGTAAGATGTTAAGGAATGAAGGAGAGAGGAGGGCTTTTACTGGTGTCCCTCCGTTGGATATGGGCGTTTCTGTCTTATTCGATGGGGGTTTCGCGATTGTTTTTGAGTATAGATATATCGACGTTGTAGTTCCTATCTCAAAAGTGAAGCGTTTTTTCTACTTCTTCAATACGCGTCAACTCACGATTCTCATGTGAAACTCGGTTCCTGCTACCACATATCATGATACCATAGCCACCTATTGTCCGATCATTCGACTTCACCAGCGGCGGCACCTACGAATTACTCTTCCTTGAGCGCTTCTGAATGTTTCTTTGTATTGTAGATCCTAAATATACTCTTCACTTTCTGACAAAGCCGTACTTCTCTACTCCTGGCAACCCAGTTCTTTCTCTGTCCAGCAGAGCCTTAAAAAGATCCGACTACTCTGACATTCACCTATACGCATAGCCATTGGAGCCTTTGATATTCTCATCCCACTGTATCACCGCGTTTGCTGTAAGAGAGATCTACACCGCACGCTTTCGTTCTACCATGTACACACATTATTCATAAGAGAAGATTTCATGTAGAGGTTTACTAAAAGACGAGTATTCTAATATTTTAATAGCCAACAGAATGTAAGGCGACTTACTCTAGCTATACAACTACTCCGACGTAGGATAAGAGTGGCTATAGCCGCTTTACGCCCAGCAGAGGGGCTATTTTTCCTCTAGAAATGTGAGCGGGAGACAGGCTGACCTTAGTTGATGTACTGTTTTTTTACTAGAGAAGAGATCGTTCAGATCGGTTTTTCATATGGAGTTAGCTACTTTCTATTAGTGAGGCGAGAATAAAGCCTATCTATGTAACTTCGACAAGTCAAAAAGTAGTTATGAAGCGCAGGACTTTATGCGCATTGTAATTTGAATTATTTATAATGTTTACTCCGGGATATGCATTGGAAGTGCAGACTTTTGACGCCCGGATCTTCGCTCAGGACGAAGTGTTCCAATCTACGACTCGGCCTCAAAAAATAGGTGTATAGTCAAACAGAGGGGAAATATAAAGTATGAAGTACCAAGACTATTTGTGAAGTAGCGGCGCTCGCTCTGAATCGTCATCGTTCCCATTGCCACTGTCGCCGCCTTTCTTTTTCTTGTTTACACGCTTCTTCCGCTTTTTCTTTGACTTGGTGGTCGTTTCTGATGCCGATGCGCCGTCTTTCTGGTCATGCTTGGAGTCCTTGCTGGGCCCTGCTTGGTTATCATCGTGATTATCGCCGTCGTCACTGTTCGAGCTACTCGTCGTTTCGAGTATCATCTTCTTGACGCCTCCGTGATCAATGAAGTTCTCAGTGATACTGCCACTGCGCGCAGTGTTTCGTCTTTTCGGTTCCTCTTGTGAGACATTTGAGTGTAGCGATCCGATGGTACTGTGTGAGTCCGACTTTCGTAATTCGGGCGTCTTGCTATCGATGACCAGCTTATCAGTGCTGTCGAACGCATTTTCTGATAAACCGTATTTATACTTTGGTCGTGGGGTGTTGTCATTATCACTGGCGCTGTCCGGCTTGGAGTTATCTGCGTCCCTAGATTGGGTTGGACTTCTGGTCAATGTCCCGTAGCCTTGCGCAAGAGCGATTACACCATCACTGGCATCGCGACCACCTCCTGCGAGTAGCCCTTCTCCAAAGCCCCCCTGAGGCGCGGTATCTGCATGTACAGTCGTTGGCCGTTGAGGCGCTGAGTGGTTCTCGGGAATAGTACCAACTCCAGGTTTAATTTTGACTGCGGAAAAGCGAGTAGTTTTGGGCTTGCTGGCAGCATTGGACGGGCCAAGATGCTTAAGATGCTCTCGAATCTGATTTTGATCACTGGTCCGTAGCGTCGTGGCATGTCCATTTGGTGCATCGGTGCCACTACTTTTTCTGCGCATGAGGAATGTCGTTGTCTTCGGGCTTTGTCCATATTCGACTGTAGATCCTTTCCTAGATTGCCTTGGATCCCTATCGGTAGAGGCATCACGGGACTCTGGTACCTCGAGAGCACGCTTTACGTTCTCTAGATCATTGTTGACCACCTCGCCCTTCGGCACCCTCGAACGGGGTGCAGGAGCCATGCGACGGATGGCCTTGTGAACGTCGATAAACACATCAGACTCGTCGATGATTTCCTCTCCAATTAACTCTTCGATGACGTCTTCTAGAGTAACGACCCCTAGAGCACCAAAAGATTCTCCTGGGAAATCCGAGACCAGAACCATATGTGACTTGCCCTCTTGGAAGAAATTGACGATATCTAGACAGCTAGTCTCGGGACGTGTCTCGGGCAGTGTAGCGAGAGCAAAGTCCCTAACTTTCAGGCAGTCCTCTGGATCATAGGTAATGAGCATTTTGACAAGAAGCATGCCGACAAAATTCCTCTGGTTGTCCGGAGCGTAAATTGGAATGCGTGAGTAACCTGCTGACAGAATAGTATCCATCATGTCCTCGTTCAAAACGGTGTCTGCAGACAGTGTGAAGACGTCATTCATCGGCGTCATGATGGTACCGACAGACTTATCTTTCAAGTCTAGAACAGCGCTGATGATTGTAACTTCGTCTTGGTTCAAGCGTTCATCTGGAGAGGTGCCAAGGGTTCTATGCAACGTCATCAATGTCTTGAGTCCCGCCTTTTTGTACATTGTGCCATGGTCTTTGCCTAGGACTTTATCGAGGAGCATCGCGGTCGGGTATGCAACGGGAGACATAATCCACATGAGCACTGTCACCATTGGAGCGCACCAAGCTCCAATGGGAAGACCAAAGCGGACACAAATGGATTGTGGGACAACTTCACCAAAGATAACTAAGAATGGTCAGCGTTAGAGCTACACACAATGTATGGATGGATACCTACCGATCAATACGGTACTTGCGACGACAGCGGGCCAACCACCACCCAGAGACCTATCAAGTACAATTGGTAGTGTCTCATTCGTGATAACATTACTGAGCAGAAGGGTGACGAGAACCCAATGTTTCCCCCTCTTTAGCAGCCGAAGCACTCTGGCGGAATTCTTCCGTTCGTTTCCTTCCCCAGAGGCTGCGATGACTTGTAGGTAGACTTCATCCTGGCCCATTAAGCTATGTTCTGTCAATTAAGAACTCAAGAACGATCTTGGAATATACATACGCTATTGTAAGACCTGCGAACACGCCTCCCAGGAGGACTAGGACGATAGCGGTACTGAGATAGACCCACAGACTTGGGTCATCGGGCTCCTTTGGCTCGACTTCATCCAGGATACTGACAGAGGAAGTATGAAGAGGTGCTGCATGAAGGAATGGCAGACTCCCCAGGAGTAAGAACAGTATTTTCCCTAGACCGAGTACTACGACGCGGGTAGAGGAATACCCTCCCATCGCGTGGCGCGTGCCATGACCCAGAAGGCTCGTGGGAATCATCAGGAGTCACAGTGACCGGTACACAGTTATTTCCAAACAGCGCGAGGCTGTACCTCAAATGAAGGTTGTCGAAAGCGATCCGCGAAGTCGAAGATGAAGATACGTTCGCGCCTGAAGTATGGACGATCGTGAGTTCTGGGTCTGCACGGGTGGGCTGGGAGCTTGGATTAGTCGCTAGTCTTAGCTTCCACCTGATGGCGGAGCGGTTATGTCATTACACAGAATGCTCACATGCATGAACAGGCGTCGTGAACGGCGATAGTACCGTCGAGGCTGATGGGAATGTATATGTTGGTCAATTGATTGAGCAAACAAGGGAGGGAGAGCACGATAAAGAATATACTGCTAATGTCTTCTATGTCAGGACAAAGGAGGGGGCCTAGCTAATACCCAAGAAGCCAAATCCCAGCGTCCGTCGCACGGTTCGCAGCAAAAATATGCGCCTCTTTACTTTAGGAATGGCGCGACTCAGGACGTTCGTCAACGGTTTGGCCTCAGGCAAACAGGCACCATTTACCCCGGATTTCGTCTCCAGCTTGAGCCGACACAGGCCGCCGGGCATGCTTGACTGATCAAACACCACAACTTAACCAGAACTCTCAGGCCCGTCTCTTCTGTTTTCCTTTCTGGTCATGTATCTTCTCCACACACAATGACAGCCCGGTGCTCACGCTCACTACAGTGCCTCTCAATTTTCGCGCGCTCGACGAAAAGCAAAGTAGCACCACATCGCACCTACTCCTCAGCCGCTCCCGCAAATGCACGCCTGAATCTCCCTGTCGACTTCTCCTCGACTCCAATATTACATCAAAGCTCAAAGTCCATACTTGCTAATCCTGAGTTACCCGAATCAGTACGGAAGAACAGTAAGACTACAAGAACGAACCTGTTCCAGGCTGTAAACTCGGCTCTTCGTCATGCTCTAAGCACAGATGATCGCGTCCTTCTCTTTGGGGAAGATGTGGCTTTCGGTGGTGTATTCAGGTGCAGTATGAATCTATCAACAGACTTCGGATCCGAAAGAGTCTTCAATACTCCATTGTGTGAGCAAGCAATCGTTGGCTTTGCAATTGGATGTGCGGCGGAGGGCATGAAGCCGGTGGCTGAGATCCAATTCGCGGACTATGTCTATCCAGCCTTTGATCAATTGGTGAATGAAGCTGCCAAGATGAGATACAGAGCTGGTGGGACTGGCATGGACTGCGGGGGTATGGTCGTGAGGATGCCTACAGGGAGCGTGGGACATGGTGCATTGTATGGACCATATGCAAACACCCGGAACCAACTGACACTATCGTAGATATCACTCACAGTCTCCCGAATCCCTCTTCACGCACATACCTGGTCTTCGAGTTATCATACCTCGATCACCATCCCAAGCAAAGGGGCTATTACTTGCTGCCATTGCATCTCCTGATCCTGTCATTTTCATGGAGCCTAAAGTCCTCTATCGAGCCGCCGTTGAGCAAGTGCCCAATGATCCCTATACTTTGCCTCTAGACAAAGCCGATATCCTAAAGACCGGCCAAGATATCACAGTCATATCATACGGTACGCCGTTGTACCACTGCTCAAACGCGATTGAAGCAGCAGAGAAGGACTTTGGCGTCAGCTGCGAGCTGATCGATCTGCGAACAATATATCCATGGGACAGGAAGACAGTGCTCGAGAGTGTTTCAAAAACAGGCCGGGCCATTGTCGTGCATGAGAGTATGGTAAACGCAGGTGTTGGAGCCGAAGTCGCTGCTACAATTCAAGAAGGGGCATTTTTGAGACTCGAGGCGCCTGTGCAACGAGTATGTGGCTGGTCCACGCACATGGGTATGGCGTATGAGAAATTTAACATACCGGATGTAGTTCGTACGTCTCTTCCCCCAGTAGGGTCCGCCTTGAAGGCACTGTAACTGATTCCTACTCTAGGCATATATGACTCGATTCGGAAAGTGGCGCATTACTGAATGATAAAACGAACATGGTTCGAATCAATATAAACGGAGCCTAGTTCCATGATGGCCCTTCGTGATGCGACGATGGGTAACACAAGATACCACACGATGCTCATGAAATGCTTTAAATCGGTGACAGTTGATGATAGATACGGACGGAGCACATGGCTACAAGGGAGATCACAGTGGAACTGAGAACCGATATATTGGACTTGGGATATCAACAGTCAATCCTCTGCATGCATAATGCTTATGAATGCGGATGTCAACCATGATAACTGCGGAGCACCATTTTCGCAATTGAAGTCTCCACAGCTATCCTCCTGTAGCGATCTTGTTCTCAAGACTATATCATAGTATTAAGCACCTGAGGTCGGAGGGAGAAGATCTGGCATTTAGGAAGCTCTTGAGTTAGAGTTATCATGTTAGTTGTGTTGGATTTGTAGTCGTTGCGAGGCGGTATTGACTAACGTTAACTAATGCTTGCCATTACAATAGAGCCTGAACTCTGTGTCGTCACTATTCTTGACTCAAACGTCTAGTTTGACGTATTACTTATCGATCGCAAGGATGAGACGTATCGAAAGGGAAAAAGGACCCTTTGCTGTCAGCGTTGCATATGTGAGGCAAACTATCGATAGATGGCTGCATGCAACGCAACCCAGATAAAGGATCAGGTCAGACCCCGCGTTGCCTCGCTGCGCTATCGATCTGCATCCATGGCGATCGGAGGTAGCTGTAGCTGCAGCTGCAAGATCCGATGCCTAACCATCTTTCTATCACTGCCACTCATCAGTACCGTGGAAGTCCGATACTCATGTTCAATTCACCGCTATAATAAAGCCAGGACTCCCATGCATCTGGCGGTGATTACCGATTTCCTAAAAAAAAAACTCATATCTCAGCAGGGTAGTATACTCGATGCTTATTCTCACAAACATAAGGCCTGCAGCATGTGCATGCACGAAAGGATTTATTGATCAGCATCGTCATACCGCCCGGCATAACCGCACGTGCATCAAGCCTTGCCGGCAAAACCCTGAAGACCAAACTTTCGACGTGCATCATGCCCGAAAGAGGTATAGCCACGGCCGTGCACGATGCGGCGCTTCGTTAAGGCGCGTGCGGCTGTGATGTGATGTGATGAGCCCTGGCGTGCGGCGAGAAAACAAAGCTTGTGTGTATTCTTAGAGCTCTGTATACGCAGAGGTGGATAAGCTAGGAGAGAACGGCACCAAGGTGTGCAACGCAAACGTGGCGGGTGTGACGACTCATTTAGTATATAAGTATGTGTAGGTCCGCTGTGGTCAGGACATCATCAAGCATTCCATAGCTCTGTCCACGAGTACACCTACACATCCGATCACTCACCAACCGACACCAAACGCAATCAACAACTTTTCACCATCAAAATGAAAGGCATCCTCGCCCTAATGCTCTCCTTCTCCGCCCTCTCCTTCGCTGCACCAACCACGAAGCGCGAGACCTTCGATGGCACCGCCGACGTAACACTCTGCACCGACTCCAATAAAGCAGGCACATGCCAGACATGGAGCCTACCCTTTGACGGCGAACCAGACATGCCCTTCACAAAATGCGTGCAACTCGAGGCACCGTTATACAACAACGTCGGCACATTCCTGGTTGCCCCTGGTGCGTACTGCCGGACTACCTCGGTGGACAACTGTGCCAATCTGGGATCTGGAGATGCGATTCTGTTCCCACCGGGCAGCGAGGACTTCAAGAACTACAGTGGTGGGCATGCGGGAGACGCAAACTTGGGTGGAAGAACGGCGAGCTTCCAATGTCAGAAGTGCACGAATTGCACTTAGGAACATGAGTGGTTTTGGTTCTAGCGGCTTGTTGGCGAATGCATGTAATATGGTAGACGAATAATGACACTCCTTGAATCGTTCCGACGCGAAATGGGCCACGTGATTGTATACAGTCCGGTGCTATTGGCTTCCTCGGAAGTCAGAAGGAGAGTCTGCGAAACGACCTTGGTATGCAGATATGAAGTCTTCTGAGAGACACTAGACGGGTCGGTATATACAAAACCTGTGCCGCCTTTCTTCTAAGCGCAAGTCGACGCATTGGTAGCCAGTTTGTGGTCGGCTGGATTAGGAAGGTATACTGAGGGCGTACGTTCTCGTCCACCTCCGACCAAACCTTTTGAAGACAGCAGAAGCTCTCATGCAGGTTTGAATCGCCAGTCGTCCCAGTCCTCGTCTGAACCCTCATCGCTCGAACCTTCAGGTTCATCAGGCTTCGGGGTAGTGACCGCCTCCGACGTTATGGGAGCCTTCTGACTGGCCTCCCGTCCCCTTCGAAGCGCCTCGCGTTTTTCTCTGAGCTTCCTCACTCTTTCCTCCAGTTCTTCCATTTCGTCAAATTCTTCCTCCAGATGACGCGCGGCTTCCTCTTTTTCTTCCTCGAGCTCTGCGTCGCGTCTTCCTCTTTGCGCGCTCTGCTCTTCTCGTGCTTGTGCAGCTAGGTCTGCAGCGGTCAACGGTGCAGCTGCTATGACAGCATTCGTGTTTAGTGCCAGGATCGCCGCACGATTTGTTTCTTCCGAGGGTGGCATGGCAACCTCTCGCTGAAATGCTGCCCATTCATCCTCATCTACATCGCTATCTTTTATATGTGCGATCGGAGGAACAGCCGCGGTTATGGTTGCAGATGCTTTGGGTTGTTCTGCCTGAACGGGTGCTGGTGTTTCGACCACAGGTTTTTCTTCCACTGCCGACTCAGCCTCGAAGTAACCAGACGGAAGACTCTTGTCCTGCTTGGCCTTGTTCTTTTTGCGTGTTTGGGCAACTTCGTCATCATCGCTCGCTTTACGCTTCTTGCTCGTGGATGCAATCGTCGGTGGCACAGGAGCTCGTCTTTTCGTTTTGCTCTGCTCTCTTGCTGCCCGTTCTTGCCTGAGCATAGATCTGACGTCCGCCATGGTAACCTAAGTAGAAAAACGGGTATTCTGAGTGTAAAGTGGAATATGAGTAAAGGAAAGTTCAGTCAGTGAAATGTCAAACGGTGATCTGCTACCTTAGGCAAACAGCCCCTGGTCCACCGGGTAGGTTATGTAGCGTCTAACCTAGATAACACTAGCCTCTACTTTCGTTTTCACCCGGCGTCGACCCGAGGACCATACCTACCAGTGGACGGGACAAACGCAACTTACGTTATCAGAAAGCGCGTCCCTCGCTGTCCACAACTCCGCTTTGTCGAGGTCGCTATCTCACCTGCAGCTTTCCAACCTCGTTATACTTTCACCACCACTACCACTCCACCAACTTTTCATCATCTTCAACTCTACACATCCGGTTTCGCATGCTGCGCTCTTGGAGATTACCTCCACCTTTGAATTCAAGGTTCGTTTGCTCGTGTGACAATCTCTGTTGTCGCGTCGAGCCCCAATCGTAGCTTCTTTGCAGAGACGCTCAAGGTCGCCACGCGTCGCGCGCATTGGTCTTTATCGGAACGACCATATAGGGGGTCTGACCTGCGTGTAGGGAGTCAGGATTGACGGACTCTGATATTGGTGGTCTTGCGCATTGTCTTGTGCTTGCGCCCTGTTTGTAGCTCAGAGCTTGAAGTTTGAGAGATCGCGTACTATAAATATAATCGCCACCTGCCAGTGATTTCCGCGTACAGTTCATTTCCTTCGCCATGGCTGGTAAGCAAAAACAACTCCTACGCACGTACTGCGCGAATTCGGCTCGCAGAGACCTTTGTCGCCCACTCCATTAAAGATTCCAAAGCTAACACGCGCGCCTGCTACAGACGAACCACGTCGCTCTGGCCGAGCCACCAAAGGCCAGCACACAAAACTTGACGAGGAAGAGAAAGCGACAGCTATCCCTGCGAAGAGCAAGGGCGGTAAGAAAGGAAAAAAGATCAAGGGAAAGAATTTAAAAGCTGAGGAGGTAGTAGAAGAGGAAGAGGAAGAAGAAGAGGGAGATGATGAAGGTGCAAACGGGCCGGATGATTTTGTTCGCTGCATCTGCGGTGCTACAAAAGAAGAAGACGATGACGAAGGCATGCAATGGGTCGCTTGCGATACATGCGGTGCCTGGCAGCATCAGGATTGCATGATGCTGGACACCCAACCGTGGCCTGCCGAGCGCGACTACTATTGCGAACAGTGCAAACCAGAGGCGCACAAGGGCCTGCTTGCTGCTATCGACAGAGGGGAGAGACCCTGGGAACATATAGCCCGTCTAGCACCTAAGACAAAGGGTAAAAAGAAGGGCGCCAAGGCAGCAAACTCTAAGGCCCGTCTAAGTGAGGCAGCCTCAGCCAAAGCTGAGGATATAGGAACTCCGAAGCCTGGCAAAACATCAGCTAAAGGAACACCTGTCCCTCCAGCGAAAGCTACGACGCCAGCAGCGGCCAACGGCGCCTCGAGAAGCACTTCGGCCCCAAAGACCTCCGTAGAGGCACCTGCACAGTCAAAACGCAAACGCGCATCTGATGTCAAGGATGCTGGGCCTACAGAGAAACGCCTCAAGTCCGAGACACAATCGACCAATGCGTCAACATATTCCATTAACTCGCTCCCAGGCCCGCGACAAAAACTTATTAAGCCACTGTCTGACATCATCCAAAAGCAGGTTGGCGATCTTGTTCAGACTCGGAAGATCAATTTACCACCTGGACTGACCAACGCCTCCTATTCTGATGGTATAGCGCTCCAAATTGATCACGCTCTTGCCGCGGTACAGGGTGACCTCGAGGGCAAGGATAGTGCATACTTTCAACAATGGCAAAGTCTCAAGTTCAACATGAGCAATAACATGGATATATTATACAAGCTTTTGACCCAGGAATACTCGCCAGAAGTTCTCGCACAGATGTCTTCCGAGGATATGCTGAATGAGGAGCGTAAGAAGGAGAACGCAGCGCTGAGGGAGGCTGCTGAGAAGCAGTCAGTCATGATTCATGAAGATGGCCCACGAATCCGGAAGACACACAAGGGGGATGAATACATCGGTGGCGAAGAAGTTCAGCGTCAGAAATCCCCACTTCCGCCCCCGATCCATCGAGATAACGATGTGGTGGACGAACGAACGGGAGTCGACAGTGGTATCGTCGAGCAGACTGTGGGAGATCGTCAAGCGTTGACCGTCGACACTGGTGCCTTACCTGGATCACCACGCGCAGCAAGACAGGCCTCGGGTACCTTCGATATCAACAACGTTTACAGCAAGATAGGCTCACCGAATGACATTAATCGTAGGCCCTCAGAGGCTTTCCGGCGCCAGAGTTCTGCTGTCACCCCTGCGACACCCACGCCTCCGACGAAAGACGAGGATATTGACCGCTTGCTCCGTGTCGACGAACCAACCGAATCAGACTACACCAATAATCCGGATATTAAATGGGTCGGTAATGTGGTCATGGCACCCATACATAATTACCATGCATGCGGACGTCACATAGCTGGTGCTGATCTTGGACAAAAGCTCGACTGGAAACAAGTCATCCCAGAGACCCCTGAGATCCGCGGCCGTATAGATCCGACTCGAGCAAACGATTACATTGCAAGTCTACGGACTAGTAATTGTACAGACGTCAGCGTTATCAACCTAACGCCAGTCGACAATGAGTCATTCGAGCAGAAAGACAAGATTTGTAGCTATTTCCTCGATCGCGACCGCTGGGGTGTCGTTCACAATGCACCCAGAGACAAGGATCCCGATTCCCCCGTGCGAGACCTATACATCATTCCAGTAAAAGCCGATGCAATGCAATTGCCCCTGTTCATGGATATGCTCGAACACTGCACAATATCTGCGCCGCCTGAGGAGAATCTTCTACTTCTCTGCATCATCGCCCGTACTGCCACTCCTACAGTAAGCGCAGATGCTACACCTATGGACGCTCCCTCTGCGACACCAACTCACGCTGCAAGTCTTCCGCCTTCTGGAGTGGGTTCTCTGACAGGTCCTATGCCAACGCCTCAATATTCACCCATGGTTGGGCAGACCCCTGGGGCGCCGGTATCGTTTGGAACTCCTACTCCTACTCCACTTGCTCACATTGGTCCTGTAGGGTCGGCCTCTGCATTGAATATTTTAGGTACCCTATTCACGACGACGGTGGCACAGAAAATACTCGCGGCAGATCCGTCACCAGCAGAGGATATGCTAAGAAACCTAAAGCAGATTATGGAATCGTACCCGGAGACGAGAGAAGATATGTCGAAACTCATGGAGCACGTACAAAATCATAAAGGTCGTGCATAAGAGCCGTTGATGAAGACGTCTTTTCGGGTGGCTTTTTGGGCGGCATGATAATGACTCTTGAATGCTGCAAACTCTGATGTGGCTGAGGTCCTCGTTGGGGTCCTACAGCTTAAACCTTTGTTACTCATACCCCTATTCGCACGACTGCATGTGGTTATCGGAGGCGGAACGTGGTCATTCGTACACGAATTGCAATTTTTTGGACGTGCCATCGTCTTCTGCGCTGTATGCCGAAGCACCTTGTTTACTTGTTTCATACCGTTTGGTAGATCTTTCACACTTGAGGGCAGGACATGCGTTTTGATCAAACTACCTTACTTCACGCACAGCCATAAAATGTGCAGCCAGATCAGACTCTCGAGTTTGTTACGAGCGATAGCCTGTCACAGCAAAGATATTATACTGATGAATCCATGCAAAATCACACAATGCGAACATAATTACTTATGGCCTTATTACAACTTCACGCGCAACGACTCTTGTTTAAAATACCTTTTATTGACTCGGCCCAGCGGGGTATCTCGGCACGTCTCTATCCAGTAACCCGAGCTTGTCTTCTTGTGCCCAAGCACGAGTCATGTAGTCAATCCATCAAACAGTACAGTACCCATCTCACTCATATCTTCTTCTACTTCGCGTTCTTTCCCCTCTTGCGCTTCAAACGCCTTGATTGATGACCCTCCTCACAAAGTCCACCCTTCTCACAATGGGTATCCTCAAACGCGCCGCCACCCTTGCCTCTCTGTCCATCCCCACCAGTTACGCCGCCTGGACACTCTATACCCGCAACACGTCTTTTGTGCCCTTCACATCCTACCCCGAATCCACCTCGCTCAAACGTCTGAATCCACGCTCAAATCCACCCGCGTGCATAGACCATGCTGTGCGACGCGTACCGCTGTCTAAACTCAAGACCCAGAATCAGGAGGAATTGACGAAGAGGTTCTGTCAGGGGATCTGGGGCGGGCTGGGCTTTGCATATCAGAGGAGGTTCCTGGAGAAGAAGTATAGGGCCTTGGAAGGAAGGGAGGGACATCTGTGGGAGAAGAGCGAGTTGAAGGCGAGTGCGTATGACGAGGGAACGGCAATTGCGGACCATTTTGAGGTTGTGGAGAGGGCGTTTGACAAGGTGGGTGAACATACAATCTCTAGCGGAATCAAACTGGTCTCTTGTGATACAAAGAAAGAGCTTTTGGGGAAGAAATAGAGAACCTATGCTGACGTGACCCCAGGTCGTAGTCCGCTGCGGCGACAGTCCCCTAAAGCGTGACCCACGTCCCTCAGATGGCATTTTCGAGATGCAGGTCACAATAGAGGACCACGATGCTGTCTTCCATCTCAAGAGCGTATTCTTTAATTCAACGCCCGACGGCACGGTCAAGGCGCAATTGCCTTGGTGGTTCGACTGGGGCCATAAGCAATACACCAAGTTGTGGATGGAGACGAGTGTCAGAAAGTTGTTGAAATGAGAGAATCTTGCTGCGGATAGGATTGGAGGAGGTATAAGCGAATAGCTCTTGAGAGCATGCGTGTCGAGAAGGGCGAGCAAACCACTGCTCCTTCTTTCGAGCTCAAGGATACTGGCGAAGGCGGCCTCCCGAGCCAGCTAGGTCATGAGGCTGTGAGCTGGGCAAATATGGGCCACCGGGACTTTCAAGAGGTCCTGCTGACAACAGCAACATATACTTCCTCTAAACTAGGAGATACACCTATTATGACAGCGTCTCAACATAGCAGGTAAACACATGACTCTATGCGACTAAGTAATAGATATCATCCTTTGATGATTACTCTGATTCAGCATACACAACCCTACATCTCGTAGGGAATTGCTGTAGAACACGGCTTGCTCTAATAAGACAGAAGAAATGCTATCTTACAACGTCGCATAAGCCGTGTAAAGCTCTACTCGATAGATATGGAAATATTATGACAACACTGTCAAGCTGTAGAAGCCTTGAGATAACAAGTAAATAGGGCATTCACCTCGTCTGAAGAATTACACAGCGCGTGGGTAGGGAACGGATGTTTGAGTCCTGGGACAGAGAACAACTACGTCGTCGTGCCCTTTGTGTGCGAGGAAAGGCGACACAAATCAGTGTCAGATTGCTTCGAATGTGATACTTTTTGACAGTCAAATGAATTGGGGTTCTTGATAGAAGCTTTATAAAGGTGCAATGACAAGCTGTATTTCCTGGAGAAGCAACGCATCCTTCGCTTCTTTGAAGACGGGACTGGCCTATTACATGGCTGGAAACTAGTTTTTGTCACTCTTATTGCAACGGAGGTAACACGCGCCTTTAACGGGAATATTTGAAAGAGTCCCAGTTCTGTGATTACAGTGTAGTCTATTATGGATCGACGCGTTACTCCCTTTTTTTAAAATACCACCATGAAGTCTGTTGAAGTAGAGCTCTCTTCCAGTAGAAAAGTTAGCTTGTAACAGCACAGAAACCCTCTACTATATAAGCCCAGCATACCATATTGTGATATTTATCCGTACTAGTACATTGGCATCGTAACCTCGTTTCTATAGTTGCACGTTCTTGCCCTCAACCCATCGTATCATACATGTAAGAACCCCCCTGATTGCTCGAAACGCATGCTGGCAGAGATCGGTTGCTTTGCCACCACTTTGCCGACTTGTTCCGAGTCTTTCTTCTTCCTCTTCCCATCCACTACTTACTTTCCCAAGTCTTGCTTTAGTCTCTCCATCAATTCTTCCCCGACTCTCTCCTCCACCAGCTGCGGTATCTCCACTATGACCACCCTCACGAACTCCCTGTCTCCTGGCCCATCTGGCCCTGTAGCATATCTTGCTTGGTATAATGGCTCAAAGACCTCGACGAAACGCCGCATTATTGCGTCTCGGATGGAGGCTACCATCGCGGGATGTACGTCGAAAGAGAGTTCTTCAGGCATCATAGGGGCAAGAACGAGGGTTGTGATGTGGCAGTTGATTATGGCGCGGATCGTAGGTCGGAGGCTAGTGATTAGCGCGTGAATCGAGGCAATGGTGAGATGCTCTATGTCCCAGGGAATAGGGGGCGTGTATATCGTGTTTAGATATGGTTGGAGGCTAACGACCGTATGTGCAAGGTGGGCGTATAGGGGCGCTGAGAGATGTCAGATTCTGTTCTGAGGGAGACGGGTTATGGTTGCCAGAAAATAGGGTGGCTCTCAGGCCTAGGTGATAAGTATTATGTTGAAACTGGGCTGTTTCTCCGATGAAGTCGTGTGGTAAAGTTTTTATTTACCTTCTTGGTCAAAGTTTGAAGATCCTGGTCGTTGTGCTGAAGACTAGATGAGCTCCCGAGTGAATGTGTTTGAAGATCTACGAACCGTGAGGACGATCTGCATCCTGCAGTATAGCATTTGAATGGCGTTGTAGGTTGGCTATATAGCCGACTGTCGCTATGTAGCTTGGGTGCATCTCATCGCATTGATCGTCAGTGGCCTGATTTTGATTGCTGTTCATGACGCCTGACGAAGCCGACAGTCTGCGAACTTGATTAAGTTCTTTGTACGTCTTCAGATGTTAAAGATGTGAACATACTAATAATAGTAGCTTGCATTCGTTCGATTTGAGTCTAGGGAGGACTTCTGTGTGTCACTAAAGTTGTGTCGGACCCTTAGACAATCACAACGTGGTCCTCTCTGACAAACCCGGTACATATTATCAACATTTATCCAGCGCTTACATGTCACGCTTGAAAATATGTATTCTATCAGTATCTTCCGACTCAATCTCACTACGATCGTTGCCTGGGTTACTTCTTCAGACATGTCACAGTCATAGCAATGGTTATATGGATTTTGTAATCACTAGGAGGATATTCTTCGGGACCATTGGATTGGAAATATACCAAAAGAAAGTATACGGAATACAATACCATAAAGGAGCTAATTAAAACCACTATCACTAATATTTCCAGATAAATAAAGATTTTTGGGCTCCTGAGAAGGTGGTTACGTCCTGTCCCTCTCAAGTCTTTATATCCCTGCGCTCTACCTCCGAGAACCTCTGACTACCAGCGGTAAGTGAGACCGCCCTACTCAATATCCGAAGGTAAGATATTTCTCCTTCATTCTCCATGCTTAGCATCGAGTCGGTGCTGATGGTTCCCGGATATATCCGGACAACCGCTCAGGAAATTCTTCATATCATACTTCGATATTGACGGAGGAGAACCGAACTCTTCTAGCAGCTCAGTCCCGATACTCACATGCTGGCGAACGAAACACGTCACTCCCTTCTACTGACTTGCAGCATCATGTCAGTACAGTTTGACTGTTACGTGGGATGCTGTGTCTAGCATTCTCAAGATACTTCGAGACCCTTGCTTTCTACGGGTCTAGAGCCATACACGAAGCATATCATAGGATTCCCTTGTTACAATGGGACGTCCTCCCATATGTAAGTATATCAGAGCCAGCTTCAATGACAGCTATGACTCAGGGAGAGGGCTGTTAAGATCCTTCCATGCTTATGATATACTGGAAAACGCTACTATCTGGTCTACTTTCGCCACATTACACAATCCCACCGTTCCTCGAATTGATTTACAAAATTACTCATAACGCTAATCTCAAGTAATGGCCCTCTGCGGGGAAATAGAACCGCGAATGATATTCGAGCTAGTCATCCATTTCAGTTCGAAGACTTCGTTGTTGAGACCAATTTCAATGCCGACTTCATCCTAAAAATACATTTGGGATCTGCCAATCATAGAATACTGACAATCACTATGATGAATCTCTATCGATACAATTTGGCGTTGCTGAGCCTTGGGATACATCAGGGAGAACCTAAACCGAGAGGTTATGATGGCAGGGGGTACTGGAACGGTTGTGGAGGAGATCCACAAGCGAGTAACACGATTTAGCGCTGTGAAACATGCCAATATACAACACGGAACCAGGGTTCTAGAGTTTGAACCTTCCCTGATGACTGCTATTTCAGCATACCTCTCGGCATCCTTCACATGTGATAGCGCGGCGCACTACCATATGTAATATTTAATCAAGAACTTGGCAAACTCGAGGAAGAAACATTGATATCTAATCATTTATCCGCCCAACTGGATATAGATATCCATGGAGATTGTTATAATTAACGCAAACTGCAGGCTGATGTTGCTATTGCAGATGCTACGGACCGATCGTGGAATAGCATTTTACGTTCATGTTTGTACGTTGGAACTAAAGCCGTAATTCTGTTTGAGTTATTTCTATGGTATCTCCGCGTCACGAAGAGGAATAGTGAAGAATTCTATCGGACATTGTTGTGTCAGGGTACCCCTTGTATGGCCTCTCAATATGGGATTTACCACAGCACCAAGGTGAAAGTTCATTCGCAGGATCACCCACATCCCACTCTATCTTAGAGTCTCGCAACTTCTCTTCACAAAAGAAAGAGCATCACGTTGGATTGTCCAATATGGCCTTCAACCATATCGCAGTCCCGATGAGCGACTCAACGCCAGCCACTGCTCCACCAGCAGGTGTGACGTCGAACTTCACCAACCCTGCTACCTTGGAACACCTTATGAGGAATATGATATATGTGCTTTTGCCAGTCATAGTATGCCATGTACTGCTGAGACTTGTCACAGGAATTGGAATAAGACAGAAAGGGTTTGCGTGGGACGACTGTAAGCTCGATTTTCCGAGGGAAAGGAACTAGACAGTTTGCTGACACTCTTAGATCTCTGCTACATTGCCCTGGTGAGTGATTTTCCATTTATTTACAGCGCTGAACTTCGCTTACAAGACGCAGGCTACCAACATTGCTTGGGCCGGCACCCTTCTAGCTCGTAATCGAAGACCAACACATATGAAGGACTGATATTGACTGCTATCATCTAGTCGCTGGCAGTCCTTTAGGACCTCATCAATGGGATGTTCAAGCAATCGATATTTCCGAGCGTTTCATTGCGGTGAGAGCACACGTTTGTTTGGAAAGAGATTTGAATTAATTGCTCCTAGCTTACGTTCTTGAGCATCCTTTTGTACCTCATCACGAACGCTATAATCAAGAACAGCTTTTTTATACTCTACTGGAGACTTTTTGAAGGCTTCGTAGAGGTAAAATGGCCTTTGATGATAGGAATCGTTACTATCACGTCCTTCTATCTAGTCAACGTCGCCCTATACACCTCGATCTGTTTCCCTCAACCTGGAGAGTCGTGGATCAAGGCATCCATCTCCAGCCACTGTGTAAAGGCAAACTTCCAGTTATCCGCTACTTCTGGGGTATTTGGCGTCGTCAGCGATTTCTACGTATTCCTGCTTCCTATTATTTTCCTCCAGAAGGTACCCACGTCGTGGAGAATAAAGTGTGGCTTACTGGGCGTATTTGCCTCCGGTCTATTGTAAGGACAAATGATTGTGTCGTCTCAATCCCTAATCGCTCTATAGGGCTTGTATATGCTCCTTAATTGGACTTTACTACCGAGTTAAAGTACAAGGTTCAGATGACTCCACCTGGGTACAAGTCCCAGTATATGCTTTGGGGTAAGTTAAAGCAGCTTGAGCACGCCCTTTATGCTAATAAGGAGCCGATGGGTAGAATAGCCGAAATCAACGTAGGCATCATGTGCGCCTGTATGCCTGTAATATATACCAATCTCAAAGGTCTCCCAACGAAACTACGTTCAGGGCTAGAATCGGTCCTTTCGATAGTTGGTTTATCGAACGGCAGTGGTGGGCACACAAATAGGGAACAAATATCGGATGATGATAATGAAAGAGATATTGATGGGAAGGACTTCCATAGACAGGAGCCATTCCCAGCATCTTCGCATCGCATTGACTCATACCCTCGACAGACAGTATTTCACCTGGACGAGAATTCGCCTCCCGAGCAAACAATCATGCGTGAAGACTCCTACATTGTCACATCAGTCTCGACGGTAGATTCATATGAAGAAATAGAATTAATGCCGACTCATCAGGCATGGATCCACGGTGGCGGTTCGAAGCGAACATAGACAATAACTTGCATGTACCAGGCCAGTACTCTTGGCAAGGCAAGGGCCAGTGTAGACATACGAGAAGAAGATAGAAGAGGGGGCTATGACATAACCATATTGGAAAGTATGACAACAAAGGAAACATCGAGGTACAACATAACACCGAGTCTTGGCATTTTACGCATTGTAATTGAATGAAAACCAACACATCTCCAATAGAAGACAGAGGATATACTACGATGGAATGCTGACTCATCGAATCTAGTCAGACCCGTGTTCCTTAGGCCGCGATGTGATGGTGGAATTGCTTCTAGACATAGAAGTTGGAGATGTCAGCCTCGATGGTGTGCTGATGACATGACCTGAAGCTCCTTATAAGTTTGCCAGGAGACCTGTTTCATGTGTGACAATGCAAGGCGGCATGGGATATTATCACGCAAAGACAGCACGTACAGTGTATCTTTGGTTGAGATACTTGGTCGAATCGTTCTGCTGTAAAGTTAACCCTAGGTCCCACTACATACTCGAGTTGACGCAAATGGTCTATATTCGTACATGTGCTACATTGTCTTTGAGACCTTCGCACAGTATACACCCACTGCGGCGCAAACAACCTTGTTCTGTCCTCTCACTCGTGCGTGCTGTCACTTCTGTATCTATTAAAGATGAATCTCATTATTGATGAAGCCGTCGTGGCTTTCAACGCTCTGCAGAGCGACGGGTGCCACGTACGTCGGAACGCGTGCATGTAGCAAAACCACCAATTGACACAAGGCTGAAGACATGCTTGCTCGACTCTTTCCGCGTGTTCTGTCTTGTGACACTATTTTTAGAACAGGTGCCTCTTCCGGTTCCTGGCACAGCAGCACTGCTCAACTCGATTGGAACCATACGAAACGAGTAGACCTTGTCTGAGTGGCTATAGCTGAACGTTGCTGTCATTGCCTGCAGACTAATAGCATGTGATGAGTTCTACTATATGTGCTCGGCCGCTCCTGCAGCTGGGTCTTGAAACGTAAGCCTATGCATGTCGGATCCGGGGGAATGACACATGACAATATGCCATAAAATGGTCATGGTCTTGCTTTTACAGCTATAAGACCTGTAATCGGAAGTTTTGAAGTTCCCTCGCGAACGCAGTAGCCTGTGACACTCCCTACCTCCGTTTTGTAGTTCCCATGTGCTCGGCATCGTAACGTAAGACTCTCATATGCGATGTCTCTTGCTCCGGCGAAGAGTTTGCGATATCTTCTTCCTCTCACTTCTGGAGCTTGCCATGCTCAGAGCCAGAGTATCGTCGTCGTCAGAGTCTCGAGCTCTTTTCCGAGAGCGCTGCGTTGCTGATCTAACTTCATCCTGAGTAGAATCATCCCCATTTCTACTTTTGTCGTTTCTTTTGGCCTGCGTTTGGGAATCATCATTTTCAACCTGCTGTGAGAAGCTTTTTGCATCTTGACTTAGACAGCTGTTCTGGCTAGGGACTGATACTAGCAAGGGTTGTGACTCTATTGGAAGAAGCTTTTCGTCTATCAAAGGACAGTATGGACCATGAGGCTCATTGGTCAATTGGCCATTATTCGTTGCAAGTATGTGCAAAACGTAGATTGCTAGGTTCACCGTAAGGGCTTCATTCCCTTTTGCGTGCCAGGAGATCGATCGGTACTCCACTGATGCGTTGTCTTGAATATGCTGTCTAAGCTCTTTTCCATGGAGGTCAGGTAGATGACTGTCAGGGCGGTAGCTGCACCGTAGAACCACTAACTCTTGGTGAGTAATAATGTAGCCATACCGAGTGTTACTCGAAATGCAATAGTAAAGAACCTGACGGATTGGCCATAGAGCATGTTGAAGGCCTTGAGGGACCGCGAAATCTCGTTTCCTGTTGACAAGGCCATCTAAATGCGAGCTATGCCATTTGATACCACATTTGGAGTCTCCTGGTAGGATCGAACTGTGCTGCTGCCTATCGCATATTGCCCCCCAATCAGGTTTTGTTTTATGCTCATCAAACGTCAGGGTAGATTGAGGTCCAATCACCATATGGACATTTTGTCCCAAAAACCTGACGGCCGTTTTACTGAGGGCATGATCAATAATTGTGTGGTTCCACTTGAGCACAAGAGCTTCGATTGATCTCTCTTCCACAATTGTACGACTGTTCGCATCAACTTCCATAGGCACACAAAGATTCGGCGTTTCTGCTTTCAGTAATACCCAAAGTCGCTTATCGAAGAGCACTTGTAGAGTTTTGATCGAAAATTCCGTCCATGGTTTGAGTCTCCGGACCGTTGGGTAGTAACTTCGCTTGCTGACAGAAGTAGATTTAGCGCGGTGACGTTCAGAGAGTGTAACAACGGGATTCGGAATGGTCAAAAGCTCTATGACAGTTCTAGGAGGCGCCATCGCTGGAGAATTTACGATTCCATCAACTGGGGCTCGGAAAGGTCATATATAAGTCTACTCGGTCGAGAAGTCTGTCTATGCCCCACTGATGGGGCAGTGAAGTTGGGGTCTGCATATTAAAGCAATCAGATGTAACAGCGAATGCGCTAAAGCCCAGGTTTGTATACTGTTTTCTAGGGTGATCCAGTTTTCCAGTGTGATAAGCCGACAAGGCTGAAACATCGAGTATCATCTAGATCGGTGGGAAATCCTTTTTTAGCACTGAAGCTTCTGGGCATCATGCCGATAAGCCAATACGAGGATGCCTGCTCGGGTGCTGTTTCCTCATGCCCTCGGTGCTCAGCTCTGATTGCCTTATTGCGGCACAGGCGCATACCCAGGAGGGCGCATAACAAACTAGTGCGCATACAGAGGGCGCGTATTAGGTACAGATCCGAGCGCGTAGATCAGGGCGGGTACATATCAGGACGCATATAGACTAAGGGCGCATATAGCCTACCGGAGCTAATTAAGATTCCATTTGTTGGACTTGTCCGTAGCCATATTGGGACCTAGGAATGGATAACTTATTAATTACCTGTGAGCACGGTGCCGGGACGAGCATAAGTATATAACTAGACTAAGTAGTCACTAGCCCTGATCAGCTTAGCGTTTCCATAGTGGAGAGGCGGGCTGTCTCCCAGCCACTTGCAGATATCAATAATAAACAACCGACGAACAGCCATTTCCTACAACTATCAGGTTAGGAGATTTCAGCATACTCACAATGACGTCGCGCACCCCGGTCGATCTCTATGGAAAAGCAGCGCTACCTCCTTGCGATGGGCCGCGTCTTAAGCCATTTAAGTATCGCAAAGAATCCATTGAATTTGTTAGTCTGCTCAGTGAACCGCCGTCGAGTAGCCCAACCGGAGCATGCGCACATGTATTCAAGGTTAAGTTTGGAAAGAGAGGCTATTACGCTTTGAAAATTGTAAGCTCCTTTGGATCGAGAGAGACAATTTCTGATCGCATCAAGTTCAAGTTTAAGAAGATTCAAGACTTAAGAGGAGAACAATGGGCACTATCCAATGAAAACGTTAGCGATGATGATTTGGTATTCCATTCTGATCCCTTCTATGCTGAGTGCAGGGCTTATGGAAAAATCGAAGAGATTGAAGAGTCGATGGCGCGAAAGTCCTCAAAGGCTTCCCAGAGAGTTGCAGCTCAACAGATCCAATCCTCTACCAAACAAACGAAGCGGAAATCCAGATCCCAAAAGAACAGCAGAAGTCAGGTAACATCTAAACACAGCGTCGATCGCGAGGCTCATAGACTTGCTGTCCCCTGTTATGGATTTATGGGTTTACCCCCCACGTTTGAGGCATTGCTCGCAGAGAGATTTGGTATATTCGACTGGGATCGCTCATCTTCAGACGAATCCATGTCCCAAGATATCCGAGCACCATTTCGTGCACTGGTTAAACAGCTTGTTGAGAACAAGCCTGCATTTGGCCGTCCACGTAAGATGCTAGCAGACCTGAAAATTCTCAGAGCTCATGAGATCTACCAGAAAGACATTGCTGCTCGCAACTACATGAATGGACTTCTCGTGGATTTTGGGGCGGCATGGACCAGCCCTCATTGGTGTCTCGAGACACTTTCGCGAAACCAGTTACATTACGAGCTATTCTCGGACCTATTTGAATGGGATCACATGATGCGTGAAGAGATCCCAAGCACTGTTGTCAGAGCAGCCCCTCTCACTAGTCGTTTATTAAGCTTGAGGGATTACAGAGAATTAGGTCATGACATGAAATATAAAAATGCATGATATTCACGCTCACTACCGTCGAGGCCAGACCTTTTTGCTGCTCGTTGTTCATTAATGCTATTGAAGATCGGGAATTCATAAGCAGCTACAATTAACGTAACCAAGTCGCTGCCAGAGGCTTAATACTCAGTGATTTACACACGCTGACCTCTGGAAGCGCAATAGTGCTGTTAGGTCTTACAACTACAGATGAAATCTTGCAGTAACTTGCTCCATATATCTAGTCGGTCAAACCAACTTTAGGGCTATAGTCCAACGCTCAATAATGAAGCTTTTAAGCGCTACTCAGACAAGTTAGTATCCAAATTCCTCAAAGTGCTCCACCTGTAGTGTCATGTACCCGAACAACAAAGCAAGCTTGCTATAATACTATAAATCTAGCAAGCAGGAAACGAACTGATGCCAAATAGACTATCTTGAGTCAATCGTTTCGACCAGATAGGACCTTCAGCTTCTACTCTGAATCGTGCTAACTACCTCGGAGAAACCTGACCCAGTGAAACCGCTTGCGGTCTGGTTTGCGCACTCGCAATACGCCCTTGGACATCATCTATTAAAGGCCGCTCTTGTGAACTGTTGTGATTAATCCCCTCCAACGTCCTCGCCGTATGCTGATGTTCTCACATGGCGCTTACAAGAGACTCGTGAACTACGGCTATGGAATGCTGTTTCGGATAGACACTGGGATATATCATTCGAGAAATACAACCACAACTACGTCGACACTGCAACAATTAGACGATATGCCAACAGATCCCCTCGCGAGACCTTCCGCTCAGTTACATCATCAAACTCGAATGCCGAGGCCGACAAGTCCTTTTTCTTCCACCGCGGGGCCTACGATCCCGTATCTATCACCGTCGCCGAGTAAACAAAACAGCCTGGCACTCTATATGAGACTCTCACTCTCGCTTCTCTACATATGATGGACTAGAGCACCAAACCTGTGCTTGTCATCACTGGTGAATCCGATCTACCGTTATATAGAGGGACTATCTCATTACTAGAAACGTACAGATGGCGTACAGATGATATTCCTAAACATGGAGACGTGGAAGCTTGAGGCATAGATCCAGCCAGTCACTGGCCACGGCATCAGCGCATAACAACTCTGCTGCGGCATACGAGGCCATCCAGAGCATTATGTCTGCCCAGGGGCTGTGACCATCCATAGCGACGCAGTAGATGACAAGCAAAATGCAAAGCACTGTGTAGAGTCAATTAAGATGAAGCACGCCGACAAAATAATATTGTAGTAGACGACCAATTGACCTCGCACAAACGACGAAAGGACTATAATTGTATATATAGTCATATTTAGTAATTCAACACCAGAACATAACATGCAATATGCCAAGCCCAATAGTTTTCAGCGTCGCCTTTTGGCCCCGACGACCTGCCTCAGCAAGCGCTAACCTCAACGATGGATCGATCGATGTGCATGTATGACCTCACACCTCACCCGGTACCGCGGAGATAATGGACCTGACACCCCACTCCTTTTGCCTATCCTTGCTGCCAATGTCTAGGTTCCTATGTTTAAAAGTGCATTCTTTCTCTCATTCTGCAATACGCGAACATCTCCTAAACACGATTCTTCCCGAAATACTGGATATACCAAAATCGCATCATGGCTACAAAAGTCTTCGCGCGTGCCAACACCGCGCTCATAACAGGCGGCGCATCGGGTGTCGGGTACGCCGTGGCCCATTTATGTCTCAAGCATGGCATGAAAGTAGCAATTGTGGATAACAATGCCGCAAATCTAGCGAAAGCTAAGACTGAACTGAAGTCTGCGGATGTCGAGACTTATAGTGTTGATGTAAGCAAGCTGGAGCAATGGACTGAGTTGAAGAGCAAGGTGGACAAGCAATTGGGTGGCAGGATCGATTTGCTAATGCTGAACGCCGGTGTGAGCGGTAAGGCCGATTGGGGGGATGCAGCGTATTTCAGGACGGTGAGAATACTCTTTCAGCCACGGCCTTTAGGTAGTAGCGATGCAACAGGCGCGTCCACCTGGCTAGTAAGACTGACGATTATATAGGTCCTTGACACCAATCTCTACGGCGTCATCAACGGCTTGACGACCTTTGTACCCGTCATGCAAGCACAGAGCCAAGACAAGCCCTCGGCGATCGTCATTACGGGTTCGAAACAAGGCATCACGAATCCCCCAGGGAACCCGGCGTATAATGCCTCCAAAGCTGCCGTGAAGACGCTCGCTGAGCACCTGTCCTACGACCTTCGAGACACGCCCACTTCTGTGCATCTGCTGGTGCCTGGGTGGACATACACTGGACTCACGCGCGCCGCCGGGGCAAATGAGAAACCGGCTGGCGCGTGGTGGCCGAGCCAGGTAGCCGAATTTCTGTATGAGAAGATGGCGAAAGGCAGCTTCTATGCGATTTGTCCAGACAATGATGTCGATGAGAAGACGGACAAGAAGCGCATGATGTGGGCGCAGGGAGATATCGTGTTTGATCGGCAGCCGTGTAGTAGGTGGAGGAGTGAGTATAAGGAGGAGAATGCAAAGTGGATGAAGGAGAATGAGTTTTAGCGGTGTGGCTACGTGTCAGTGAAGATGGATGAAGGTGGGGGCAATATAGACCAATATAGCACTGCTTCCGTGCTCTTGACTGTATAGTGTGCTTCTGGCGGACAGCTAGGTATGTGTCAAGGAGTCTGTCCTTTCGTCTTGCCGTACGCACCGCCAGCAGCTTTGCGCATCTCTAGTGCACGTTTGTATGGTGGTGCTGTGGGTGGCTGTACAGGGTCGAGAGTCGTCCGGTCTCTGGGTAGATGATATGAAGCATCGGCATCAAACGCAGAAAGGTCGCCACAAGCAAGGAACGGCGCCACCCAACTGACATCTGTGTCCAAGCCAAGATCCAACTCCGTGACACCATCACTCCTTGTCTTTCGGGACGACGTCACAGTCTCCACTGCAGAGATAAGCGTCTCTGGCGTCACGTTTGATCGTGCCCCGAGTGGCTCTTCCAAGCTTGCCTTGAAGCCTTTCGGCGGACGAAACCCAATACACACCACAAACGCCTCCAAACTGCTCGCTCGACTACTCCGGGGCTTCGCGACCCAGACTTTCTCGAACATAGTCTTGAGCTGTGCATACAGCACATCAACATCTCTGCCTCGGAAGATCTTCGCCACGAACTTCCCACCCGGCTTCAGCACACACAGCGCAAGATTGAGCGCTGCCCATAGAAGTTGACTCTGTACGTAGATATCCAGATCATGCAGCCCAGTCACGTCGGGCGCACCATCCGAAAGCACCAAGTCTACAAGCTGCGACGCGGATGTCGAGGCAGCGTCGAATGTGTCTGGGTCGAGCGCTTTGAGAAGAAGTGGAACTGTAGACGGATGCGTGATATCAGCGCGTAACATCGTGATCCCCTCGAGTGGGCTCATAGGTTGCAAATCAATAGAAACAATCTTCACGCCCTGGCGTGGCTGCAATTTATGCTTGACATCCTCCTCTACATGTGGCGCTTCTGTCTCGCCGGATATGTATGCGCGATTTGCGGCTTGCCTGTCTTCCCATTCCACACGCCCAAACTTCTCGCCCTTGATCAGAATCCGGGATAGCACCTGACTCCAGCTGCCTGGTGCTGCGCATAGGTCGACGACGCGAGTTACATCTTCGAAGAGGTTGAATTCTTCGTCGAGCTGGAGAAGTTTGTAGGCGCTGCGGGCGCGCCAGCCTTGTTCTTTCGCAAGCCGATAATAAGCATCACGCTTATCTTTCGATGATTTTCCCATGGCGAGAATCTGCACTGCTGTAACAAGCGCAGGGAGTTACTAATATTTGTGCTGAAATGATAAATTCATCGAGAAGTTTAGACGTGGGGTTCGGAGCAGGCGATTCTAGGGAGTCGCGAAATTTTCGTCACCCCGAAATTTTCTGCCCTCGATTATTGTGCGATTATTATGATAAGTCAACCATCCCAAACAGAATGGAAAAGCGAAAGCGCAATGATAAGCAAACTACTTTGGCAAAGTCGAGGAAGCGGCACCGGTCGAACGACAAAACAAGCGATTTTCCAGCTAAGGAGCCTACGAGCGGCGGGCAGCATGTGCGACTCGATAAGCTACACTGGAAAGACGTGGAAATACCTGACCGCATGGATGACTATGAGGGATTCTTCGGACTCGAAGAGATTGATGATATTGAAGTTGTTAAAGCCGACAATGGGTTGGTGTCGTTCCGAGATATGAAGCCGGAAAGCAGAGCAGAGCAAGCAAAGGACGCTGGAGACAGATCTGATTCAACCAAGGAACAGTCAAACGATGCGCAAGAGATCGATGAAGAATGGGAAGGCTTTAGTGACGAGTCCCGTGCCTCGTCAGTCACGGAAAGGAAGACAGAGTCTGACTCGCCTCAACAGGCGCCAGAAAGGAGTCCTGAGGAGAACGATGAGCACTCTGCGGAGGCCACTGACATGAAGACGACAGAGGAAAAGAGATCTAAAAAAGAAAAGGGCATAGCAAAGAAGGGTGGTAAAGTGGTAAAGTTGAAAAGTAGTCGTACAAATCAAGAAGCCTCCGAATTTGCAGGCCTCGAAGACGAAGCTCTAGAGGATGAGGAAGCTGACGTCTCCGCCTGGTTCCCTCTCGATTTGTCGGCAGAGACAATGCTTTCTCTCTCAAAACTCAAATTTATTCGTCCAACACCTATTCAAACCAGTTCGATTCCCGAAATCATGGCTGGGCACGATGTCATAGGCAAAGCTTCGACTGGCTCAGGAAAAACACTGGCTTTTGGCATTCCAATACTAGAACATTTTCTGAGTAATAACAAAGATGCCACTAGGAAGACAAAAGATTCAAAAGCAAGCCCTTTGGCTTTGATACTTTCCCCGACTCGTGAATTAGCTCATCAGATCTCTACACATATGAAGAATCTTGTGTCTGCAGCAAACCTCGATCGACCGTCCATCGTCACTCTCACAGGCGGATTGTCTATTCAAAAGCAACAGCGCGTTCTAGAGTATGCAGACATACTCATCGGCACACCGGGTCGAGTTTGGGAGATCATCAGCAAAGGCCACGGCACCGTCGAATGGTTCAAGAAGATACATTTCCTCGTCGTCGACGAAGCCGATCGCCTCCTCAGCGAAGGCCACTTCAAGGAAGTTGAAGAAATCATGGATCTCCTCGACGCCAAAGACACCGATGAATACGATAACGTCCTGGAAAACCAGTCCGGCACCCGCCAAACCCTCGTTTTCTCCGCAACCTTCCACAAAGGCCTGCAACAAAAGCTTACTGGCAAGACGAAGGCCAGCGGTGATATTCTCTCTCAAACGGAATCCATGCAATACCTCCTAAAAAAACTCAACTTCCGTGAAGAGAAACCTAAATTCGTCGATGTGAACCCAGTCCATCAAATGGCCGCAAAGCTGCGCGAGGGCATGGTCGAATGCGGCGCCACTGAAAAAGACCTTTATCTGTATGCACTCCTGCTCTATCACCCACAAAAACGTACTCTTGTCTTCACCAATTCCATCTCTGCTGTCCGCCGCGTCACGCCTCTGCTCCAAAATCTCAACCTTCCCGCGCTCGCCCTACATTCCGGCATGGAGCAGAAGGCCCGCCTGCGCTCTATCGAACGCTTTACACAACGCGAAGGCTCCATCCTCGTCGCCACGGACGTCGCTGCTCGTGGCCTCGACATTTCCGGCGTGCAGCTCATCCTTCACTATCACCTTCCGCGTGCCGCAGACATGTACGTGCATCGGTCCGGACGTACGGCGCGCGGGTCGTCCAGTGGCGCCAGCATCCTGATCTGCGCGCCGGAAGAAGTGCAGGGCGTGCGCCGGCTCGTTGCAAAGGTGCACGCGCGCGCAGGCTCGGCCGCCGACGCGAAGAAGAGCGGCTACTACATGCGCAGTCTGAATATCGATCGTCGTATCGTATCGCGCCTCAAGCCTCGCGTCACTCTTGCGAAAAAACTTGCTGATACAACGATCGCCAAGGAGAAGAAGACGAGCGAGAGCAACTGGATGAAGGAGGCTGCGGAGGAGCTGGGCGTCGACTATGATAGTGAAGAGTTTGATAAGAAGGCAACTGGGAGGCAGGGGCGCGGGAATAAGAGACGACAGAAGGAGCGTGAGGCGAGTCAGATGTCACGCGAGGCGGCGCAGGCTGTCAAGGCGGAACTGAAGGGACTGCTGGCACAGAGAGTGAATGTAGGCGTGAGCGAGAAGTATCTGACAGGGGGTAGGGTGGATGTGCAGGCGCTGTTGAAGGCAGAGAAGGGGGAGTTCTTAGGGCATGTTGAGGGTCTGGGTTTTGATGAAGAGTGATGTTGTGCTGATATAGGCGAAATCTACGGCGCAACCAGCACGTCCGAGGCAACCTTTCGATATGCGGTCTTACGACAGACATTATTGATACGTCACGGTGATCGCAGCTATGCTGCAGAACAGGCAGCGGAAGCCAGCCTTCTACGGATACATATACAAATACCCATGCTCTCCAATTACGGACCTAATTGATACCTCCCAATCCTATTCCTCAACGTCTGCGAGAAATAAATGGCATTATCATCTCCGCCATTGTAATGAATCGCGATATTCAAACCTGGCGGCACGCCCAGCGGCTGCGTGATGCCATTATCCGGCATATCAATAATCGTCGTCACGCCATTCGTATCAATATACTGGATCGTGTTCCTGCTCGCCGTACTATACCACATACAATCATGCCGCGTGTCGACCGTGTTCTCCGTCGGCAGACTGGCCAGGCCCAGCAGGCCCGTGTCGTGGAACACCTTAATCTCGTCCGTGGCCATGTCAAACCGCACATTTGTGCCGGACAGGAAGCCAGTGAACCAGATGTATCGCTGCTCGGTCTCGGCGCGCACGACGACGATGCCGAGGCCGTCGAGCGGGAGTGGGTACTCGGTGAAGGTCTTGGTCGAGGGGTTGAATTTGGCAATCTTCTGCCCAAAGAACTCGGCGAGCCAGACGTTGCCTTGTTGTTGGTCGACGTATACGCCAACGACACCGTTGAGGGGTGTGGGTAGCGGGTACACGCCGTCGAAGGTCTCGGTGGCGTAGTCGAAGTGATATAATGTGCCGGCTGTGGTCAGGCTATAATACATCTGCGAAGTTTTTAGTGGATTGTTCGGATCATGATGATGCTAAGGATGATACTTACGCCTGTCTCATCGGGCCATAGGTCGTTGAAAGGCTGGATATTGCCTAGTAGAGGCACATTTGGCAGCGGCGGCGTGAAAACCTTTATGAAACCAGTCGCGGGATTGATCTTCAAGAACTGACTACGAACACCGGTCGCAGCATACAGATTGCCATCTTTCCCCGGCTGGATAGCGCACGCAAACGCAATGCGCCCCGTCAACGGAAGATTTGTGGTGTTGTACAACTGATCAGGCGAGTACGGAATCTTGTAATTGGTCACCTTGCCGCTCTCGATCTCAATCTTCGAGATCGAATTGTCGAGGAAGTTCTGCGTCCAGATGTTACCATCCGGGCCGGTTGTGATGTCGCAGGGTCCTTGCAGGAAGTCTGGGTTGTCGTAAAAGCGAAAAAGCGACGCGTCTGAGTCGCCGTGGATAAATTCAGGAGCCGGTGCTGCAACGACCACAGCCGCGAGCGCAGAGACCAGGAGAGGTCGCATTGTGAGGCACAGTATGTGATACACGAGACGACAATGGCACAATGACGGGGGATTGCAGGCGTGGAAGTCAACAACGGCAGTATAGGGCCTCTCATGTCTTTAAAGAAGATACAATAGTGCCGTCTACAACGGGAAAATGAGCATCGTGACACGCTCTTGATCATTTTCCCCGCCGGGTTCACCGCTGTTCTATGGGCCAAGTCCACTTATTCCAGAGCACTATGTCCTCGCGAGGCAAAAGTCTAGGATGATCGTCATGTTGATGATGCCGAACGGGCTTAAGGTTATTGAACTTAAGATGTATGTGGTTAGAGTTCTACGCCTCCAGGACTAGTCGGGATCGGCACACGGAAAGAAGGCCCCAGATTTCGGGTTTGTCCCTGGAAATAACGAATCTGGGGTTTTCGCGGGGTACAGAGGCTTGTCGGTAACTACCTCCTTCAACGAATCAGAGCCTCAGGGGTATAACTATGACCGACATGATCGAGACGGTTGCGGGTCTGGGTAATAACGTTATTCCCTGATGGCTTTGGGGCCCGATGAGTTGACAGAATGAAGTGGTCTCACCTAGACACTAGCAGAATGTTGCGCAAAGTTCACATCTAGGCCCCAGTATACTCGATTGCCAGGCCGCTGAGTTCCCATTCCTGGATACGCGTCACTAGCTTTTCGTAACTTTCTCTCTCGAACCAAAAAGTTTGCGAACACACCTTAGCCAAATTCTGCATAGTATGTCGTTGAAACGCAACAGCGGAAGACCCAGTAGTCCTTGCGCAGTGTGTCGCGTCAAAAGCATTTTTGCAGACCTTTCAGCGTTGTGGAGAAATGTGTATCATGCGAAAATGAGACCGAACCAAGTATCTTTTCACGAACAATGAAATCTCAATACCACGAGCGGTGGAGAGTTGTACCTTTATAAATTGAAAAGAGACATGAATCACTCAGTCATACATTTGCCTATGACACAATGGGTGTTGAAACCGCCAAGATCTGAAACATTTGTCATGTCTTGTCGACCTCCAATTCCGACTAACTCGTTCTTCCATTCCCATTGAGTGTGCATGGTAACATAGTCGTTCCGCAAAGCATAAGTGAAGTGTTCAGACTTCGGACCAACGCCCTGGTCTCAGGTGCCATGCAGGCCTCGTCTCAAGGAGGTATGCCCTGTCACTTCAGATGAAGTTAACAGACTGGTGGCACGACGAATGACGCCGCCAGCGCGCAGTACTTCTCCCATCGTAACAGTCTCAGTCTTCTTCGACCACCCTAGCTCAGTCGGGAGCCGTTCATTCTCTACACCAATTTTCAGTACTAGTATGAAGGGAGGATTGTTTCTACATACCAAAAAAGTACTCGACCATATCTTTCTGGACTGTTCCAGCCTCCATGTCCCCAAACACGATGATCGGGGCCGCTAATTCACCGACGCTGAAGGACTCAATGGACTCTGTGAATTTATATTCCGGATTCTTGGATCTGGACGTCACTTGACGAGCTACCTTGCTGTTCGCGAGCATCTTCGCATCAAGGATCGACCCGGTCCAGTAAGCACGAGACTCATCGAAGATGGTGGCGTTGAAGACATGGTTGTTCCCAAAGAAGTCGTCGGAGCGACTCAGGCTAGCATCGTGCTCCAAGACGTTATGTCGGTTCAAATGGTCTCTAGTGTGCTGCCTCAGTTATCCATTTCTCCAGATTAGTGTCATTTATATCAAACCTACAATGTGAAAAATGTTGAATTTGGCTCTGGGTTGGCAATGTACTATAGGTAGTCATATGAGGTCACATAAGTAGCTAAGTCACGTGGCCTTATCACATGACGCTAGAAGCTTAGTATATATTACTTCTTCCTTCTATATTATTTATAGCTAGAGGAAGGAGGATTATTATGTATAACGGTATTAGTACTTAATTAAAGACTTATTAAGAGTATCTCTATCTCCTTTACTCTATTATAGACCCTTCGGTAGATAATATAGCACCCTCTAAGTACTATACTCGGTATCTAGTAGCTGAAAAATTAAACGATCTACGTTCTCCGCCGTGTGCCCTAGTAAATATTAACTAAGGCTCTCCTTAGGAGTCTCCTTATCTCCTAATTTTACTTATCTCTTAAAGATATATAACTACTTAAACTTATATCTAAAAGAGAGCTATAATCTTTAGACCCTAATTAAATTCTAATAAGCTTAAGATAATCATAGTTACGCTTATAATTATAATTAGTATCTACTCTAACCGCCGAACCGACGGAGTAAACCCGAGTTCTAATTATTAAGAAAGAATCGATAAGAAGGATTAAAGCTCCTCTTTCTTCTAAAATGACTAATTTTAATATACCGGGAGGATTCTCGCCGTTATCCGAATTATTAACCTCTTTCTAATATACTATATAATTCTATTAACGACCCTATCTACGAGACGTTATAGCGGGTACGACGGACCCCGTAGAAGGGTAAATAACCCGTATAATTAAGGCTAAAGTAGAAGGATCTATCTCTCTCCCTCCTCTAATCTTATATTTATAATTAGCTTTTCGTAAAGACGCCTTCCTTATTCTTTACCTAGAAGCGTTTATCGAGGAAAACAATCTCCTAGAAAGTATTATATTTAAAGTAGTATTACTAGAAGTAGTTATAATTAAGGTAAGAACGATTCGGGAATATCTTTAACTCTACTCGCGAGCGGAACATAAAGAAGAAGTCCTAGAAGCTTTAGATAAGTTATTAAGGAATAATAGCTATCTTACTAGCGCTATAAACTTTTAGTCCTTTATCTAGCGTTTTAAAAATAGACCTACTAATAATAAGGAAGTTAAACCGGAAGAACGAGCACGTCCTTTAACCTTTTCTATAATAGGTAAGCCCGTACGTTTCCGCATAAGAGGTAATCCGATACCCTTACTATTAAGCCGTCCCTATATATATTAAGATCGAGATGCTACCGTCAAAATCATTTAAGACTTCTTAATATCTCGTCACGGGCGAGATATAGGACTATACGCTCCCTGTTTCCCTCCTGGTTCCCCTCTAAAGAAACGGTACTCTCCTTCTCTACGGAATACGTTTAGTAGAATAAATAGAGTATCTAGACATGAATATACTTAGGTTTTACTAGCTCCCCTAATATTCGCGTACCCGGATTTAACCGACTTAAGACCTTAAGGCCGTTCGCTAAAAGCTTAAGACATAGGGACGTATAATAGTAAGACTAGTATATAATTATTCGTTAATCGTATCGTGTAACGCGTGAATTAATACTTATATAACTAAGTATTAGACGTGCTACCCCTCTGCTTAAGAGATTCGGCCGCTATGTAGCATGATTTATTATCTCCCGAGATATAAGAAGATATAATATATAGTATCGACGAATAGATTAACTAACTCCGATAATAATTTATAGCGGATCTATATAAAGCTAGGCTACGTGCCGAAAGATATAGATATCTATTTATAAATGAAATAGTGCTCCCTCTTTGCGAATACATTTCCTAAAAATAATCCTTACTATGCGATACTAATGTCCCTAAAGGAGAGATAGTATAGTAAGTCTAGATGGATCTCGATCCCCTTATTATGTTACTTACTACTCCCGAAGATAGTATATCTATAACTAACTTCTTAAAGAAAGTGTTTAAATATAAGTTTACCGCGAGACGTCTCTATTACTATAACTATCCTTAGAGTACGGCTGCGCTAGTAGCTCGAGACCCGCGTTTATATAATCCGGTGTCTAATATCCCTAGCGCACGATATTAACCTAGTGGAACTACTCTTCTATACCGTGCCCCTCTCGCTAATATATCTATATAACGCGCTTAACCTCGAGGCTTACTACCTACTCTAGCTATTATAGAGAAAAAGCCACTGGCTTATCCGTGCGTGTATTATAGTAGATAATATAAGAATAATAAGTGTCCCTAACAACGATTAGTATGATTTATAGACGAATAAATACCTAATATAGATCTATACTTAGGAGAATAAACGGAAGAAGAGTAAGAACGGGAGTAAGGAGACTATATTATTATTAATTCTATAGCTAAAGGTTCGGAAAAATAGGAGAGGAATTAGTAGAGAGCGAGCCTAATTCCAAAGATAATCATGCTTAACTATCCTCGAAAAATGATAGCCCTATAGCATTAGTATCTACCTTATTATCTATCGTTTCGAAAGGTCGATCGTGGTTTAATAAATTAATTACTAAAACCTATATTTCTAGACCTATAGATTTATCGGCGACTGAATCCTTAGAATATATAACTAATGAATCTCCGACTCCTACTATAAATACCCTACCGTTCCCTTTTATTATGGGTAACGTATACCTAAGTACCTTTAGTAATAATAAAACACTAATACGCGCTTATATATATTCTCCTTTAAAACACGTACCCATTGAATTCTATACTAATATAGGAGCTAGCATTTTAATAATTCGGAAGGATATTATTATAAAATTTTATCCCCGCGTGAATATTATCCCTCTTAAGAAGAACTTTATTATTAGAGGTATATCTTAACACGCTATTAAGAGTAAATCTTATTATAAAGACCTCTCTATTATACTAAAAGCGGTCGATAGTAAAAACGTACGACTATACGCTAATGTCCTTATCGTGGACCGGCTACTAGTACCCTATATACTAGGAAATAACGTACTAGAACTAAACGCCGTAGATGTTATATAGAAAGCCCCGGGAGGATATACTACGCTACGCGTGGGTAGTCATTTTATTAAAATATATACGAACTTACAGCCGCATGTGAAAACTACTTACGCCCGTATTCAAACTACCATTATAATACCGCCTTGGTTAGATATAAATTTACTAACTTAAATCCGTAAACCGCCTTCGGGAGACTTATTAATCGATAGCTCGTTGTATATCTTTTAATCCGCTACTTAATATGCGAGGGCAGCGAGCTATCTTATTAGATAACCGATAAAAGTAGACAATAGTGTTAAACTCGTCTACTATATTCTATTTATAAACTTCGGAGATAAACCGATTACTCTAAAGTAAAAGTAATAAGTCGCTTCCGTGAGTGTATTCACGCTATCTACTACGCTATTAAATCTAGCTATACTATTAATAGAGGACATCTTTTAAGGACTTCTAATCTCTATAGAGGATAAACCGGACAATCCCTCTATAGGCGTACTATTTATAGTAGAGCCACTAGATAAGTATATAAGTTTAGACGGTGTAGATATTAGCGATTATAGTAGAAAGCAATACTAAGACCGTATCCGAGCTATATTAGCTAAGTATAATACGTTATTCTAAAAGGAGCTCGGTCGGTTTAATAATAGAATTAAAATGCTAGTGCCCTTTAATTATGATACCGACTTAAGTAAGCTTAAGTAGTAATTCTTTGACCTCTCTAAACGTAATAAAATAGAGATAGATAAAGTACTTAATCTATTAACGGAATAGGGTTACGTACGAAAGCTAAGGTTAGAAGAGCTAAGTCTAGTTTTAAGCCCGGCATTCGTGGTTTAGAGAAACCTTTAACCACGAGTAGTAGTCGATATAAGACGCGTTAACATGGCCCTATTCAAGGACGCTTACCCGTTACCTAAGTAAGATACTATCCTTACCGTAATAGAAGGCGCTTAAGTTTAGTTATTACTTAACTTTACGAAATCCTTTTTCTAATAATCTATTAAAGAAGAGAACTAATAGAAGTTAGGGTTTATTACTCCTTATTAGGGACACGAGACTTTCATAGTAGCTATAATAGAATTAGTAAATTCCCCCGGGTTCTTCTAACACCGCATAGAGAATCTATTTAGTAATTACTTATAGAAATTCATGCTCGTGTATATCGACGACATGATCGTTTTTAGTTATAATCTAGAGGATTACTTACTTTATCTCGAGTACGCGTTAGGCCTACTAAACTAAAGTAGTATTACCTTAAACCTAGGTAAATGCTATTTTACTTACCCTTTAATTTAAGCGTTAGAATATTACGTTTCGCGTCTCGGGCTTAGCATGGTAAAGAAAAAAGTTAACGCTATTAGGAATATCGCGTTTCCTATAAATTTATAAGAACTTAAATAGTTTCTTACTTTTATAAACTATTATCGTAAATTCGTAGAGAAATACGTAATTATAGCTAAACTATTATAAGAGCTTAAAAATAAAGACTTTAAAGATACTCTAAAGAAAGGTTTCGAGTATAAACGATACGTAAAGTAGATAAGTATTATCTCTCTTATTAAGGATACTTCTTATTGCATGAAATATAAGTAAGCCTACGAGAATCTTAAGTATCGTTTCTATACTATACTAACGCTTATATATCTAGATTTTAATTATAGTTTTATATTCTATATTAACGGTAGCCTTAACGGCTTCGGTTACGCTATTTATTAAATGGATTTAACTAAACTAGATAATCCCATAGAGAAACCCGTTCTATACCTATTACATATAATTGCGCTAGCTAAGAAGTAATATTAGTCTACGGAGCTCGAAACTACCGCTCTCGTGTAGGCCTTACGTAAGCTTCCGCATTTTATAGATTATAGATATTATATTACGTACGTTAATTACGAAGTAATTATAGCCGTTTATAAGGAAGAAAACGCTAAGGGTAAGCGTTTAGAGAGACTTATAGGATAGTAATTATTCCTAAGTCGATTTAAGAAACGCCTAGAACTTAGACACCGACTAGGGAAGGACTACTAGAACGCGGATTCATTATCCCGATTACTAGTTATAAGCCTACCGTAGC